TCTGCAGTTGGCGCGCCATTTCGCTTTTGACTCGATCATAATGGAGAAAGTCCGGGGGTTCTTTCTAAACGGCCAAGTATCGCTCCGCGACGAGCACCTTCTGTACTTCGAAGAACTTTGTGTCCTGGACCATGTTTACTCGGAACAGAGGCGACTAGAAGACAATCGTGCAAGCAGTTCGACTTCTCAGTGTGGTGCTCAGAACGGGAGAGGACCACCTCGCAGTAAACGTGGTGCTACGAGTCGTCGAAAACATCGTTTTTTTGCGCAGCTAGGACTGGAGATCGCGACTCTAACGAGCATCAGTCAAAATGGAACCAACCTCCACGATGCTGAGGATAGGGAAGTCGATGCTGATGGTATGGGAGAAGAACCTTCATGCCCAAGAATTCGCAAGAAGAAAGGAGACAAGCAAGATGAAGAGGACAATGATGACTACAACATGCAAATGCTCAGAGAAGAGGAACGAGCTCCGGATCAAAGTTTGCTCGATTCAGAGCCAGTCTGGCAGTATGTTTCTAGTGCTATCGCGTCGCAAGAGCCTGTCTGTGAGATCGTTATGCGCGTCTACAGCACGATACTGGCAAAAAGACTAAGGCTGCACAGCTGTTTGGATGGCAGGATTGAGGCAGATACATCAAGACATCAAATCCAAGTATCAAGCAATAGAAGGAGACAGCATGGTCTTGTTCCACTCTCAGCAGGAGGTGTTCTAACGGGAAATGAAGAAATCAACGCGTCCCTCTATTCCACTGCCCTGGCATCTTGTAGCTTCGAGACGATTTTGAGCCATCTTCATGCTGCCGATCTTGGAGACGACACTTTCAACTTGGACATCAGCTGGTTGCTGCAGCAAAGCAAAGCGAAGATGGTCCGATCCTCGACAAGCAAGTTGGGCGACAACTCTGGAGGTCATCTTCTTCACAGAGGAGGTCCCGACTCTGCCTCGACGTCTTTTGCCAATACATCGACAACTTCGGTGCGGCAGGACGTGGGATCAGCTGGCATCAGTGGTTCAACAAGGAGATCCAAATTCCCAGACAAAAACTGCTATCAAAATAAGAATCCAAACACGGCTTTTACTTTTTCAGTCGCACATTTTTACTACCTTTGTCCACTGATCCTCTTTCGCCTTCGCGGCGCGGACTCTCGCACCTTTCGAGATTGGACACCATTAGTGGAAATGATGGTGCTCTTCCTTCGTGCAGATATCAATATCATGCGCTGTCAGCTGGCGAAAGCCGCTAATGGAGGAGTTTCGGGAGGACCCCATTCGACCTACAGTGGCGTCAACAGCATACTAAATTCTTCTGGAGCACTTCCATCTCACCAGAGCGCCGCCAGTATAATCAGTATGAATGCAGCAGGGACATCAACTAGTACAACAAGTACTCATCACTTCAACAATCTGAACCAACCGGAGTCTCGTATCAATCAGGAAGATCCAGATGGTTTAGTTGATGATCGCGAGAAATTATTGTCGCAGATCCAACGATGTAGGCGGGATAGCATGGACAATCTCAGTCGCGCTCCACCAAGCACGAACAGAAAAAGGAGACAATCATTTTCAACAAGGACAAGGACCACGGGAAACAACTATCGAAAAGTTGTCTCGGGTCAAGATCAAGGACTTTTTTCTTCTACTGCGGGATCTTTTGCTCATCAGTGCCCGCCCGCACTTGCGGCTCAAATCAGAGATTGTTCTAATGCCCTTGTGCGCTGGATCAGCAGCGCCTTGGATAAGTTCTTGACCCGAGGACCTGCTCAAAGTCGAAATTATGGACAACAGATGAACGGCACCAGCTTCATGAACAAAGACGCAGATGGAGGAGAAGGTGGAGGACTGAATCCATCTAGAGACGGCTTGGATGACGATGACATGGACTTATTCAACGATGAGCAAGATCCGCCGTTACAAGCATATGGGACTGCGGAAGGTGGTCAACATTATGTTGGTGGGGATCTTCATCACGGAGGAGGCGACGACCCCTTCTTCGTATCAGGAACTGGTATGGATGTACAAGAGGAGATCAAATTGCCAACTGGCATGGACGTCCATAGTGCAGTACTAGCGATTTCAGAAGTCTGTCTCTTGTTCGCGCAAGCTGCTGAAGTATCGCAGCAGGCAAACTGGGTAAAAACCTTGACCTTTGGTGTCGGAACGGGCGGCAACATCCTCTCCGAGTCATTTGAAGATACGAACAACCACACGTCGAGCACCACTACAAGAGGTGCAGGAGCTCCGTCAGATGATTTTTTCGCCGGACCACTGTCCTATTCGTTTTTGGCCACACCTCAGGATGATGCGGAAGGAGAGAGACGAGCCTCTATTGATCCGTCTGGGGACAAGGACAGAGATGATTGGGATTTCCAGCTATCGCGTTGTTTGCAGTGGCTTGTTTTGCCACTGCTAGAAAAGCCTTTCCTAAACCAAGAGCGGCGAAAGGACGAAATCACGACTGGCATTCGCCAAGAGTTGCGTGTCTATGCAATTAGTCGCCTACTCCCTAAAGCGATGCAGTTGCATCGAGACGCCGAAACTTCAGAGAAATTGCGTGAGGCAGTGACGGAACTGCAGGCTAGGACCACAGCTGCTGACGTTGTTGAGACGAGGAATCAAAAGTCAAATCTGCAACAAGTTGAAATTAATCCAAGAACAACAAGAACATCTTCAACTGCGTTAGAGCATTTTGAACCGGGGATCATTGGTTACACTGCCCTCCCTTGGCCTGCGACAAAAGTGGAAGAAGACGAAGTTGTTGCAGACGTACAGACTGGAGCATCGTCACCACAACAAACGATCATTATGAAGACTTGCTACGTGTCTTAATTTATCCATCTTGCGAAGCATCTTGTGCTGTCTGTTCCTCCACAAGGGGAAAGCAGCTATAAAAATGATTTATTTAGATATTTGGATTACTTGACTCTTTTGGTTTTTTGTTTTCTAGTTAGGTGTGCTCCACCGATATAATATCAAGATGGACCATTTGCACTTGGGTTGTGTCACTGCCGTTGTGAGCTCTAACATTATAGCCAACACCAGTGTGCCTGACGCGGCTCCGATATGGCAGGATAGCAGCGACCCTACACCTTGGATGATGCTCTTTGAACTCATTTTCCACGGACCTCCACCTCAAAGGCCATGGTGGCTGGGAGCTGGATTGATCGCCGCGTACGCTTTCGACCAATGGGGACGCTTCTACGAACTCTGCGACAAAATATCAGTAAAATTTGCAACACTGGAGACAAAAAGATCAAGCACTAGTATTAAGGCTCAGAATAATTCGCTTCCATAAGTGTCTCTTCGTTTTCTCTTTGTTTCCTTCTGCTTCTTGGGAGACAAACAAGTGAGAAATGAGCTACGGGGATGAATTATTTTGAGCGTCTCTAATAGTAATATTTTCGAGAATTTACTGTCTGCATCTCCCTCTCCGTTTGTGGATGAACGAGGTTCCTTTCTGAGCCGCGGTAGTGCCAAGAACAGTTCTGATGATGATGAACGAGGTTCCTTTCTGAGCCGCGGTAGTGCCAAGAACAGTTCTGATGATGATGAACGAGGTTCCTTTCTGAGCCGCGGTAGTGCCAAGAACAGTACTTTCGATTCAAAAACAACGTCTGTAAGCCACGGCACTACTGAGGAAAATATTATGGACTGCGATGTTTTTTCTATTCTTACTAGGACCTCTATTTCTATTTCTATATTTACAACTGGGGAACTACTTGATGTGTATATCTTACTAGGACCATCTTCCTGGCAGTCATCTAAAAAAAAAAACTCCTCTAGAAATTTCGACTTTGAAAAGTCGTCCTATAGGTATATCTTAATAATTGCCAGGATCCTCTGCCTAGAAGAACTAGATGGATGGAAAAGACGCCCTCCTTCATAGAACTAGAAGACGAACCCGAGCACTGGCTTGGTCCACGGATGATCGCTGAGGTGTATGCCGTTTGGAGGGTGCAAGCGTACACAAAGTGGGCCCGCGTGTTTCAGCCGCACAAATCCTGGCTCTTTCCGTGGGATCGACTGGAGCGACTGGGTAATCTTCGCGAGCTCCACGTAGTCAAGTATCTCTGTCTCTACAGTGACACTGCGCTGTTGAGGGTATTAGCTGGGCGACCGAGACCCTACCAGCACGAGCAGGACGGAAATAAAGATGGTGGTGCTGTGTCTAGTAAGCACAAAAATGTTGACCAACATCAAGATGAGCCTACTTCTGCAGAAGGTCAAGAACAAGGGGGGTCGTTTGGGGATGATTTCGAAGCTGCATCACTGCTTGATCACTTCCCTCTAGAAGAAGACATCAGGGACGCGAGAGCCACTGCCATGTTAGATTCGGAGGAGCCACCTCTTGAGGGAACAAGAGGAGCCGCGGGTAATGGTAGAGCCTCAGCTAGTAATGCTACTGTTAAAAAATCCAACCTAGAATCCGAACTGCGAGATCTGCGGAGTTTGATGTTTGGCCCTTGCAGTCCCCACGTGACCCGGCAGCTCCGTACCGAATCTCACGAAATGCTGAATTTAAGGGTAGGTTAAAGGTGTTTTTGAAACCGTTCGCTTTGCCTTTCTGAAGGAGGAAATGCATAACGAATGGGGTACACGAACACCGAAAGCATACCTCTAATGAACTCCTTGAAGCTGAACACGACTGCGTTTGCTAGTATGAATGCAGATTCTTCTTCGCAGGACTCCAGCGATGCTGACATGATGAAGACGACGACGACGAGCGGTGCTAGAATTAAGGGTAGTTTTTCACTATCCTATGTGGACTATGCTGAGTGGGGCTCCGTCCCATGTGGACTGCTATGTTGAGTCGGAAAGCTACCCTTGATTTAAAAAGAAAACTCAAGGGCCGCGGCGCAGGGAAACCACCCACTCGAGTCGGGAAGATGGTGAAAAACTACAACCTCTAATAGAACAAATGATAGTACGGCAAAGATGAACATCAAAACACGTTCTTGCAAATACCCTCGGCAAGTAAGTTCGAAAGAAGAAGCCCTCGCTCGTTACATTGCTGCATCCTTGACGCTAGTTTGCGATCAGAACGGCCTCGGAGGTTTGCTGGACAATGCGGTTGCAAAATGGACCCAAGAAAATGACAAGGCAACTCTAGTGGAACCTATATTCGAGCGGATTCATGAGGCAGCAGCTTCGTCTGGTGAGGAATGTTCTGATTGTTGCCCTCTGGCGAGGAATGTTCTCACCGAATATGACCCTCATCTATGTCGTGCGCTACTTTTTGCATGGTACTTGCGCCTCAAATTCTTCTTCTGCCGGACGGACGCTGATGCTGCTGGATTGCCACCGCCGAATTGCGCTTTTAGTACAAGGAAAGGCAAAGAACTCACAACTCCTACAAATAAAATAAACGAAGAAGAAGAACTACAAGAACATGGAGAACAACAATTAGAGCCGCATTCAGATTCTTTGCGAAGCGATGTAGTTTCCTTCGAGGTAATACGCAAAGATCACATCGCTGCTTTGCCCTTCATTCTGGACATGCTCTGTAAAGTACATGCAGGCACACTGAGCTTAATCGAGGACACCAAGAAAGGACCACCGGTGACTTCGAGTACCTCATCCACAAAGGAGACAAAGGAGATTCGTGCCTCCAAAGTTCGCGTTTGCAAACTCGCTAAAAAACACTTTTTCACAGTGTTGCGTCCGAAAGTAGCTGACCACATTTGGAGCAATATGTTGCGGGTGGACCTCCGATTGGTCGTTGAGTTTTTAGCCCCAGCCTTTCGGGAACCGCAACTAGATGTTTACAGTAGAGGCACTGTCGCGCCAGGCGTCGGCACCCATGTCTCTTTGGTGGATGCATGGTAAGGCTTCCGGGAATCCATCTTCGGAAACATCTTGGTGCTGGGACGATGGATTCCATTCTATCGTCAGAAACATCTTGGTCCCTTAGAAGAGATGGGAATCCATCGTCAGAAACATTAAACTCTTCTAAGGGAAAGACAGACCCAAGACGACTCTCGAGATGGATTCCGGAAAGATCTAAGACTGCGCTGCGTCACTGCTGGATCGTGGCATTGTGACAGTTGAAGAACCAGCAGCAAGATCTGTCATTGCTGCAGTGCTGCGAAACTGTGACATTGAGGGAGGCTCGTCTTCGTCAGCTACTGCAAAAGGAGGTCGTTTCAAGGGGTCATTTCCTCTGACACACGTTGTGTTGAAACGCTTGCCTGAAATGCTTCTGCGGCCTTCGGGGATCCTATTGCGGGAAGGGATCCCGATTCCCTGGACTTCCGACGGATCCGCTGCGGGTGCCTCGGCTTCTGCGAAGACCGCTGCGATCAAGGAGGTAGTAACTGTCTTGAAGGAATTGCGCAGCACAGCTCTTTTCAACCCCACCAGTGCGGTTGGAGCGACAGCACGTGATCGACTCAACGCGGCATTGCAGAGTGAATTTGGGGGATCGCTAGACCAGCTGACAAACGGCAGTATGCGTCAGCAAGAGTCTAAATTTGGACCAATCGCTCGTGTTGCGCGTAAGCTCCTAGACTTTCTGCCAATCACCGGACTCTCTGTACGCTCCGCCGCGCCTCAGTTAGCTAGTGGCGCTTGGCAGTACACTAGTGTACTTGGTCTGTGCGCTAGTCACTTGGGAGATCACGACTATGTGAAGCATTTGATGACGGATGAACGCGCAGTTGAGTTACTTCTACCGCATGTTGACCCAGCAAACCTCAGCTTTTCGTCATCCTCAATTAAGGCTTGGAAGTTGGTTGACCTATCTGGGAGCATATTAAATGTATGACCTTTGTGAGGGGAAAGAGGGTAGACATGCGAGCAAGAAGTGTCAACTTGCAACCCCTAACTCAAGAGGAGGCTCATCTTCGAAACGGAGTGGTCTCTTCGGAGCGGACTCACCGAGTAGCTCAGTAGGTGGAACAGGGGACGAAGTAGATGAGCCAGAAGATCCTAGACGAACTGGAGCAGGACATAATCGAAAACGTCCCTCCTCATCGGATTCGCGTCTTGGAGGGGGTGCGACCTCATCAAAGCGTCAAAAAGTACTTCTAACCTCTGGCACAACAACTACAGCAGGAGGTCGTGCGTTCTCCCCTCCTCCATTAAGGATTTCCACATTTCCACATTACCACGGACATCCTTGACCTGTTTCAATTTGGAAAGCAGAGTAAGGATGTTTCGAAGACCACGGACATCCTTGACCTGTTTCAAATTGGAAAGCAGAGTAAGGATGTTTCACAGAATGTAATGCTGCAACCTTTAACTCCATTTTCCAGCTTCGAGGATTCCCTACAATCGCAGTCGGTACAAGTGGTTGATCCAACGAAGAGTGCTTTTCTGGGTAGCACGATGGATGTAGCAACATCGAATAAGAGAACACGGAATGCCGCGTCGCCGACTGCACCTGGAGAGGAGGAGCCTGAAGAAGACGCTGATGAAGAGCTCGATCAACATCAACATCATGAAACGACCCAACGTATGACAGAAAAAAGTGGACTCATCCGCAGAGAATTAGCTACCTTCCCACTTGAATCCTAGTTAATTTCTTATGAGCATGAGCACGCTTTTTCCTTTCATACTACGGCATCATGTCCCTTGCTTTTCGGCACGCAAGCTACTGCAGTATGCTGTTGAAGATGCAGAGCCGATTCCGTTTTTAGAGGGCATTGACGTGGCAGACTGGAACTCAATTGATCCGCCTGGGCCAATAGGTACGAATGGCTCCTCACACGACGACGTCGGCAGTACGCAAGAAAGCAGAAATTGGTCTTTCATGCACGATTATCTCCTCGGGCCGGGTGGAGGCTCTGCAGGTGATGCTCTGGTTGCTGGAGGCAGCGGAACTGCATCATCAATACCGATTCCTCCAGGAACATCAAGTGACGATAGCAGCACTTCTCCTGCATCGCGGAACAAGTTTTCAGGTACCCAACCTTCTACTTGCAAAGAACTCGCTTACCTGGACGATCCCGATATGGACCCACAGGACTTTCTGTGGTGTCCGCTCTTTCTGAGGCGCGTCGACTTGATGTACGACGAACGACGGAAGCCCCTGCAAGAGCGGCTAGAACAGGCGAATGACTCGAACGCTAGAAATCAGCTGCTAGCAGCCAGCATTTATCATGCAAACTTGCCCACAAGAACCGGAGCAGCAAGAGGAGCGGCACCTGTAGTTCAGCCTGTACTTGAGGCGAATATCCTGTGCGCTGCTACCCTTGCCTCGCGGCGGTTTCTGATCCAGCTTTTGCTTTATCTGCAGACTTTACCCGCCCATCCGTCCTCCGAATTACGGTGTCTCTCCATGCAGATGATGGCGGACCTAGTAGACTGTAAGTTATGGCTGTGCTTTTTACTGTTATAATTCATCTTCGACTTCTGCATCTTCACCCCATATCGGGTTTTACACTTTGAGATGCACCGATGATGATGCACCCTTGCGGAGTTGATGTATGGGGGAGGAGTACTATCGCGGGGAAATAAGTACTCCCCCACATCTTTCAAGGATGCAGGAGAGAGATGAATTACGGAAAGTTCTAAATCAGACTTCTCGACGAGGGGAAGCGAGTGCGCGGAGGGACGTCGCAGCAGCCCTGCGTTACATTAAGGGGTGGAAGGTGACCTCTCATCTAAGAGCATCTCTATGGCTTCTTCAAGTAGGAAAGCCATAGAGAATATGCGACCTACTAGAGGGGGGCCAACTCTCCACCTCTAACCACATAGAGGAGAAACTCCTCCGGCACTCTGATCACGACTGGCTTACGGTCAGTCCAAAGACTATGACACTCGGGCGAGAAGACCCTGCAGGTGCTAGAAGAGGTGGAGGTACTGGAGGTGATGCTAGAAGCAGAAGGGAAAGCGCTTCAGGTCGCTCTGGTGGAGGAACTCTCTCCAGTATGTTGCAGCTTCAGTCGGAACAAGCAGCGTCGGTTACCGCGACTTCTAACACTGGAGGTGGATCTATGAAACCAAAATCTGTTATCATTATCCTACTTTTCTACTTCAGAAACTTGATAATGATAACAGATTTTCTTTTCATAATCATAGGATCCTCTTCTAATGCTTGTAGTGATGGATCCTCTACTACTACTTGTAGTGATGTGTGGAAGTGTCGACTAGGAGGAGTGCGATCTGATAAGAAAAGCGTTTTGGACGTTCTTCGCGCTGTCTTCCCTGAAGACGTTTCATATTGGGGAAATGCTTCTGGTAGTACATCAGCTGCAGGAAGTGCTGGCGCATCCACGATAGAGCTGCAGGATCTCGGAGTAGTCAAAGCTGACGGAATCGCAGCCAGCTGCCTTCTAGCAGATTCACCCAGCAAGGACATGCTGAAACTCATCAACATGGACGAGGCCTCCAGAACAAATAGGATTCACTTGGAGGATGACGACCATAACAACTTGGAAGAAGCCTATAGAAGTTTGCAACAAGCTGCTTCCATGGCTGATAGTAGCGTAGCATCCTTTATCCTGGGTAATGGCGGTCTAGCGCGCAAGCGGCTAGGGGACACGCCTATTTGTCTGGCGTGGCGGCGGATGCGAGCCTTCTTTCCACAACTATTTTTGAGAAGGGACGATGAAGATACGGCGGCTAGTGTCGTGCGCGACCCAGTACTTGCAGAAGCGGCAGCCTTTCGCACACAGACAGCGAGACAAGAGCTGGCGAACTTGGGATTTCCCCACTCGAGAAGTAATGCGAAAAATGCACATCAAGGTGGAACATCTTCAGATCGTGCTGTTGGTGCTGTGCAGCAAAGGGACAACGCGTCGTACGCCTCTTCAGGGATACCACCAGACTCCATCATGGATTCACCTGAGTCCTCGTCTAACTCTTCCAGCGCAGCAGCAGGAGGACCAAGTGTTAAGGCTACCGCTGTTAGAGCATACCTCTACATCACACATGATCCTTGGAGCTTCTTTTTCTACTTGAAAAAATAGCCTCCAAGGATGTGCCTCTCGAGGAAGATGCGAATGTCGCAGCTCTAAAAAAGCGGGCAAGCCTGGAGATGACAACGGCGATCCTAAAGGGCCTTCTTTTGAAGTGAAGGCACAAGCAAACGATGGACTCTTAGATTTGTGGCAAAAATTTCTAAGCTATGACGTGATATTTGCTTGTTTCCGCGAGCAATGCGGTGAGGATGCACTGATATATCGACACACTAGTGATCATGGTGCTGCGCATCGAGAACAAATGACCCAAGAAGGAATGAACAACCGTTCTAGGCCTGCAGGACGCCAAGCCGAAGAACAACAACATCAGGGTCAACAAGCGTACAGTTTGTGGCTGCGTCTTTTCTGTCGTACCGCCTTGGAGAATTTGCCCTTGTTGGCCGGCGGGAGCAGCGACTGCGCGAGTCCAGTTTTAGCTTGGAAATTATGGGTTGGAAGTTCTTGACCTATCTAAGTACTTACAACCATGTCTATGACCTTTTCAAGTAGGAAAGTCATAGATATGCAAGTAGATGTAGCTACAACATTGTAGCAGGTTAGGGGAACCCCTAAGGAAAGACGTCGGCTTCGCACGCATCACTTTCCCACACGTCTTCGCTGTGTCGCAAAGTGCTTGGCATTTGATTTTCGAATACCTACGGGATCTTTTGGCAAGATCTGGAGAGACCACAAATTATACTACGCAAGTAGGATGTGGACAACGAGATCAAGAAGGCGATCACTGTCTACTAAAAGAAAATCCTCATCATGGAGTTCTTGATGCGCATCCCGAAGTGGAAGTCGATCCTCATGCTTTGCGACAGTTCCTGCTACCACTAGCGGATTTAGTTGTCAGATCATTGCAGCTTGCGCGGAGGTTGATTGTCGAGTTAAGGCTCAATACATTTCATTTCCGTGCTGGATCGTTTCTCTCTGTTGCCTTCGTGGAACGAGCTGAGAAGAAACGAGCTGAAGAAGTGAATTATTTTGAGCTCCTCTAATGGCGGATGGAAACTTGGAGCACTTTTTTCCTCCAGCAAATTCGTATCTAGCTGACCTACGGAAACACGATCCTAAGGCGCCTGCCGCGGACCCGTCCGACAACTTAGATCCTGTTGAGCAGGGTACAGCTGCACGTGATGTTCTCGATAAGCACGAGTATTTCTCTCGGACAAACTTTCTTGCAATTTCCGAACTCTGTTTATTCGTGGGGAGACCACGAGAAGCCATTTGGTACCTAGAATACGAGCGACTGACACTGCGCAGCCGCAGAGACCGTCATGAGCTTCGCGCAAAAGGCGCACACTGTGGTTATGGTTTGCCAGTTCAAGCTTTTTCTGTAATTCTAATCGATACAACTGTCCAAAGTTGTAGCTATAATCCTTTCCAAAGATGTATCTAAAATAATTTTCCATTTCCATTTCCATATGGATCAATGCGGTACTCGGTCATGATCTACATCCAAAGCTAATTTGCGAGAAATTACGACTCGGTAGTGCAGAAAAACAGGGATGGTGAAGATCAGCAAATGTAAGGCTACCGCTGACGCATGTCCTTGACACCATGATCCTTGGTGCTTCTTTTTCCCCAAGGGGAAAAATAAAGGGTCCAAGGATATGACCCTCAAGGAAGATCATGCGACGCGGTAGCTCTAACAATACCTCTGGCCTACGACTATGGCCGTTCATAACGGTAGAGGTATTGTCCTGAATCCTGGGAAATTGTTGCGTGATTGTGGTGGAGACGTGAATAAAGCCATCAAAAAACTGGGCGTGCGCATGATCGACTCTGAGCGACAGAAATCTGAACACGAAGTTAAGTAGGCTCAACGCCGTTGTTATCTGATATTTCTATATTAAACCATAATTTAAATTTCTCCCTAATATAATTCGGTTTCTATTTCTATGAACCATTTCTCCCTATTCGGTTCCTTCTTGATAGGAGTGGGAGAAATGCAGGCAAGAAGTGAATAGCCTCGAGCTCTAACCACGAAAAGGCAAGGAAAATATCCCGTTTTTTTGGTGTGACTGGACGTAGACGAACTGAGCTGTTGGGCGCAACATTCCGGAAACTGAATCGACCAACCCATTTACTTGAAAACGTGGACAACCGTGATACACTTAGTTTACTGGAAACGAGGGCGCAAAATCGAGAAGCGACAGGAGATTTGCTCCATCTTGGCCTTTGGGGTGATGAATTCACTGCTTCTTCGTCAGTCGCGACCGCAGCTCAAAGGGCACTTTACGAGCATCCAGGTGAAGAAGAATGCGTGTTTTCAGGTTCCAAAGGCGTGTTTTCAGGTTCCAAAGGCGTGTTTTCAGGTTCCAGTAGAGGAATTAGATCTGTTGTAACCACCGGGGCAACAAGAACATCATCAAGAAATGAAGCCTCGCGCTCTTCAAGAAGTCCCAGCAAGTGGACTCCAGCAAGTGGACTCCAGCATCAGGAACTTTCGGAAGAAGTTGTCGATTTCCACTCTGCGGTGGCTGCCGCGCTCAGGACCAAAGGAGAGGACTACACACACTCAGCGCTGAATTTCGTGCGGCAGGGGTTGCGGAGCGGCGCCTCGTTTCAGCATGCCGCAATCAGAGCCCAGATGGTTTCAGACGTGCGCACGCATATTTTTACCAAGAGTAGTTCTACCTGTTGTTCTGGCGGAATAACCGAGCGTGTACTTCTGGAAGATTTGGTTGCCCTTCGTAGTGCGTCCGCGAGTTATGGGGACCCGAATGCGACCGCAGACGTCGCGGAAATCTTGTGGGGACCGCCAGCGACCGCAACAGAGAAAGAGTACACTTACATTAAGGCTTGCTTCCACCAATGCTCAGTAGACGCATTCTCCTGAGTCTCAGTATTAGTCCACCACTAAGTTTGCAGTGTGCTGTTTCGGTTCTTTCTCAAGATGGATTACATGAGATGAAGGTTTCTCCTCTAAGTTCACCCAAGCCTACATCGACGACGCGACGACTTTTAGCACGAAGTACGGCCCGAACATCTTTCGCTCACCGCTGGTGGAGCCGCTCTTGGCTTTCCGACATTCTCTCTTGATGTCCAATGCGCTTGCCTGCAATTCTATGCCATCTTCAATTAAGGCTTGGGAGTTGACCTATCATCTAAGAGCGTCTCTATGTCTTTTTCAAGTAGGAAAGCCACAGATATGCGAGCTAGAGATGTCAACTTTCAACCCCTAACTCAAGCACAGGGAAATCTTCTTCTCATCCACATTATAGGCTTCGATATGGCTTAAATTTAGCCGAGCTTTTTGCGGATACTGCGGGAAAAATTTGCCGCCTGCAGTGGGAGGCTGTGAACACTTCCGCTATCAGTTACGGCAAGTTCCTGCGTCGTACCTGCAGAAAGCCTGAAAAAGCCTTGTCGCATGTGTTCCAGCACATGATGCGCGTTACATCAACCGCAGCGATAGGAGCTGGTGACGAGGCTGCGGACTTAGAGATTGGAAATGTTACGGCTACCAGCACCGTCAACTACTGATTTGCATAGAAGGGTACTGTCAACTACTGATTTCCATAGAAGGGTACTGTCATCTACTGATTTCCATAGAAGGGTAGGACATGTAGTCATATGTGTACTAGGACGCGCAGTGCCTGTAGGTTAAATGTAGTACTTGTACATAGTACAACTTGTATTCGCAAACGTTTGAAATTTTCAACAATAGTCTGTATCGATGCGAATAGATACAACACGACAAGTAGTGGAAAGCTGCAGGAAATACCTCTAAGGACGAGACGTGTTGGAGGGATGCTCTCAAATACGCACACGATCACATCTGCATGAAGAAGGAAGACCTAGCACAAGTGTATGTCCGTAATCACGCGGGAGACTTGGGGTGGACTCCGAATACCCGGCAAAGGATATTGAGTACTCGAACTCCGAAACAACATAGCGAACTAGAGCCCCTCCAAGAGATGGCGCGTCTGATCGCGCTACAAGGTCAGCGTGACTACCAAATCGGGAAATGTTTGCTGCAAAGCGCGAGCGGGAATGCGTCTCTGAATACGGAGAACGCCATCAGGGTCCTTCAGGGAGCCTGCGGGCCAGTCGAGCGGGCACGGCGCCACATCGCGAATGTCGCGAAAAGAATGGTCCTTGGCGCCGGAGGAGGCGGTGATGACTCTAAGAACACTATGAGGTCTATCTATAACTGTGTAAGTATGTGTGCACGACTCTAACACTATGAGGTCTATTTAACTGTGTATGTGTGCACGACTCTAACACTAGGAACAGGTCTATCTAACTGTGTATGTGTGCCGATTATCTCAATCCGCACCGCGCTGTAAATTCCTTACCATGAGTTACCTAGTGCGTTGTCCTTATACTTGTCAAAATCAGTAGGAGCACGTCGAGGTAAACGAAACTGTTTTTAATTATCTAGATATAGTTAAGAAGAACATGACGAATATTCAGGTCAAATATTAGCTCTAATTTTTCTCCAGGGCAACAGGGAATCGGCAAGAAAACAGGCGCTTCATCGAGCGGAGAAGCCTCTTCCAGCGGTGCAGGGGCTTCGTCTTCTGCGTCGAGTTTAGCGCTCCAGTCGTTTTTCGAGTCGGCGGCTGGAGCTAGTGCAAGTAGCCTCCTTTCAAGTGAGTATGTTGATTCTCTGGCCGCGATGGAAGAACCGCATATAGGGGACCCCTTTGATCCAAAGGTGAAGCACAACCGCATGCTGCAATACGGATTTGGAATGGCTTTGCGACGTCTATCGCACACATCCGCAAAGCTGCATACTCGCTTGGGAGAAGCGATGGCGGGATCGGGCCAAGACGCGAATGCTGAGAGGATACTACGTTACGGCGTCCCCTATTTATCAATTTTCAGAAAGATCCTGGAAGAGAGAAAGCTTTTTGGTAACCCTTAATAATCTTGTTGCTGAAATGAATTCTGAGGATATAAAAAGAACACAAAAGTGACTGACTCTAGAGTAGGCAGGAGCTACTCTAAGAATGATTGACTTTATTGTGTGAACTTTGATACTTTGGAAGTTCTTCAGATTGAAAACATGAAAGCCAAAGAAAAAGCCACTCTGGCTGTCTATGACTGTGGTGCACATTGGTGGCGATAAGTATCGGCCAAGTTTTCTTCTTCAGGGTTTCTTCAGTGCTATGCACCTATAAGGTTCATGAGGTTTCAAGGTCTCTCAGGTTTGTTGCTGCAAGGATCCAGGAGCATCAGCATGCGCATTGATTTTGATACTTTATTCATGGATCATCTTATAAGTTAAATCTTATTCGATTAAATTCCATGCGTAACACTTGTGAACCTTAGATAGTCAAAGATCTGCGATGGATTCGCGCCAGCTAGCTCTAAGTAAAGCATGCGCGTGACATTGTGCGACAGCAAGATGCTTTCGAGACGAAACAAGACGAGAATTTAGCACAACGACAAAAAATCGATCCGAAAATACGGCGTCGTCTCAGTGGACAACATAACTCTGAAGATACTAGGAATAAAAATGACCTCGTCCAGCAGAGCATCCGTCCGTTTGGTAAACAGTTTGTGTATTTGAAGCCATTTTTAGCCTACGCAGAGTGCGTGGATCATATTTTTAGGAAGCATGACGAGGAGTTTCGGGCAACGCAGGAACGAAAACTCAAGGTGCAAAAGCAACTCGCTTGCGGTAGCGAAACCGAGCGATATTTTGACGAAAGAAATAGCAAATGTTAAGATAGAAGGGTAGTACAACAACAACTAGCATACTACAGTTAATATTTATATTACTTTCGTACTTGTGAAGATGTGCAGCTTGTTACTATTTGACAAGTATTAAAGTAGAGGCGTGAGTCCGACGAGTCGTGAAACGATGAGGATATTGCTCACTCCGCAATCGGCGATAAAGCAATGCTTACTACCTCAACCACTACCTCTGCGAGCCTCTAAGAATGGAAAGAGGAAAGGGCGGCGTACCTTAACAAGGTCGTGGAAGCATTAGGCGATTGTTTAAGTTATTTTGATGATGGATACGCAGCAAAACGGGTCGTGAAAGGGTTATTCGTTTGCTCTTCCACAGAGTCATCGTCTGCTACTGGCTCTGCTAGCAGAGGTGGAGGACGTACAACGACAGCAGGACGAACTGGGGAAGGCCAACATAGTCCTGGAAATAAGAATCTTCTGGAAGTTCAACACACGCAGCGACACTGGCTGCGACGATTCACGCTTTTGGCCTCTCGGCTGATTATATTGTGGTTTCAGAATGCCACAGAGGTGAGTCCCATACTAAGACATCAGATCCTGGACACACGAAAGGACGGAGCCCCCCGTTTGCGTTTGAAGACTTTAGTTCCCTTCTTACGGCAATTAGCCTGTCGCGCATACTATGAAGATCCAAAGGAGATGGAGAAAAAAGGTGGAAAAAATGCTGCAAAAGAACCTGCTGAACAGAGCAGACAAACACAACCATCACCTCCTCCAGGGCCTCAAAAAGCTGCTGACGATGGAGATGCTGGTGGATATGGGCAGCACATGCGATATAAAATTTTGGACTCTCATATGACAAGGGAATCAAGTCGTGTGCTTACTTTAAGGCTACCGCTCAACCATCCTCAGCGCCATCCTTGGCCCTTTTTCTACTTGAAAAAGAAGCCGAGGATGCACCCAGGGATGCCAACGCGGTCGCTCTAATTACTCATCGTCCCCAAGAAAAGTAGAGCAGGCAGTACTCTTTCCTACTGAAGAGTAGACTGAGAACCCGTGAAGAAACAAGTATAATCTACTTTAATGTTGAAAATATGATGTTGCCGGTTAGTTTTTACCTCTAGAGATCTAGCCCTTTCAACAGTATGGTTCCGGTATTTGGTAACCTGAATTCGATCACAAGGATTCTCTTCTTGTTTTCCCTTAGGATCAAAATCAGGCTACCGAATACCAGAACCATGCACGTCGATGAGTAAGCCTAGTAAGCTTTTCCTTCTTGTCTTCATATCACATGAGGAATTCCAAAACACTCTCCACGAAGTACTTGTCCGCATGGCGCTGAATTACCCTTTTTTACGGCTATAGAATTATAATTTGAATTCTAATTCATCTTTTGGATTTACTATAGAATTAATTTGAATTCTAATTCATCTTTTGGATTTGGTGCATCGTCCCCCATGGAGAGTATGTGCATCAATACTACTGCGATACTCTTCAAGGAGAATAAGGAACTCTTCAAGGAGAATAAGGATGCATTTAAAAGATGAATATCCATACTGGAGGACAGCCCTAAGTTTTGAGGCTTTGCCACTCCTGCGAACGCAACAAAATGCAGATAAGGTGATTGCGTCAAACAATTTTCTGGCCCAACTTCCCAAGGACTACAGGAATGAGATGCTGGGAAAACGGTATCATGATCCCGATCAAAATACGCAGACGTCCTCGTCCTCGAAGGGCAAGCCAAGAGCGATTGAGAGAATACTACAGGATGCGCAGGAGCGCAGCAAGAAGTTTACGACCAGGCACGCAGACACGGTGGAGTATCTTACAGAAGTTACAAAATTCCTGCAGGAAGTGCAAAAACGACAACCGTCAGGGACGAACAGGAATCTTGATGTACAAAATCGCCGCAATGACAACTTGTGTGCGCAGTCGTCTGCAGACCTGAGGTTTCTACTGCGGATTCTGAGACCACCACCTGTAGAAGAAGTTCTTAAAGCTGCGGGAGAGGACCTGGAGACGGAAGCCCACCTTCAAAGTAGTAGGACCACTACTGCAGATGAGCTTTTTGCTCCCTATTGCGGAAGGCATATCGACCCAGGTACGCGCATTTTGAGCGCGCTCACGCCGTACTCCATTTTTGACGGAGCAGGAGCAGCAAGGAGGCCCTCTACTGGAGGAGGTGGAGGTGGTGCTACGAACAAAAAGAAGATGAAAAATGCAACGTCCTCGAGAACGGGTGATGGAGGAGGAGGGCCAACAAGTCTTAAGGGTAGGTTAAAGGTGCTTTTGTTACCGTTTGTTATGGCTCTTCTAAGGGGGACAGCCATAACAAGCGGGATAAACGAACACCAAAAGCCTACCGCTAAAAGTCGCCGCGCACCTCTCCAAGCGGGAGAGGTTTTGGCCGTTCTTCGGGATAATGCGGATAGCATTTTCACTGATCCTCGCAACGTCGCTCAACTGCTTTTTCTCGGTGTCGGTCGCAGTCTTCCTAGTATTTCTTCTTCAGCTTCTTCCGGAACATCTTGGATGACTGCTAGAACTAACACTGGAACTAGTAGCAACATCTTGACGACGCGAATTGAGGCATTGAGTGCGATGTACGATTGGTACACAGACATAACGCGAATAACCTTAAGGCAAGAAGAACTTGTTTCACAATTTTCCTGATATTTCAAATCACTTCATCCTTTTTTTCTTCATCTCCTCTGCTTGGACACCCGCCTTTTTTTTTCTTGCAGAATTCGAACTCTCTGAGAAAGAAGAAGAGTTTCATTTGTTGAGCTTTCGATTTCCGAGAAATAGGGAACAATTTGAACTCGCCTGTGCTCTCTCTCTCTTCTAACCAGAGGCACTGCTCGAGGGGCACAGGATCTTCGTGGGCCTACCGTGTGGAAAATGCCAGGACTGGCTGCGATGGGTTTGCCACCAAGGCAGGCTGCGAAGGTGCCAAACGAAGAGTTCGACTTAAAGAAACTTAAGGCTACTTGCCGTAATTCATATTGATTCATCTCTTGACTACTAAGTATTTCAAAAGAGGTCTTTCATCAGTAACTGCTCTTCTGCCAGTTACGACTTTCTTCAGTAAGAAAGTGCATCTTAATCTTTCTTTGACACGACGTCGTTTGCAAGGGGGCATCAACGCGACGTCGAGGCTGCCTGCCATCTTGCGTCAAACAACTTCCTTTCTCCAGAGGAGGCACCTTTACACTGAGTGGCCTCATAGAAAGACGCGAAATGCTACAAGAGGGCTCTTCTGCTCTAAGAAACACTCGTTGGTGAAAAACGAGCACTCTCGCATCTGGCCTGTTCTTACCACGCATTCGAACGCGCATTACCATCATAGCGAGGACGACTTAACTGAGATTTGGCCGGACCTCTTCAATTTTGTCGGATCTGGGATTAGCAATCCCAGGTACATTGAGGTTGTCGACCGCAGGGGTAGAGTTACGACAGGAAAAAGTGTACTTACTCATACTCAAGAAAGTAGGCACTTGTTTCTCAGTAGGAATTAGAGAGTGCCTAAATTTTCTTGCGTACTACTATGAGTACCTACTACACTTTTTCCTTTCATAAGAGTACACAGACAGCTGATAAAGGGCAACGACGATCCACGACAAGATGCTTTAGTTCAGCAAAGTTTTAAACTGTGCTCGGAAATTCTGCTCGACAACGATGCTGATCAGGAAGGTGGGGAGATGCATCACCACGGTGCACTGGTTGACCATGTTGAAAATCCGACCTCTTCGTTACTCTCTAAAAGTGCTGGAGGTGGAAGTGGAGGTGCTTGGATGGTGGATGGCACTATATCCACCATTAAGGCTTGGACTTCAACTCAAGAAATGAATTAATGACTAACTAATGAAAGCACCTACAATCTAAACAATTCATCACCCTTCTCATATTGATGTGTCATACATTCCCTTTTGTATCCCTCTTAAGACCTTGAGAAATGAGCTGAAGAAACAGAACCTATGATCTCTACGTGGAAGTGGAGTGGAGGTGCCCCCCAGAGCCCTAAAAAGCTACGGTTAATACTACTAGGAACAGTACCATCTTCAGGGGTACAAACACATCACACAAATGAGACGCCAGAAGAAACACGTACACACATCACACACATACACACGTCTAATACTTTGAGAGCCAGAAGAAAGATGCGGCGGCGCCCTTTGGCGCTGCGAACCTACAAGGTGATCCCCTTAGCGCCGTTCCAAGGTGTTATGGAGTGGGTGCGACCGACCATCCCTTTCAAAGATTGGGCAGGAGATGCGCACGAGTACTATTTTCCGGAAGATTTGCGTCCGTTCGCTGATTCATCACTGCTTTCGAATCCGTTTTTCGTGGATCCTAGATTAAGGCTTGCTGCCTCTAAGTATATAATTTCACCTTTTAGAAGATGGAGGAGGTACATTCATCTTTGTTTGACAGCACGTAGTTTTCAACAAGGGGAAAACGCGCTGTGGTCAACGAAGGTAATGAATTAGAATTCAGGTAACAAGCTCTAAGTAGAGACCCGAACGCGCCCAAGGTATGCCCGCTCACAGGGTTCGATCGACAGGGGAGAAGTACGCCAGACGCGGTTCGTATCAAGGTTTATCAAGCCATCATGCAGCGAACTCATCCAGCATTACCGTTTTTTTTCCTATTATGAAAATCAAAAAGTCTGCACAACTCGCATTTTACCTGTATGCGACACGTCACAAGTTGTGTAAGCCTATCGCATATTCAAATTTCTCACGTTCTTCTTGAGTTTCCTTTTTCTGCCTTTTTTTTCGTTCTAACCGTAACCACGTTACCTGGCGACGAAACTTTTCGAAGAAGGTAATTCATCTCGGAAGAAGAAGAAGTACCTGGTACTAGGTAGTATTCGTATTAGAAAATAGTAAAACTTAAACTGTCCTCTAATTTTCGAGCGTTTTCCGGGATGCAGTGAGTGGCTGGCAGCGACGAGAAACTTCGCGACAAGTGTCGCTACAACTAGCATAGTCGGCTACATTTTCGGCATTGGCGATCGACATTGTTCCAATATCCTGCTTTTATGACAAGGATGATTATCTACAAATCACAATTCATTGCAGCTTGTGCGGCATGTTGTCTAGAAGTATAATAATGAAGTACTGCAAGCAAAAGCATCGATATGCTTGATTGTTCCTTCTTATAAAAGATATAGATAAACAAGACCTGAATGGACGACATGTGAATCCAATCTTCTTCTAAGCTTCGACCCTGCATCTGGGCAAGTGGTGCATATAGATTTTGGAATGATTTTTGATCACGCCTCTATTTATTTGCGAATTCGAGAAATGGTGCCCTTCCGGATGACCCCAGACTTTGTAGCCGCTCTGGGTTGCCAAGGCCTGAAAAACGCGTTGTTTCGTGGATCCTTTGAATCGACCTTGCACGCTCTACGCGGAAACATGGAGCTGCTGTCGACGGTACTCCTTTACTATCATTTACATATCACATTTGCCGTAGCCATTTTGGCTCAAGCAGGCTTTTTTTCGATCTTCCCCGTCTCTCTGAGGTGTGCTGCAAATCTTGATTGGCTTCTCCCTTTTTATAAGGTTGAGGCTTAGGCCCAGCGGCGCTCAAAGCACTAAAGAAAACAACCGGTTAGTTTTTACCTCTAGAGATCTAGCCCTTTCAGCAACACATTTGTCATCACGCACAGGGTCGTCTCCCCCTGTGCATTGTACCAAGAAGAACTTACATTTTCATTCTGATTAAGTAGAGAAACAAAGAGAAACAAAAACTAGTATAGCCACTCCGTCTGCCTCTGCTCTTATATTAAGGGTACGAGAAATCAATCTTCACTGTCATCTTGGTCCCGTTTTTAAAGGGAAGAGGAGACCCAAGATGCTGCTGAGGATGGACTTCCATTAGTTCTAATTATAACCAAGATGGAAACTCCATAATTGTTTACCAGATATGCGAAGTCTTCCTGGTCGATCCTGTCGCTAAGTGGTGCGTCGAGCAGGACACTGTTTGCAACGCGGATGCTGAGCACGCCTTGACCTTAAGGGTTCCCACATTACATCCCTCACTAGCATCCCTGGCTCTTTTTCCAGTAGGAAATAAGTCAGGGATGTTCTGAGGAATGTAATTCCTTAACCTCTAATGACCGGAATGCGGGAGAAGCTGTTGGATTTCAAAGACCCTCTCAATTTGCAGAGTTTCAAGGGAAACCCTTCCGCCTTTATCGCACACTTGCTCAATCAGGCTACGTCCATAGAAAACCTTGGAACCATTTTCTCAGGGTGGGCAGCGTGGTGCTGAGAAGCTGAGGAGTAGCGAAAGTACGTAGAAACGCGAAGCTGAACGCATTGAAGAAACCGAATACAGCAAGTTGATCACTCTACGTCAACTGTATCTGTAACCAAACAACAAACCAAAAAGAAAAACTTTAACTTCTGAGTCTTACATCACAGTTTCACTTACACTCATAGTCTTAGATCTCGACTATTTGCAATCGACAATGATAACATCCATATCATGCTGAGAAGTAAAGGAGTATCTAAAATGAAAGTTCTGAACTTTGAAACGCAATGAACAAGGGTTGTTTTTCCTTGTTAAGAACTTACCATCTCCAACAAGGGTTGTTTTCCCTTCTAAGAACTATCCCCATTGTCTTCCCTTTCGCGAAAATATCGATCCGTTATTGTTACATTTTGCACCCCGCCTAAGCGAAAGGAGTGCTTGGAAACACGAAATGTCTAAGATCGGAAGTAGATCTACTACGAAGAAGAGAACTGCAGCAAGAATGGGTCATTCTTCTTGGCGCAGCACTAGCGGTGTTAAACTTTCTCTAACTCATCGGTGCATGAAGGTTCCTCTGCTAATATTCACCAGTAGGCATGAGAGAACCGCTTTCTCACCGTGTATTGAAAAAAGGTATGGAAAAAACCGCTTCTGAATTGCTCCGGTGTCTGAAATGGAAAAAAATAGCGAGGGTGTCAATTTAATGCCGATGTGCATGTAGCTGCATACCGCCGCTAGAGCTACCTCCGTGTCTAAGCAAGACAAGGCCCCCTAGAGATTGATCAACAACATAAGTATGTTTTTAGGCTCCACCACCAGAAAGGGAGAAAAACTACATAAGCAATGATGCTAGTAAGAAAGCTTCATAAAAACTACGTTTATTTCCTGCCCTTTTTAGTATGCTTCTTTACGACACTCGCGATCGCGAACAACGTGAGACTCAAGGAACGGCCAGCTACGCAGGAAGAGGCGTACTACACGGAAAGCAGTCGACAGTCGGAGTCGCAGTCTACACTTAGACTTGACGAAGATAAAAAAGAACCTTCCTCAGAGAGCAAGGTCGCGGATAGCGTTGCACATCTTGTTGCCGCAACTTCTTCGTCTGGTAATGAGAACGGCGCGTATCACGACGAAGAAGGGGCGTCGTTGTCGGAAGACAGCGCACCGCAGTCGGTTAAACTCGAAAAAAATGTCATCACATCAAGTGGTCAAGTCAAGCAGTACGTCGACGGGGGGCCGGGCGTGCTGGATGATGACGACAGTGCCGTTACTTCTGCGGCTGGAAAAATAGGCGCAACAAGGAAGAGAGTCTTTCGGAGAGAACAAGATGTTCCGATGACCCGAGAGCAAAAACCCGTGAAGCATATTAAGCCGCGAAGAGACCACAGGAGAACGAGCAAGAATGGGAGTCAACGACATCATACCAGGAGTCGAGATGAAGCGATCAGATTCAACAAGAAGCGGAGAAGAAGAAGAACCGTTCCAAGAAGAGAGAGAATAGCCGTGCTAGAAACGAGAGGCACCGACGCGGATATCGAAGAGGACGATCCAAATGGATACCGAACAAAGTGTACTTCTTTTTGACTATCTAAGGTGCGCAAGCATATTACATTGTGCAGTAGATCATGATCATCGCATCTCGGTGCTACTTACCGTATCCGTATCATCCACACATCAATTTGCCACTACGAACATTGACTACATTCAGGCGACGCGATAAGTTTAGTCGCGGCTTGGCGAGCGTGCGGGATTTCCGATAAGAAACTAGAGAAATACGAAGAGGGTGACGACACGAGTTCTCTCGCTGCTGACGTTGATGATGATGTTTTGTGTAATCCTGTTTGTTATGGCTGGCGTTAAGTATGAATTGTATCAAACTCAGGTTACCAAATACTGGAAGCATACAAAGTAAGGACTGCTTCTTCCAGTCAATCCTTATAGCGGCGATGAAAATTCTACCACCAAAGGATGTTATGTCTGCCTTGGTTCTTCTATCTCTAAGTCTCTCAGCTCGCCTCAGAGATGTGTGACGAATTAGCGGGTGTTAGTCGTCGAAGAAACGTCGAAATTCGAGAAGACGACTCTGCGTGCGACGAATACTGGACACGAACCGATGATGGGACCATAAAACGCGAGGATTGGGCAGGTAATGACGTGACAGAAGAGGAGGAGGAAGAAGAAGAAGAACGAGAGGATGGCTCGGCGGTTTAAGGCATATACTTAGTAGACATATCAGTATTACAACTATGGATACAACTAGAAGGCCTTCTGCTAAATTTCTAGGTGTAAAATGAGTAGTGTTGTTGACAAATGGGCAGTAGACCACGTTGTTCTTGACCTCAGTGCCTCTATGGCTCTGGGCTAGATCAACGTCCTAAAACAAGCGCTAACAAAGTGGTGCTGCGGGTTTCTCACTGTGGGGCGGATCACCGCGTCGGAGTGGCGAACGAGCTGCGTTCCTGCCCTTTTTGTGTCTGCTTTTCACAACAGCTATTCTCAGTTCCTGAAAATAAGAAGCATGACAAAATGAGATATCGTGGCATAGTCGAACCTCGAGCCGCCGCTGCATTCGCTGCTTGCGGGAAGTTTCCCTCTCTTGCATTGTTGTGATTGTGTGCTGAAGAATAAAAAAAAGTGGACCTAGACGCTGCAGCAACAGAGTGCTTCGGTTCAGTTGACATGAACTTCGGCATGCCCTCCTATGAATGATAGTCTCCAACCATACTTCCGTCGGTAGCTCCGTCAACAGTCAACATCTTCGGTCAAAAATCAGTGTTAGTTCCAGCAATCGGATGTACTTGGACACTGTTATTTAGCGATCGGTTGCACTTGGACACTGATCGTCTTTCTTCTCGCTCGGTTCTGCTACCTCCGCAGTGTATCGATCAGTAATCCCAAAGAAGCCTCGTCCACTTCAACATCGATCAGTAATCCCAAAGACTACCTAGTTCTTCAGACCTCCACCTCTTGTGTCACTACTTTTACAAGTTACGTGACTTCTTTTTACAACTTTAGTTTTGAATTCTAGAAAAACTTGTTGTTGTTACGTCATTTGCAGTTAGTTTCTTTCTTTGGAGTGAAATAGTTTCTTGAATTCTAAGGCCAATGTGATTGTTGTGACGTCATTTGATTAAATAACTCGTCTGTGCGTCAGCTGCATACAGGTGATATAATAAAAGCAAAAGGACGATGCAGCCGCGTCGCACACGCGATGGGGTGCGGTTTGCGTCGCCTGCTATGCTTGACGCAATTATGGATCTCACGGAAGAGAATGGACCACTGACGCAAGATGAGGGATCTCCAGGAGACCTCGTTGGCCTCGTCGAGGCAAAAGCACGAGCTGGGAAGAAAAGTGTCTTTGTGCCACTTCCGGGAACGACAGGGCGTAGAGCGAGTCAAGGTGGTGGGAATGAAGAAGCGAGGACGGGTGATGTGGACGCAGATTTATGAGACAATTTTTGATTTGATCACGATCAGTCATCTACATCTTCTGGGTTACAACCTTATAATATATAGATTTGATTCACTTCCTCCTTCTCGTCCACAAGGATTCATAGAAATTGAAATTTGGCGATTCAACATGTCCTCCTTGTTTGAAATAAGTTGTCTTTGTTTCAGCAACGAACATAAGTGTACTGTAGCTCGTCTCCTTGTCTACCTCTTCTAAGACCCGGTTCACCCAAAAGCGAACGAATCAAGGAAGATTTGAAGCAGCTCGTGCGCGATTTAGAGAAGAAGATTATCACCTTTATCGCTCGCAATACTGTCCTGAAGCGAGATTTTCCGAAGCTCGTGCAGACAGAGACGGAAGCGGTCGTCACGTCTGCAATCGAAGCAGCTGACTTCGTCAAACGAGGGTCAAACGAGCAGACAGGACAGAGTGGAGGAATGACTGTTAAGAACGCCCACGACGCTTTCATTTCCGCAGGTCAACTAGTTGGAATACTGAGATGAAAGTGAACCTAAGAAGTGAATTGGAATTTACTTATATGTTTTCTTCTACTCGGAATACTGAGATGAAAGTGAACCTAAGTAGAAGTTGGAATTTTTGTTTTGAGCAGCCCTAAGAGGACTGCAGAAGAGATGCGAGAAGGACTGAAGGAAGACGTTTTGTTGGAGGTGAAAGAAGAGCTTCGGAGCATTTTTCAAGAGCGGGAACAGGAGACAACCGAGAAGTACGAGCAAGCGATTGCAGATTTGAAGAAGCAAATTATAGGTCTACAAGCATCTACTTTAACGAGAACATCCGTGTGGTCCCAAGAAGATCGCGACCAGATTGCTGAGCTTGTGAAGCAAGAGGTTTTGTCTGCCAGTGGCAGTGTGTCCGTGTCCGCGCCTGAAGCGTCAACAGCTGGAGAAACAGTACAACAGCAACTGCAACTTGTAACCGAATTGCAGAACCGCCAGGACGCAATGGACCTCAAGCTCCAGGAGACTGAGAGTAGTCTTGTAGACTTGGAGAACAAGATCGATGAACAGGAACAGGCAAGCGAAAGCGCACAGTCGGGTTTGAAGAACGACATAGACACCCTCAGCCAGAAGATGGAGATCATGCGGGCGAGGCGTGAGGATCACGCAGAACGACTGACGAAAATCGAACTACAACTTCGACGTGGTGCAATACTGAATCCTGGCACAAGAGCGTCTACCAGTAGAGGCTCGTTTCTGGCTCCTTCCGAAGACCAACAGGCTGGTGCTCTTGTTGTTCCAGCCTCTTCTCGAAGTAATGACAGAAGTGAGCACGAAATCGACAACAACGTTGACAACAACAAGTCGAAACAAGAAGATCGTATCGGTATCGGAGGAGGTCGCGTTGCGCCAACTGCTCTTGTCGATTCAGACGGAAACGTGCCTGAGAGTGTTGAAGCCACAATCCGGGCTGCTGTTGACTCGCGGATGAGAGAGTTGGTGGATAATGTCGAGCTGGTCAAGACCGCCACAATGCGCTTTCAGGAAATGTGCGATGAGTTGCAGAAAGGGAAAGCAGGAGGTCAGCTGGACGAGGTTGGGATGAATAACACTCCAGCTACAAGAACTCCAGCCACCACTCCCGTTGAGATTATGGGTGGTACCAAAACGGTCATCCTTTACGCCATCTTTTGGCCGTTTCCTTCTTGGTTTAACAAGCTAAAAGACGTTCTAAAGGATGGGTTGTTTGTGCCTCTAATGAGACCAGCGCCGCCAGTAATGTGAAATCGAACGTAGACTTCCTACAGCTGCAGGGAATCAGAGCAGACATGGAGCTTCTACAAGTGCAGAGTCGCGAGTTTCGAGTGGGGGTGGACAAAACCCTGGCCGCAAGGGAGCGAACCTTGCTGGAGCACGCTGCAAAGCAGGTAGCCGAGGCGCGCGAAGAGGCCCGTTCTGCCCTCAACGAGCATTGCACGACAGAGTGGAAACGGTACAAGGTTAAGGCTTATTTAGTCGATCTTCTGTTGGAGCGTCTTGGAGCTGCACTGTGAGCACTGAGCAGTTTCAAGATGAATCTTCTCAAGATGCATTATGAAGATGCATTTGGGCGAGCTCTAAGAAAGAAAGCGTAAAAGCCGAGGTGGATCGCCTACATGCGGATTTGACTACCAAAGTAGCTGAGTTTCAATCCCGTGTCTGTGAGTTCCAATCACGTATGTCACGAGCAGAAAGCGACTTAGGGACACGACTCCAAGAAATGCAGGTAAAAGTCGCCTCTGGGAACGCGGGTTTTGATACCCGAATGGAAGCCCAAGAAGCCTGGACGGTAGCTCTCGTGCAGAAAAATCGCAATGAAGTGGAAACTCACGTCGAAAGCAGTCTAGAGGCCATGCTGAAATCTCGACTATTAAGGTTGTAGTTCTTCACGACTATCGCAGTCCCATGTGGACTAGGCTGAGTGAGATTCCCAGATTCCGATTGGCTCCTAAAGGGGAAACCAAGGCCGTGCAAAGGGGCAACTCACTCAACCTACCACGGATAGTGAAAAACTAGCGTTAAGACTAGCAGAGGAACACGCTGGCACAGAGGAGCTGTTGCGAGGGTCGGAGATGCGGTTAAGGGAACACTTTGGAGGACTCCAGTCTTCGTTCCAGCAGAGCATAATGCGCGAAGTGACGGCAGCACTACAGTCGAAAACAAGCGCAGGAGTAGGGCATCTTCATCTTGCACCTCAGCCACTGGTTGTTGACGATGATGGAGGCGTGGTAGCAACTGCAAATACAACATCGAGCAGTAGCACCAGAAAAAGTACTTCTAGTAATACAACTGGTGGTCCTTTACTTACTGATGTTACGGCTACAATAAATGCATCTTCACAGGCATCCTGAGACCGTTTTTCAAGGGGAAAGCAGGCCCAAGATGCTGCTGAAGATGGATTTCCCCTAGTTCTAATGGTGGCGGTGCAACTGCTTCATCGAAAGATCTCCAGCTATCTTCTACTACAACAACTCCAGGAGGGGGAGGGCCATTCTCACCACAGCAACTCCAAGCGCTCATCCAAGACCATTTGGAACATCTTCTATTACATAATCATGGCCCTAATCATGAGTCCGAATCGCACTTCCTCCTAGCGCTTGAGGACGAAATTCAATCGAAGGTGGAACCGCTAGTGGAGGCTAAGTGTATACAGTTGGCTCGAAAAGAAGTCGCAAACCTACTTTTTGTTAAGGCTCAAGAACTTTCATGATTGGTCATTCTTGAAGTTGGTCACTGACAGCACCGAAGCGGAGCAGACTCCTTGAGACAACACGGGAAATCTAAGGGAAGAAGGGGACGAAAGCTCTGTATTATAAGGGGCCTTGTCCCGTTCAGAGTCAGTGACCAATGACTGCTGACCTTTAATTTTGACAAAGAAAGCACTTGGACTGCTGATATAGACACCTTGCGCCAAGCACTAGCTCTCAAATACGATCGGGGATCACTGGAAGCTGTGTTCGAGCAGATACTGGTCTTATGAGATGAATCGACTATTGTTTGTAGCAGGTTTTTTTCTTATAAGTACAGATTTTGAGCTTGAGGCACTAGACCAGAAGAAGAGCGACGAGAGCCCCTTCACCATAGTTTACTGTTTACCCAAGTGGCGCTAGTGCTGATGCAGGTGGTCGACTATTGTTTGTAGGTTCTGAGCTTGAGTCGCAGTACTCTTTTGATCCATCTCTAACCGACGCTTGTCTTTTCAAAGACGGCAGTGTATGTTGCGACTCGCTGACGAGTATGGTTCGACGTATCGCCTTACAAGAGATGAAGTCAGTCACGGCTGGCACACCCAGAACTGCTGCCGGTCGACGTGCTTCTGGAAGAGCCTCTGTTAAGGTTGTTGTTTTTGCTAAGTCGTTTTTCGCGCAAGGAAGTTGGCATAGTGAAAAACTACAAATAACCGTCAGGAGAGGCATCCCGTTCTACTTCCAACTCTAACGTTCCTGCTTTCCTGTCTCAGCAGCAGCAACTTTCGGCCACACCGACGGCCGAAGGCGAAGCACAACCTATACTAGGTAGCACGAACAGTGCGATGGCAATCGAAGAAGGTGGCGAGCAAGGTGGTTCGCATTTGCTAGTGACGCTTGTACAGCAGCACGTCGCACAGGCAGCAGAAAAATTGAAGAGTGAGCTTCAGGAGTCGCTAATTCCGAATGCGGTTAAGCAACACTGGTCACGCGTGCTTCGTAGTGTGGGAGGGGAGGAAGAAGATCTTGAACTTGATGATCTTGAAATGTCAGGTTCTGGAAGTTATATGCTACGAGATGTTGGTAGTGCTGGAGGTAGTAAGGCATTTTCTGCAGCAACTTCTGGAGATGGAAGTGAACAGTTACTTGCTGTAAAGTCATGGCGGGAAAGGGCACAGTTAGAAGGGATTCATGTACCCAGTACCAGTCCAATCGAAGATACCTAGTCTAAATAGCTGAGCTTCTTCAAAGGACAGCATGATGATGATCACAGTCGTGACAATGTGAACAAAAGGATTGTTGACCTTGAGGACTGATGTTGTTGTAGTTGCTTGTTGAGCTTCTTTTTCCTCTAGTTGAAGAGTAATGCGATTTGTCGTAAATGCGGTTTGTCGTAATGCGATTTGTCGATGCCGGTCTTTCGACATCAATCTTCAGCTTCAAATGCAAAGACTGATCACGCAGGAGGCACTGCAAAGACTGATCACGCAGTCTTTGTAGATTCGGCTCTCTCACGAGTAATTTTTGTGTTCTTGTTGCAGCAACTGCGTGTCTGTTTGGGTCAAGGTTGTATCTATAGTCCCTGTTTATTCGCGTTCAGCGTCAAGGATGATCTGCTTCGGCCTTGTTGAGATCATGATCATCTTGGTCGACATTGCCCACCTTGTGTGGCGTCGTCGCAGATATTTTTGCGAATGCTGATTTATTGCTTCCTACTTGTTGCTTGTATTGGAGCAGACATCGGTCATACCTAGACGAAGTTGTATGCACTTATTCTACAAGTATGCGCTTGTTCTACAAGTTGTTTGACGTAGCAGTTGTTTGTAAGTTGTTGGCGAAGATGAGCATCTGGAAGATGAGCAGTTACACCAAGCGATAACTTCTAAAAGTTTGATAGTTTACCAAGTACAAGTAGATCTGGGTATCGTCCCGCAGCAGCACGTGCGTTGTCCCAGCATGGTAACCACAAAAGAAGGACTTTTTGAATCTTTTGTCAGCAACACAGTTTGTGCGGCCATGCAGTAGCTAAAAAACAGTGAGTGTGTTATCTTCTACATCTTCATTAAAATTTCGCGTGGATTGTGCACAATTTCAGACACAAACAAGACAACTACACAATTCAAGACTACAATCGCTAGGCTACAACGACAGACGTGTCACATTGGAAAATTTTTTTAGGAGGTTTTCTTGTTGTTTTCACTTGACACATTCACATATCTGGAGTTTGATCTTCATCTTCTGGATACATAGCATAGACGTAGACCACATACATTTACATAGACATAGCAGTCGCATAGACACAGTTTTCTGCATCCATCTTCAAGTGCCAAACGTAACAAAAGCATATAATTTTTAAGCAAGTTGTCTCCTTCCGTAGTTTCAATCATCATTTTTAAGCCAGTAAGTTGTATCTTCTATTCTCGTCGGAGCTTCTAGCTACCAGCAATAGCTGGGGCCCGAAAAAAAAATGGCGCGTCGTCCAGCTTCCTTCAGCGGTTATAGTTGGTGTCTACTTTTTTGGTACCAACTTCTCTTGTGGGAGCAGCAGACTGCCTTCGCCGCCAACCCGCCATCCGCGCCATCATCTGACGACGAAGATCTTCGCGAGTATGGGAAGAGGTTTTTTAACAGTCTAGACTACTAAAGGAATGTAGACTACTAAAGGAATGAATGAATTTCAATTTGTTTAATGAAATGAATGAGGTACTTTTTGTTTAATGAGGTACTGATAAGAAGCATGATTACCTCCGTATGGGACCGTAGATTCACAATACTTACCTCCCTTAACTCGGGGAAGCATTATCAGTACCTCCGTATCGGTAAGTATGAATTTGTTTAATGAAATATCAAGTCTTTGCTCTTCCTTGCTTTATTGAGGTTTAAATACGAGTGCGCGAAGTGCGCGCTCCACGGGGGCAACGCCGGGCAAAAAAGGTTCCACCTGCTCAGTGCGTGTAGCCGAGCGCCTCCCAGCGAATAAGTAGACGACTAAAAGAATGAGTGAATAGAGGGATACGAGGACCAAATATTTTTATAAGAGGATCATGTACTCTTTTTCATAATGGAGCTTTGAGGAGATCCACTGAAGACGTTGACGGTCCCCCAAGGGACCACCGAGGTGTAGATGGGGATGGAGACAGTGATGGAGGAAATGCTGACCATACAGCAAGACCTGCTCCAGGACGCAATAACCCAGTGCCTGCGCGAGGACCTAGGGAGCTACTGTCCGTGCTGAACCTGTTGTTAAGGGTAGGTTAAGGGTGCTCGCGTTACCGTTTTTTTTGCCGCTCTTAAGCGGGTAGAACTCGTCAGGGACATCTGAGGCATCAGAGCGCAGAACCTCTCTCCTACTCCACGTATGTAGATATGTACATATGTATCCGTATAGGTCCGTATATCCGTATACATAGCGGGAGTACACATCTTGCCGAATAGATTCAAATCATCAAGGGAGAGAGGCAGCAAAAGGGAAACTCGCAACACAGCTGCAACGCCAAAACGAGAAACAGAAACTCCTCTAATGTTGCGTCAAACCCAGGCGGCATTGCACACCCTTCCTGAGGCGGCCCGTAATGCTGTTTTAAGGCTACCACGACCGTTGTAAGTACCTCAACCAACGTGAATGATCATCCTAGTAATTGGCCCTTTTTCTATAATTGAAATATTTTCAAGGTCTCGGGGAAAGTTCTAAGTACGCGTCCAACAGCTGAAAGAGGAGGAGATGCGACGACTCCTGCTGCAGGAGGAGGCGATTCTAATGTTAAGGCTCAATATATTTCATTTCTACAAGTCATTTCTCCCTATTTCCTTCTTAGGATTGGGAGAAATGTAGGCAAGAAGTGAATTGTTTTGAGCTCTAATAATGCAGCTGCTGGAAAACAAGCGGCGGCAAAGCCGCCTGCTGGAAATCGACTTGCTGTAGGAGGCAAAGAAGCCCCTCCACCGCCGCCGAAGCCGAAAGCACCCAAACCCCGTCACGCAGACCAGGATAATCGTCAGGAAACTGCGTTTCCGCCGTCGCAGAGAGGAGAAAATATTAAGACTTATAATTTCTTACTACAGGAGGAGACTTATAATTTCTTACTACAGGAGGTGGAGTTAAGTTGTGAAATACGTTACTTATCATTTATTTGAGGTCTCAGGGTAGATAGATATTTGGATTACTTGACTCTTTTGGGTTGTTTGTTTCCTAGTTAGGTGTGCTCCACCGATTATATTTGAGGTTTCAGGGTGTCATCGTACAGTCTAGGGGTTGGCATGCTATGCTAGCCAATGATAGACTCAATGGAATGGTCACCACTGAAAAAGAAGCGTCTTTGTTTCACTCCGGAGATGGTCTTTAAGGGAACGAAAACGTGTCAAAGATGCAGCCTGATGTTTTCAACAAGGAACTGGAGGAATATTCTTAAAAATGAGTGCATAGTACTAACTACGTCCTCTTCTAAAAATATGTGGCAGAATTTTGAAGGAGCTTTGTCCCCGAAGCAGGTCTTCGAACGCGATCAACCAGACGATAACAGCTTTCGTCCCGGTACTTTGTAGATGTAACGTAAGCATATAATATATTGAAAATATTACCGTAAGCTGCATTTGAAAATGGACCTTGAAGAACCTTGAACAAAATTACAATCAAAGTAACCTATTCGAAAACTCAAAATAAGCGAGGTACTGACTGAAGCAAGAAAGTCTTGACTACATTCCTCCGCTTTCAGTATCTCGAAAAAAATCGCTTATTTCAGTATGTCGCTTATTTCAGTTTATCGAAAAAAATCATCACAGCAAATCCGTCCTGGAACGATGCAAAAGTAACGTATTTCAGTTTCAAGGATCCGATTCTATATACTTGGTTGTTCTTTGATGCGGACGATGGTTACGGGTAGTTTTTCACTATCTGACGTGGACTATGCTGAGCATAGTGAAAAACTAAGGCATAGTGAAAAACTAAGGCGTTAAGGCTTGGAGTGGCGCTGGATAGAAGGCGCCACGCCTCAACGACCCGGACGCAGTTTAGAGGAAGCACTGCACAATCGTGGGACATGTTTATGAATGATATTCTTTCGACTCCAAGTCCAAGAGGTGGCTCAGTAGGTACAAAGAGTTTTCACTAGTTGCCACAACAGGATCGAGTCAAATCTACATGAGTAGCTTCGTGACGATTTGTTTCCCTTGGTGCAACATTGTAGTGTCTACAAGAACATCATAGTGTCTACATGGTCGTGTCTACACAAATATCCCTTCAACTACATCGCAACACTTTCATTTCCCTTCTCGCGCGAGTCAGTCCAGCACATTCTGCGGGGCGCAGAGCCCAAAGACCCCTTTGTGCGGCTCCCGATTAGCCGTGGAGATTTCGTTGACTGCACTGAACTGAAGGAGGAGGTCACAGACATTTTGTCATTAAGGAGCACGTGTTGGCTGATGTTACCAGTAGTGTAGGTTGTTCGTTGCTAGCAATGTTGTACAAGCTGCTTGCTCAAGAAGATGATCTTCTTCTCTGTGTCACTACCAGAACGATGACACTATTGATTATTTAGTTGATATAATATAAGCAAATTATTTTTGAATACTCACTCCATGGTTTGGCTTTCGGTTTTTACCTTCGAAAAGGGGTATTATTAATTTGAATAATTCATATTCCTGTAGTGCAGTTTCTGTGCACCCACGGTCTTTCCCAGTATGTTCACTTTGACATCTAGGAACAAGACTAAGAGCCATAGTATATTCACAACCAGAATATTAAACACTTCAGACACTGAATGGTTCCGGTATTTTTGGTGTAACCTGAATTTGATCATAAGGGAAAACAAGAAGTCTTCTAAGCCCTGGCGACTTGGTCTACCACGATGATGGACGCGTACTGCGTGACATGCGAACGGAGAGGAGCATTGCTTTGCGCAATAAACGGAGGCTTGAGGTCCTCGACTACTACAAGCAAATTTAAGGGTAGGCTATAAAGGTGCTTCTGCTATACCGTTTGTTATGGCTTTCTCCCTTAGGTGGGGACAGCCATAACAAGCGGGGGATAAGCGAATAGGAAGAAAACCTACCTCTAACAAATGATGACTACATGCGCCGCACTCCTTGCCGTTTACGCGTTTCTTTTAAGGCTAGACGTATTTTTACCTTTAGTAGTCCGTTTGGATGTTTTTCTTTATGGGGATGGATCCCATCTTGTTTGTGATTTGGGGTTCATAAGTAAGTAGTACAACGAGAAGGAAGCAAGATATTTTAGAGGGATCATCCTACTTCGTTCCCTTTGCTTAGAGGCATACTCATCGCAGAGCTACGCTAAAAACGATCATGTACTAGTAGTCGCGGCACTAGCGTCTCTTCTAAGTCTTTATGTGGTGCTTTTCGTGGTGATAGGCCGAAAAGCCTGCTGCAAATCACAAGAGGACCCAGACGTTGTGGCAGAGGCTAAGCGTTTCAAAGGATTCACGAATGATGGATACAGAGAACCAAATGTGCAGTTTTTACGGCGAGGATAGAAGAAGATTATAAGGATCACACTGTTTCACATTCTTGATGTCGATTGTGATTTGAGTTAAAACTAGAAATGACGGAGTTACTAAGTGAAAGAAGGGCCATAGCTTTAATTAAGAGGCTACTCCTCCTTCAGTATCTCGGTTATTCTCGTCTGTTACTTGCTTATTTCAGTTTATCGAAAATAAGAAAGATGGAGATGCACCAGAACAATACTCCTTTAACATTCGGACAGGACGAGTCCACGTACGCGCACAGTTATGAGGTGGAGAGCGAAGCGGAAGACGAGGAAGCGCAAAACTCCGTAACCTGCAGACATCTGGGTGACTCAGCGACATGCATTATGCATCATCACTAGTCAAAAATGTCTTCTATTACATCTATTACTATGTGGACGTTTTGTAGCTTCTATTAAATACAACTACTTCTATAGACCACCACTATTATGCAGCTTTATTCACGTCAAGTAGCTTCTATTACAGCTACTTCAACTAAGTACATCTTCATGATCTCGGGCTTCTCCGGGTCCCTCTCTGAATTTCATCTTGATCACTTAGATTTTTTCGTGGAGGAACAACGGACTTCTAATACCAACGGTGTTAACCAGAACGAGTCTTCTTTGCTGCAAAACGATGCTGCAACCCTGCGAGCTTTGGTTTTTGGCGAACGCCTTCCGCCACACGAGAAGCCCTCTGTACAACCCTCTTTATCTTGTTCGGGTACAACTTATGGTACTACCTCTGGCACTAGTAAGTTTGCGAGTGCCGGTACTACGGGTAAAGTTGTTGGCGGAGCTAAGGGGCATGATGAGCAACCTCCAGCTGTGCAAAACAGCATGGGTTAAGGCTACCGCTGAAGCATCCTCAAGTAGCTCATCCTTGGCTCTTTTTCTACTTGAATGCCAAGAAGCCAAGGATGCACTGAGGGATCATGCCAAGGAGGCACTGCTCTAAACGCGACAAGCAGATGGTGAACCGGAACCAGAAGGGGAAGAACCAGAAGGGCAAGAGGAGATGGCCCTTCTAGTTACGAATCAGAATTTGAAGAACCAGGGTTTAGGGGTGCAAGAAAAGATGAATGCATCAGCTAGTACACCTGGCGCTCTAGGCCAAAATCAGCAGTTTTCAGGGGCGTTTGTCCCTCCTGGTCAACAACATGGGACTGCGAGCCTGCCACGACCTTACCCAAGCAATGTCGCAGGTGAAGGTTTGCCCCGTGGACCGGGAGGCTTCGGTAATTCTAGGCTTTATCTCTTCATGGGAATGATAAATTTCTTTGTACTTGAAGTGCCTCGTCAAGAACCTCCCAACATCTGGTCCTTCTTCGATTAAACCTTGTCCATTATCGCCTTCATTCATTTATAATTACGTCCTCCTTCTCAGAATAGCAGCACAATGAGATCATTCTAGAGTAGAGAAACTAGATCTTCTCTCGTCTTCTCTCACGCTTACCAGTTATTACGTCCTCCTTCCATTAACTTTCATTTATCCAACAACCCTTCCAACATAAACCTTCATTCATTATTTTTCTGATAGTATCTGATGGACTTCGTGCTGCTCAGGTATTGTACCTCTAGGTGTAGCTTTCTTCATTTCTAGCACTGTTCTCTCCGCTTCAAAGCTTATTAATACGTCATCCTTCCATTATCATTAACCATCCTTCCATTTACTACAGGACAACTCTAACTGAAACATTACTTCATTTATCCAACAACCGTTTGCTCCTGCAGGTAGATGCTATATGTCTATCAAGGGTGCACAGAACAGAACTTCATGATTAACCTGCTCCCTTCATGATTTTTGCACTCGCCAGGTTATACGCTTCGTGCTTCGCCGTACGATAATTTGCCTGATCGCGTAATCAAAAGCTTGGAACAGCAAGAGCGTGAGCGCTTGGCCTCTTTTCGTGTGCAGGCGAAGCAGCCACTTTGTTAAGGCAACCGTTAGCGCATCCTCAGCACCATGCCTGGCCAAGGGAAAAAAGGGCACAGGGATGGGCGCGGGGATGCGACGCGGTAGCTCTAACTTTGCAGGTCGAAAACCTTTTGCGCCGTCTTTTGGATGATTATCTTAAGGCTAAGTATCTTCTTGATGGGGGGAGAATCTTCCTGGGATGGGGTCGCTCCATCAAAGAGGGGGAAACTTTGAGGGAAACTCAAGTATCAAGGATTCTTGAAGCGACCCGTCGGTATCAAGAATTCTTAAAGGGTGATCAAGAAATTACTTAGAGTGCGACCCCCGTAGCCATTTTGGCTCAAGTGTCTCCACATCCTTCTTGCTTGCCTTCTCTCGTCCTCAAGTGAGTTCGTCCTTCGATTCTTCTTTCTTACTACCTTTCCCTTTAATGATGAAATGTGGTTTAGAGTGCGACCCCGAGGCCGCTTTTGACCCTCCAGGACCTCCTAAGCTCCCTTCCAGGACCTCCTAAGCTCCCTTCCAGGACCTCCTAAGCTCCCTTCCAGGACCTACTAAGCTCCCTTCCATGACCTCCTAAGCTCTAATCATCGCCTTTCTTGTTCTCACTTCCGCTACGTACATCACTGGCTGGATTGCGTGGCGTGCGCGAGACCTCCGCTTGAGCATCAGTGACCCTGAAATTTATGATTTTTGACGGAGGTGCTGTAGGTGAAGATGATACTGTATGTGACTAAAAATTTTTAAGTAGCTGAGGGTGAGTAGTTTTTTTTTGGTTATATAGTCCTCATCTTTTGATATCTTCGAGGACATGATTTCGATTTGTTCCACTTGGAAGTAGAAGTGTGGTAATATTATTTGTTGAAAAATGCTCCCTTTTATAGATGAAGGCTTTCACCTTTTATAGATGAAGGCTTAGGTCCCGCGACGCTTAAAGCACTAAGTAAGACAGCCGGTTAGTTTTCACCTCTGCAATTCTAAGGTTATCCCATGCAACAATATGCGTTGAATGCTTTGAACTTTTACCTTGATGCTTCTAACCTAACGGCAATGGCCGCATCTCACCTGCTGCGAACGCGCAGTTGCCATACGGAGTCGACCTCTTAGACCTCGACGCACGGACACGAAGGCGACGCCTGAACTGAGGCAACGGAAGAACAATGTCCTCTAGATGGAGTTACATTCCAAGGAGACAAGATAGATCTAATCTATTACATTCTATAGAGTCTACTAGATGGAGTGACAAGTTCTTCTACTACCTAGAAATAGGTAACACTTTGTAGAAGAAGATGATGATGATGATGATGAGAAGGAAAACGTAACACAAGTCTCGAGAAAATGTGTACTACTAGATAGACAAGAAAATCCACTAGGTCTACTTAGATGACAAGTGTTGGCTCTACTAGATAGACGGGTGTTGGGTTCCTCCACTGGAGCTGTGCATGTTCGAGGTCCAGTTTGTTCAGTTTTTTGGATCGCTTTCTGGTACATGCGAGTAACAATTGTTAGTTCCTCTAGGAAATGTTGATTGATATCAGGAATAAATATAATCTTTGTTGAACAACAAATAGAGTTGTGGTCGGTTTTGTAGTTTTGGCAAAGATGTCTGGTCCGTCGGGACAGGTCCACGTTGTTGTTGTCCACGTTGTTGTTCGAGAATATAGAAGGGATTGCATCGTGGTCCCGTCCAACTTTGGAACCCACTACAATCTACCTTTTCCCTCATCTGTGTCACTTTTTCTATTTGAAAGCAGCCCACAGATAGGCTAAGGGATGAACTACGTGAGGCCGTAACAACTATACTAGATACTTACTTCTTGTATCTTCAGACGTCTGTACTAGATACTTAGACTTCTTGTATCTTCAGACGCCTGATTGATTGACTGATCTTCAAGAGGACCGGTTCGGAGATCATCGTGGTCAGTTCCCTAGGGTCTGGCCTCAACGTTGACTTGGCAGGTCACATCGGAAACAAATGACATGCCCAGCATCGTCGTTCTTATTATTCACAAGTAGTAGTTGTTGTTGTTGGGATCGGCGACGAGTTCGACGTCGGTTTGATGAGTAATTACTTTAGGAGGTGGCTCTAATAACGGAGCAGCAAAATTATCGGGACGATAGATTCTCACATATTGTGTTTTTGCAATTTCAGCGCTCCGCGAGGAGAAAAACGCGGAAGTCGGGGCGCATGGGGAGTTACACATCCATAAGCAGAAGCATTCTTGCTACTAACTTGGAACACACTATTAAAAATGCAACATTCATACAAGACATTCTCCACAAATATTTTCTTCTTAAGAAGAGAACAGAATATAGAAGAAATACGGTCAAGATACAACTGTTTACACTTGTCAAGAAGCAATGGTTGTTCTTGAGGTTTGTACAAATCAAAGTGGATGCGATAATTAGGCTTATAAATTGATTCTCTTGAATTGCATACTACGACAAATATGTGGTATCAGATGCCTGAGCCGCGTACATCGTCTTGTTCTTGCTGGCTTGCTTGGCCCTAAGAACAGCTGGTTAGCCTGTCTACACAGATCTTTTGTGAGAACGAAAGGAGGAGATGTCAAGAAAAGAATATCGAATGTCACCTCCATGATGACCATCGGTGCAAATAGAAGGTAGCCAAAACAAGTGCAGCAGTCATCGTTTTATATATAGAAATGTTCATGCTGTTGTGTGTTAGGAGAATCAAACGAATTTCATGACAAGAGATCAAGAGAGCAAAGCGGTATGATTAACCGTTGATGTCAATCATGCCGTGTGTTGTTGAGGTCACCTCCATGATGACCATCGGTGAGGTTGAGGGACCCGAAGTTTGTCTCCCCTTCCTTTCCACCCGCCCTCCCCTATCCTAGTATCCCACCTAGAATTCGTTTTCACAACTCGAAATGGTTATGCATACTGGAGGTGTACAGTAACAGCTTTTGATTCAGAAACTACCTTGACATCCCAGATAAAATAAACGGTTAGCTTTCCTTCGACTTTTCCCTACTGCCCATAAACTCGTCCTCATCCTCATCGTCGAAGCGCGAAGGCTATAAATTTTTAGGCTTCATCATGATCGCTCCTCCAAAATCTGCTCCAACATCCAAACAACATTAGGCACTTCTCTACGTGTACTGTCATGAGTTGGCTTCCCTTAGGCCCCGGCAACTGCTGGGGCTGGGGTCTGATCACAGGAAGTTATTTTTGAAGTGATTCAAGTGATTTCTTTTTGCGAAGTAACTATCAAACTTCTTCAAGTATCATAATGTTGAGTAAAAGTAGTGCTCATCAATCGTTGAGTTCATCAATCTGTTGACCAATCTGTGTTGATACAACAATCTGTTCATCAATCTGAAGAAGCTTCTGTTCACCAATCTGTTGTTGATACAACAAACAAAGTCCGAAGATGTCGTCGTCTGGGCAGTTGGACTCTGCCAAGTACGATCCAATCGACACTTTGATGAAGTGTAAACAGACGATCCGCAGTCTCTCCAACGAATTAGAGAAGGAGAAATCAGAGCATGAAAAACTAAAAAGGGACTCCAAATTTTATGGAAACAAAAGCATGTAGTACATTTGGATAGAAAGATAAAAGCAAATTTCAGCTATGTAAATCGATAAATTTGGTATTTTGTTCGTGACAGTTCTTCATCTAACTTTTAGTCGGCACAGAACTCTTGGACGTGAAAAGTCGTTTGTCAGAGGCTCAAGGAGAAAGGGATAGATTGCGAAAAAGCGCACAAGAGCTGGACAAGACGAAAGGCGAACTGCAACGGACGAAAAAAAGCTTACTAGACGAAAAACAAAGGGTGAAAGATGATGCCAATGCAGAGACGGGAGAGTACAAGAGGAAATGGGAGAATGCTCAGGAGAGGGTACTAAGGATATGGATACTACGTTTTTTAGAGTGAAGCAGTAGTACAGTGGGAACAAATAGTTCCTACCTCACGGTAGGAACGAACTGTAGTGTCGCCTACTCTTATTCCTGAATAGTGTGTTGAGCTCCTACGTGGATCACCAGGTTGAATGAGTGAGACTACTCAATCTTCATCAAATATTTATTAATCTCCCCAGATCAACCAGCTCGAGCAGCAGAAGCAACGGGTAGAAGAGCTAAAATTAAGGGTCGTTTCCAAATTACATCCTCTACCCGCATCCTTGCAGCGCTTATTTCTAGTAGGAAAAAGGCTAAGAATGTTCTGAGGAATGTAATTCTGCAACCTCTAGTAAAAGACAGATTGCTGGAAGATGTGCGATATTTGGAGGAGCGGTCATCGCAATATGAACTGACCGTGAACCCTATTGTGGACCGACAGAAAAACGCCATTCTGGCACTCGAGCAGCGAGTGCAGCAACTTGAAGATCACTGCACGCAGATGGAAAATAACAGTACTAAGTATAAGTATCTAGAAGTTGTACAGTTGTGTTGAAATGGAAAATAACACCAGTACAACTTGAGGACTTCTAAGTAAATTGATGGTTGTCTAAGTAGTTCTTCATGTTGGAGTTGGAGAGACTAAGTAATCAAAATAGGAACTACTTACAAAACGTTGAAGCCACACCGTCGTCTTCTTGGTCGTCTTCTTGGAGTCGTCTAGTTGTGCATGATTTGTACAAGAGCTTGTCAAGACAACAACTGGGTAAAGGGGTAAACTACGTTTAATCATTCACTCATTCTACGGCAACTGAGTCATCTATCTGACACAACAGTCCAGCAGGAACGGGTAGCATTGCGGGACTATTATGAGGGTGAAATGGTGGAGTTGAGGGAGGAGTATGAGTCCCGTAAAGCAAAGATGCAAGAGGAAATAGATTTGGAGAGGCAGCATCTACGGGATGATCATTCTTATGGAGGATGTTTTTTGCATCTAGTACCATCTATCTTTAATATAATTGCAGGCTCCTCCGTTTAAAGATACTATGCGCACATTTTCGGTCTAGCGAAATAGAATCTTTTGGGCACCTCAATGGCCCCGAACGCTTGCTCCTTCGTTTTGAGTGAGCCAACTCCTATCCTATCCTAAAAGGGTAGCCGTGATTGTCTGCCTAGATGGAAAAAAACCCGTTCATAATTCTCGGAAGCTTCGCGAGACCGAAGATACAATACAAACGGTCGAGAAACTGTACGAGCGTGCGAGGGACGAAATTGCAGCAGTCAAAGACCAGATGGAGTTATGGAAGAATATGATTTCTATAGAAGATACCCATACACTTGATTGATGATGAAAAACTAATATCCATATCGTGATATTATCCTTGCTTCCTGTTTGTAGCTGTGTCTCCCTAACAGACGTATGATCTATTCATCTGCACTCTGTCCGTATGGAGACAAGAAGGATCCCTCTTTATATTGTTAAGGGACATTCTTGTATTTTACGTTCATTTCACGAGGCTTCGAAGGAGTACGAGGAGCGAATCCAGTGTGAGAAGCGGGAGAAGCAGGCCCTTGAGGTCAGAATAGAGGAGGGCGAAGCTCGTGAAGACGGGTTGAAGGTGAAAATACGGACCTTGGATTAAGGCCTCATCCCCTAATCCATCCTTTTGAAAGACATCCTGAAGAGTCTGCTTTTCAGGGGGAAGGTAGAGCAGAGTCTGCTCTTCAAGGGGAAGGTAGAGCAGGCGTCTAGGATGCACTAGCTTGAGATGGATTAGTGCGCGCGCTAATTTCCAGGAAAGGAGCGGGAACTAGGCGAGATGACTGCAGCTAAGCAGCAAGTCGATCGCGAACTGGAGAAAACCAAGAAGGATTTAAAAGCAGCTCTGAAACTTACGAATGGAGGAATAATCTTGTAGGGTACGATCCATTTTCTTTATTTGCAACGCTCCAGGTACTTTTTATGGTTTGCCTTTTTGGGAAAGTGTGGGTCCTCCAACGCTCAACAAACAAGCACACTTGAACTATATTTGCCGGCTAGCTTCCCCCGTGGTTTGCGCGGATATTCTTAGTTCCTTTTCACGGAATGCGCAAGGTCTACTTCTGCAAGCAAAATGCAAATGTCTCGTCGCCCCCTATTACAGTATTAGTGTATAGCGCAAATGCAAATGTCTCGTCGCCCCCTATCTACTTATTTAACAAACAGTATTAGAGTATACCTCTCTATAACAAACAGTATTAGAGTATTAGAGTATAGCGCTCTAAGTACTGTGTGGAGACTCTAGAGCATGACGGAGAAAAGCAACAGCGGAGTTCGAGATCCGCACTACGACAAATGGAAAGCGAGATATTGCATTTGAAGACAGCCTTGGACAATGCAGAGATGAAAAATATGACTGGACGATTTTCATATAGTCATTTCATTTGACTGGACCATACTAGAGATCGGAGGACTGGACAAGTAGAGTAGAGCAGAGATCAGCCATGATATGGGTAACAGTCTAGATAGACCCAAATCCAAAATTCTAGTCATCACCAAGAGTCTTCTCAGTCATCTTCTCAAAACTTCTACTTCATCCCTGCTCTTCTAACACGCACAAGGAGAAGGAAAACGTGCTGTACGAGAATCACAAGTTGCAATCCAATGTGCGGGATTTGACGACGATGGTAGACAGTATAAGAAGAGACGCGCAAGAGAAGTACGGCTCTGTGATAACCAAGCTGTCACAGCAAAACAGCAAGTTGAAAAAGGAGTCCGCTCAGTTTTATGGCTGCTTCTGACTGATTCCAGCTAGTCTACAACTTCTGTTGATTGAAGAAAAAGGCTGCCTTTTGAAAATATATATTATTTCGAATGTATGTTGTACAAACTGGAAGGGTGTGCGTCGCTAGTTTTTTCAGACCTTCCAGCTTCTTCTAATACAAAGCTCAAAATTTGAATCTGACGTTGGAGAACCAGTACCGAGAGGTGAGTCGGAAATACGACTCTCTCGCTGAGGACTATCGGCGCATAGATGGAGTACGGATAGCCAACAACAACTTTCGACCAGACGGTAGCAGAGGGGCACAACAACTCGAAGGTACTATTAAGGAGAATGTTAAGGATCGATCATCGTAGTAAATAACCTTAGCCTCTGCTTCCCACCTTTATGATGAAGATGAAGCACTCTTTATATTGTCCTATCCTTCATGATGAATGTTAAGGGTCTGTTGTTGTGCAACCTATTAAGGGTCTGTTGTCGTGCAACCTATTAGGGGTCTGTTGTTGTGCAACCTGTTCCAATCACTGTTAGTTTTCATACAGAAGTTTTGCTCTTATTTCCGGTTTTCCGTTCCAGCTGCGTGTAATTACTGTTGTAAAATTGCACCATTCTCATTGTTCATTGTACTTCGCCTGCACTTGTAATTGTGCTTCTACTACTAGTACAGGTTTGTTCTACATGTTTTTTCAAAAATGTACTACATGTACCAAAAATAGGGAAGCAAGATCAAACAAAATCTTTCTCTCCTAAATGTTGAGGTCGATCGTTTCTCACCTCTAAGAATCGCGCACCAGCACCACGAAGCATGAGTAGAGGCCCCATGGAGCAGCTGCAGGGTCCTCGGAGCAGTGCAACACCACCACATGGACATCGCTTGGGAGGACGGGGGGGGAGATAGTAACTACAGACGGGGACATCACTAATCCACTTCAATTTTTGCATCAACTCCTTTTTGTTCATCAACAGCCACAACTTCGTTTTCAACGACAAGCACTTCGTCTTGGACGACAAGCACTTCGTCTTCAAGTCTAATAATTTCAGCGTAAACCAAGCATATATTAAACGACTTCGATTTGTCATACTAATGAAGGTCGCCCGGAACACCTTACCTCATGCGTAGAAAAGGAGCATAAGACTCTTCATCTTCAGGGACAACACCCTATTTGAAATTAACTAAGTTTTATCGTTTTTTTATTCCAAGAATTTATTGCTATTCTACAACGACGTAGGTGTAGCGCTGATGTACGCAATCATGTATGTTGAAGACAATCCGAATCAATCATGTATGTTGAGACGCAATCATGTATGTTGCCCATCTGCTAGACTTACATTCAAAGATACCTACTAGTTTCCTTCATCATCTTCATCATCGACAGATCATTGCTCGAAAAAGTTGAGGTCATGGCTCATTTCATCATCATCATCATCAATTAAACCCTTTCCGTCATCGTCAAAATATTTTTCTCAGAAGGGCCTACATCTACTCCAAGAAGAATTATGGGGAGCTTCTACTTAAAGGCACCTAGTAGGTAGCACATCATCTACTCCAACAAGACATCAATTATCCTTTTGCTTTTTGATTCAGCACCAGTCACCGTTATTCAGTAATCATTGCCTCAGGACGACAAGAATTGCTTGCTTTTGAGCGACAAAATTGCTTGACGACAAGACGAAGATGAGAAACATCGTCTGACGTTTTGAAGGTCGTTCCGTAATTTTCTTCTCCACCGAACCGCGTTGATAGATGACAGTAAGTATACTACGGCTGCGAACCTGATGAGAAACATCGTCTGAGGACGTTGTTGATCGAGAACAATAGCCAATTTTGCATTGCTGTTTGCGTCTTGGTATTCTTGCACGCGGTCGACTCTTTCCTGGCTCTCCTGGAGCTACTTTCGTTGTTTAGTAGGCATGCCAAACCTGATTGCTTGACGACGAAGATTATCTTCATCCATTGCTGTGGCGGCAATTCATGAATGTCATCGCTTCTTCAATAGAAGTCTCTCAATGTTCCCGCAAGCGAAAGGGATTGTTGAGCTGGTCTAGTGAGTGAAGCATTATAAGTCTCCTGTATGAGAGCTAGTCTCCTTCATGTTGTCTTCCACCTGTTCGCTGCTTGTGAAACGAACTTCGCCCCGGCTGATAAGGAGGTAACCGGACTCCACCTGCCGCCGGTTTGCGAACCGGATAAAGCTGAGGCCGCTCCTTCAGTAGCCTCAGGATACAAAAAAAAAAGAAACTTTTTCTGATATCTCCAAATCCAAATCCAAAGTTGTTCTGTGTGAGGCGATCGGCAAATCGCTGGGAGTTGTGGCGTAGTCATTCCCTCAACCTCCTAGATTCTTGATCATTTGTAATGGGCGGGTTCGTAGCGAGTAGAATGATAGAGGAGCACTAAGTTCAGCCTGCCGCCGGTTTGCGAACTGGATAAAGCTGAGGCCGCTCTTTCAGTAGCCCCAGGATACAAAAAAAAATCGCACGCCAGAAAACTCTTAATCTTAATCTTAATCTTACTGGGCGTGAATGAGAAGTCAAACGCTAGTTGTTCTTTTAGGTATTGAGAAGTCTTCGAAATAGCTCGATGGCAATGGTAATGATTAGTCTGTGTTGTGAATATATGTTAGGTCGAGAAGATTTATTTCGATTGTAGTAAGCCCGTCTAATCACAATTTCACGGATAACTACAGCAACAACGTCGAGGCAGTAAGTCTAAAGGCTGATGTGATTAGACACAAGTAGCATTAAGTTAGTGATAGGAAAGTATTCCTTTTTTTTACTAGAAGAATATAGAGGAATGAAAATGAAAGTTTTTCTTGTTGCAACGCTCATCGATCTACTTCTATGCACGAGTATTGCAGGTGCGATTCGTGCGCAGGAGATGGTCCATATAACGGATGACAGAATAACATCTTGCATTCCTCCTGTCGGAACAACATCAAGTCTTTGGGGCCGGTCATCAACTGGCACCAGAGAAGGTGGAGGCGGTCAGCACTCATCACACCGTGTGAATTTCCTAGCTTCGGACGACTACAGAGGTGGGCGGTCCCGTCGACATCAAAGAAGATCAAGACCTTCCTCTCTCCTTGGAGGTACTATTATCAATTTCAACAATTCAACACGTGGTCAAGGTGAACCACCACGACGAAGCGAACTCCATTCATCACGATTGCATTCTCCACCGTTGCTCTCGCCAAGTCAACAGGATGATGACCTGCAGCCTACTCAGGATATGATTCAAAGTGCTTCAGGCACGACGAGCACCAACAACAACTGTTTTACAACTAGTAATACAACTAGAGGTCGTGGTCCTCGTCTCCATGAAGATGAGCTTGTTCCCCTTCCCACTACTACAAGAACTGCTACAAGAACTGCGACCTCTAAGAGAACTGCGAGTCGTCCTGATTGTACTTCTAGAAGTCCCCGTCGACGCCATATTAAAAGCGACCCAACATCACAGCTACTAGAACAGATGCAAGGCCTGCGTATATTAAGGGTACTACCCTAAGGTGCTTTTGTTACCGTTTGTTATGACTCTCCCTAAGGTGGGGACAGCCAGAACAAGCGGGATAAACGATAACGAACACCAAAATAAACCTACCTCTAAGTATAGTGGATGCAGTTGAAAGGAGCAGGACTAATGCTCTTGTTCTTGGTTCCACGACAGGAGGAGCTAATTATACTCTTGGCTCCTCAAGAACAGCAGGAGCATCCTCAACTACAGGGTCCTCATCATCCTCTTCAGCAGCTAATAATCTGGGGTCCTCAGCAGGAGCATCCTCAACTACAGGGTCCTCATCATCCTCTTCGGCAGCGAATAATCTGGGGTCCTCAGGAGGGACGACTGGTGGCGTACCTGTTCTTCCTACGAGACACTCGCTAGCGGCACTTGGTAGTTGTACTAGCGGAGTCTTCGAATTGCGGGAGGAGCCTGAAGAGGACGAGGGAGTGTCCCTCCACGATGGAAATACTAGCTCTCGAAAGAGACGGAAAGCAGACATCGGCGATGCTACTGATGACGCCGGGACAGATTTAGGATCGGAAGTCTCGCCCTGGTATAATTCTTCGTGGCAGCGGTCCTTTCCACTCGGACAAGAGCTGCGCAAGCACGAAATTTCTGAAGAGCAGGATGTGGATGAGGATGACCACGTTTCATTCGATGGAGGAGAAGACTCACCGTCACAAGTGGTTGGCAAAATTTCTTCAGATGCACAACAGCGTGTATTTTACGAGACAGGTGATGTCAGAGATCGTATTCTGAGGATGGGGAGAAGAGCAGCAGGAGACTCAGAGGGTGTTGCCACACAAGACCGCCTTGGGTATCCTAATGAAGATATTTCGGCTCCTGCTAGAAGTGGTGGCGCCAGCTCTTCGAGTGCTACAAGACAGGGTAGAAGTGGTGGCGCCAGCTCTTCGAGTGCTACAAGACAGGGTAGTGGCAGCTCTTCGAATGCCACAAGACAGGGTAGTGGCAGCTCTTCGAATGCCACAAGACAGGGTAGTGGCAGCTCTTCGAGTGCTACAAGACAGGGTAGAAGTGGCAGTGCTTCAAGTGCTACAAGACAGGGTAGTGGCAGCTCTTCGAGTGCTACAAGACCGGGTAGTGCCAGCTCTTCGAGTGCTACAACACCGGGTCGTAGTGGCAGTGCTTCGAGTGCTACAAGACCGGGTCGTAGTGGCAGTGCTTCGAGTGCGAGTGCAGTTAGTGCTGGCGCTACTTCTTCTGGGTCCCTCGGGACTGGTCATGTTTCGAGTGGTAGCGTAGCCGCGGGAAGCGGTATTAGAAATCGTGATCTAGTAATGTGGAGGCTGTCCTCGCTTGTCATGCCTAGTATTGATGACACTGCACTTCATCTTAACGAAGATTCTACTCTCTTAGCGGGTCCTGTCGGTATTCAAAGAGACAACGACTTCCACAGGCGTGCTCATCATGGCGCTCTCGATCCTCTTCTCCCTAGGGGGAAGAGTCACGGAGTAGCTGCGAGTGACTCCACTGGTATCCCCTCTGCAAGTGGAAGCGAAGATGGGAGTGAAGAAAGTTTCGTTTTTTAGTCCGAGCGATGATAGCTCACCCTGCATGTCTCCAGAACCTCAGCGAATATTATAAGAGTTGAGCGAAGCTACAACTCGTTCAGAACTCGCTGACGTTAAAGAAACGACCCTACGAAGTCCTAGGAGATACAAATAAATCCTCTTACAAGGTACCCAACGTGAATGACCAATGATTTTCCTGTCACTTAGTTAGAGATGTAGATACAAAGAAAGTGTGTAGTGTCCAACTAAATGTGTCGTGCACCAATTTGGTGATAAAAAGACGGAGCCCCAACGATCCAACGAGCATGTCCATGACGTAAAGCCTGGCAATGAGATCGTTTTTTTTCAAATGCCCCTCAGCTATGAACTTTCTTCGATGTGCTCTAAGAAGCTAAAAAATCGAAATCCATACTTGTAGTTGTGTAAAAAGTAAATATGAAAGAACGAAGTAGCGAAATAGCAATTGTCCGTACGTAAGAGAAGAGTCGATCACGATCGATCTTCATAGATCTCAAAAAATTCGAGTTGTCTGCGCCTGTTCGGGTGATACTTCGGACTGAGGTGACTATCAGACTCAGCATTGGGCAGCGCTTAGTGAAGACCCCTGCGTAGTTGTGCCCTATAGTTTCTTTTCATTATTCGACGTATGGCCTGACGATGGTGTATTTTTTGGCCCTCCACTTTGCCTCTCTCGTTTGCACGTTGTGTGAAGGGGAGGCAAAGGCAACCTATCGTATCCTGTCCTATCGTATCCTGTCCTATCTTCTCCAAGTCTCTCTTCGTATTCAGTTCCTACATAGTATGTCGGATTTGACTCTCTTTTCGTATTCAGTTCCTACGTGGTCGCACATCTACAGGGGTTCGAAAGAGTAGACTTTTCTATAGATAATATAGTTTTTTTTCACTGTAGTTCGTACTATGTACTATGTACTACCAGATTCTTTACAGTTAGTACTAGCCCCCTGGAGAGGTTCCCCAGGGAGAGGAGTCGAAGGGAAGACGAGACACTCGCTAGAGGGTGAACGTAGAGGGCACGCAAAGAAGTGCGCTAACTTTCAAAATACTTTCAAAATTCACGCCTTAACTTTCAAAATTCATGGCCTAACTTTCAAAATTCATGTCCTAACTTTCAAAATTCATGTCCTAACTTTCAAAATTCATGTCCTAACTTTCAAAATTCATGTCCTAACTTTCAAAATTCATGTCCTAACTTTCAAAATTCATGTCCTAACTTTCAAAATTCATGTCCTAACTTTCAAAATTCATGTCCTAACTTTCAAAATTCATGTCCTAACTTTCAAAATTCATGTCCTAACTTTCAAAATTCATGTCCTAACTTTCAAAATTCATGTCCTAACTTTCAAAATTCATGTCCTAACTTTCAAAATTCATGTCCTAACTTTCAAAATTCATGTCCTAACTTTCAAAATTCATGTCCTAACTTTCAAAATTCATGTCCTAACTTTCAAAATTCATGTCCTAACTTTCAAAATTCATGTCCTAACTTTCAAAATTCATGTCCTAACTTTCAAAATTCATGTCCTAACTTTCAGAATTCTTGTCTCAACTTTCAAAATTCATGTCCGAACTTTCAAAATTCATGTCCTAACTTTCAAAATTCATGTCCTGACTTTCAAAATTCATGTCCTAACTTTCAAAATTCATGGCCTAACTATCAAAATTCATGTCCTAACTTCGAAGGTTAGGGCCCAAAACGTAAGCGCCTAACTCAAAACGTAAATTCAAAATGTAAATTCAAAATTCAAAATGTAAATTCAAAATTCAAAATGTAAGTTCAAAATGTAAATTCAAAATATAAAAAGAAAAATCAAAATTCAAAATGTAAATTCAAAATTCAAAATGAGAATTCAAAATCAAAAAAGAAAAATCAAAATCAAAAAAGAGAAATCAAAATCAAAAAAGAGAAATCAAAATCAAAAATAAGAAAAGAAAACCAAGGCAAAACTTTATAAGTAAATAGATTTTTATTGAATTTGGGATCTTGTCTTCTACAACTGTTACCGACACCTAACGACCTGTCTTCGATTCAGTTCGTATGATCTGTCTTCGATTCAGTTCGTATGATCGGGTTCCAGATTTCGGTTGGGGTGGCACGATATACTTCTACCAACCAGTTTCGTGCATTTTGGAACAGGATCGCTTGCTGTTTTCTTTCTATTTGTTTTAACTGCAAGTTGATGATGATGACTGGGAAATAGTAGCTTTCTCTGCGCCCACCGAAGCTGGTGCTGGTGCGTCGAAAAACGCAGGCAGCTTCCTGCTGTCTCCAAAACGTGAAAATGCGCATAGTCAGAGGCAGACAGCATTCCGCAAACTCTTAGTGTCGAACATTTTGAAGTCGATGGTGCAAAATATGCAAGTAGCGTTTAGTATAGGAGGTTAATGCACTCCCACCATCGCCGGGCAGTTTCCTGGAAAGTATGTGGGTCATACTAATTTTTTAGTATACCGCCCGCCATAACCCCCTCGAAAAACTTGCAATTGTAATGGTAATTCTTGTAGTAAATTGAAGAACAGCATTTAGATATCTTGAAAAACTACGTATCACTTGACTGATTGACTGATCCAGCACCGGGTGGACATAATGATGATGATAATAATCGTTCGTGATTCTTGCTAGGTAAATGAATGAATGAATGAATTCTTCGGACGAGAAAAAAGTGGCGACAGCGATGCTTAGTACGTCGGACTTTACTTCTCCTTAGTAAGTGCTACAGATCAACAAACTGGAGAAAAACAAGAAGAAAACGAGGAACTAAGGGATATTCTTATTCAAATTATACTTGAGAAGCTTCTCTATGGAGCAGGTAGCTCAACAGACAGACCTTATCTTCACAGAACAATCTCAATTTTTACGAGCACCACAATGGCTGGTGGCTTGTAGTTGTACTAACAAACTAATACAATAAATACTAGTCTTACCTTAGAAGTCAGTTTTTGCTTTTAGTCCGAAAGCGTAGTAGTTTCAATTGTCGTTATTTGAAGAGTAGTCTACAATAGGGAAGATCTACATCCACTTATCAACTGTCAATCTGTCAGAGTTGCACTCTTGACGGAAACAAAAAATATGATAATAATCTTCAGCATCAACACACATGATACTAAGTAGTTTCTACATCGGATCGTTTTTTGATTTTACGGAATTCCCTATCGTAAAAAAAGCAAAACTTGTAGAACTACTAAAAGTGTTTGTGATGTTGTAACACGTGTATCATATGATATTTGATGGATGTATGTGCACGCAGTTCGTGGATAATTGCATCAGAGACTGAGGACGCGCGACCATTTTGATATGCGCCGCTGCCATGTGACGTGTGAACTAAATTATAATTGTGGCGTTATATTCTCTCGTAACTCGTATAAATAATCACTGTTGAAGAATAAAGAAAGAGGACGAAAAACAAGAAGCACCATCATGCTGAATACGATGGCTAAGGATTTGAAAAAGTAGTCCTCGTCTAGCTGGTCTTAAGCCTTTCTTTGTATATATATTCATATTCTAGTTGTAAATCTTCAACCATCTAGGAGTAAGCAGTTGCTAGTTTTTGCGTGTCTTTACAAATATTTTCCTGTCGTTCTACTACTTCCGAGCAAAACTTCTCACGATTGCTTTTTAGTCCTCCCAAAAGCAGGGAAGTAGATAGAGCACCCTCTTGATTGAAAATCGATTGACCGAATAGGTACTACTAGATGAACAGGAACGCGGATGAATATTGAAGCTACCACATTAAGTCTGAGAGTTTGCGTGGCAGAATGTAGAAGAAAGAGCTTGATAGTATTCCGCGATCGGCAGTTGTTGTTCCTAAGAAAACTGCTTTTGACTCTAGTAGAACTTTAGTGAAGTAGCAGGAAGGATTCTCGACCGAGAAAGAGATCCTTGAACTTAGAGCTTAGAAATTCTACGTACTAAGATGCATTCTCAAGGTTCTTGTCATAGGCGCATTAGTGCTAAGAAGCTAGCTAGGTGGATCCGTAGTCTTCTGAAAGAGGAATGAATGAAAGCAAGGAGCAAATCCCTCCCCCTTTGCAACCAAGCGTTTCTTTCCCCACTCCCCTTCGTCGTAACTTACCCCCAGAATGGGTAGATTATAAGTCCTTGCTGTCTTTCTGTCAGAAATATGCTCTCTCTTCGCCTTATTTCGTTTACCAGTCTCAACTACTAATAATTTCTGTGGTTTATTATTATCCCCTCTTCGACCGAAGGAGGAAACTACAGCAACGGAGAGTAGTGTAGCAACGGAAGAGTCAAGAAGGACAAATCCGCCGAGTGGGAAGAATCAGAAGTGCAACGCGGCAGAATCAACCTCATGTTCTACCGGGGCCTACATACACATGAGTGCGACTCAAGACAACATTCTCAGTGTTCAGCCGGATACAACCACAAAGCAGCACAAAGACTTCGCCACGCTTCCATATCAGGATATCAAATCAACAAGCGAAAAATACAAGAACATTCGACAAAAAGCTGCTGTGGTGCAAGTTGCACTAAGAGATAAAATTGCTGAAGGAGGTCCACCCCCAGCGCGTAGTGCCACTGCCAACCTGTACATCACTGGAGAACATGGGCAATGGCTTGCTGAACAAGGCTTGCCTCCAGGCAATGAAGCGACGGCCTATCACGCAGATCCCGATAGATTTGAACGAGCAGCGAAGGAACACAGGGAGCAAAGGGACATGGCCACCAATAACCACGGCGGTCCAGATGACCCGCTCAAAAAAGCACCTTCAGCAGGGGACTCAAACACCAAAGGAGCAGCTAAGCTCGTGCAGAGTAAAGCCAAAGGTCAAACCTCTGGCCCACCTCAGATAAAAATGACGAAGCACAAGGACGGCACCCAGAGTCACGAAGACTTACCAGGCCAGCAGCGAGGAACCAACCTGAAGGGTCCACCACAGAAACAAAAAGGGAACATAGATCGCTCGCACCTGTCGGAAGCAACACGTAACGGAATGAAAGGAAGCAATCAAGTTCAGATGCAGCATTCAACAAGGCAAGGTCATCCAAATACCAACAGGGTGGAGCAGCAGTTGGCAGATGTGGGATACGGAAATTACTCTGCTCCGCAAACGACGCATCAGCAGCAAACTCACCGTGTACACACGGCCTATACGGGACATCATCCTCGAGCTGGGACACTTGGGCACCATCAACACCAACAACAACATCAGCAACCCTTTCAACATCATGGCCAAGGACAGAATCACAACCAGCCCCAAAATCCACTTGCGGCGCAGAGTGCATCAGCTCATGCTACAGGAGAGCAGCAGCATTTCCAACAACAAAATCATCATCGACAGCAGATAATGCCTGGCCCATTGCCACCGGGGATCTCGCACTCAGCCACGGCTTACTCGGCTCAGCCGAATAACGGGACGCAGCACGGCATACTACAGCAACAATGGGTAACGGGTACCAATCCCGCAGCGAATCTCAATTGGCCGAGCTATGGACATGGAAGTGGTACTTTGCGTACTTTGCATCCTTCGCATCCTTCATCGCCTAGCCATGTATATTGCTATCTAGTCAATGTTGAGCTACCGCATAGCCATTCATGTGCAAGAAATGCAAGGTCAAGAAACCGATCCACACCACCGAGCGGAGCAGCCTTTCACTTAGGAAAGCAGACGACAAGAGCGCAGCCGATCTGGAAATCAGCCCATCATAATAACCCCGATCAATTCCTAGAACTACTTCAGCCAAGGAATACAAATCTGAGTAGGATCACTAACTACGTTTACGACGGTGTTCTACTTCGGACAGCAGCCACTCCCACGCTGGATCAGGAAAAGGAGCACTCTATAGCAGAGCCAGACCAATCTGATGCCGCTGATCATGATGCACCAATAAGTCGCTCCGGCGGATTTTGCACGGAGCAGATGCGCGCCTACTGCCCATCATCGAATACATGCAGGAAAGGAGGAAGTCCAACCAACTCTACGAGAGCACCCACGCTCTCGGCGGATGAAGCCGATATAACAGAATCTGAAGTAGGAAGTATTCTCAAAGAGCTGGGGATGGTGGAGGACAATATCCAAGGAAACGATCTTACATTTATCCGCGGTGAGGAGCATCACGCAACAAGATGGGAAAAGCAGAAAAACAAGCGACGCTCAGGATGGCGCGCAGTAACAAGAAGATCTCTGCGCGACAAAGGAAACAGCCCTCTCGTCCACAAGCATGATCTGGAACAACAAAATCTTCTGAAACAAGAACCAATAAAAATAGAGCTATGCACAGGTTCAAGGTTCAGCCCACTTCTCTATGCCCTGCTGGAAAATTCGGGCGACTCCGCGAAAATCCTGAACACAGAATCCCAGTTAGACCTTGACGACAGCTCAATACAAACTGGAGACGATGAAGCAAAATTCAAAAACTGTGGTGGTGTGGATCGATCTTGCGCTCTCTCACTCCCAAAGCAAATCATTGTTGACTCACTGGCTCCATATCCTACAAAAGACATCATCTCCAAATCTTCGCTCAACATTGCTTCCAGGTCCACCGCGCGGCCATTATCCGCAATGAGAAGAAAGCAGCTCGTCAGCGGACGAGCCACCAGTCCATCAAGAGTGGGGTGGAAACATTCGCAAGCAGAAAAGAGGAGAAGAAAAAAGAGAAGATTTAAAACAAGATGTGGCAGGATTCACAACCACGCGAACCTGATAAGCAGAAATAGAAGCTACCATCGAAGTTTGGCCTTAGTTACAACTTGCCGACTGAGATTCAAAAAGACGAAATACAGCAGCACGACGAAGAAAAGGTGGAGAAGAAAAAGATTTATAAGAACAACAAGGTGGCCGCCCAAGTTTTATTCTCTTATTGGGATCGGAGCACGCAGAAGCAAAAAAGAAGAAGGAGGTCCAACAGAAGCAGCCGAAATAGAGGAAGGAAAAGCACCTCGACCAAAAAACGGGTGTGAAGCAGAAGGACCAACTCAAGCAAAGAAGAGCAAAATACGAGCGAGAATTGAAGAAAGTGAAAACAAAAGGAAGAAGAAGCCTCCCATTGGAGCAAGAGTGTCCCCCTCACTCGACTACTACAGGAAGAAACGAAGGAGCTATGTCGAAAAAAGCGGCACAACACTGCCTCGCAATCATGTCAAGCGAAAGGCTAGGAGTAAGAGTAACGAGCGGAAGCAAGCACCGGCGGAGCTTCAGCAGAGCGGAAGAAGCAGTGACCGAAAAAAGAAGAAGAAGACGCTACGAGAAGGAATCACGGCACATGAACACAAGCTGAGCATGAAAGACAGTTGGCTAAATTTGGAAGGAAAAGCAAGAAATAAAAAAGGAAGTAGCACTAGAACACGAAAAAAGAACAGCCAGCATGTTGTTGTCAAAAAGTGCATCTCTGAACACATGAACACCAAAATCACGATAGCAGAGATTAAAAACCTACGAAGAACTGAATCATCCATCACACAAGGAATACGTGGGAAGCAATTAGCAGGAGGGACGAAATCGGTAAAGAAGAAGATCTTTCAACATAACAGCACATCACGACCATGCGCGCGTGCGCGTCGCTCTCGTTGCCTGGAGTTATCATCTCAGCGCCAACTTGACCCACGTCACCTCTTAAAATGCAAAATGCTGAGATCAAGTGTGAATCAGTATTATGACGTAAGATTGAACAAAAACAACGAGCCACCAAACAGATCAACGCATTGTAAGATCGGTCACTCCCACGTCCAGCAGAGCCGGTCTATCAACACGAAAAATAAGTCGGTGGGAACAACAGTGGAAGCCGTGACCGCGCCGCAGAACCAGAAATGGACAAGCCATGTTAGGGAGATACGATCAACACCAACACAGTGTGAATCTTCATCCAGCGAAGACGGAGACAGGACGGAGCACCATCAGCAACAGCAGCACCAAGTCATCTCATCCACTTCCACGGAAAGGGTAGCAGTAGGTGAACCAGCCACAGGGCTCAGGATAGCAACAGTCAACATGTCAGGTTCAGGCGTGCAGGTGGACAGGCTAGCGTGGGTACTAAGTCTAGCAAAAGATAGACAATGGGACCTAGTCGCCTTGTCAGAATTCGAGTACTCCACATTCGAGGAGGACAGAGAATTTACGTTAGCAAACAACAACAGTGGGGCACCGAATCACGATCACGGACCGACCACAATTGAGGAGGACCCGGGCGCTGATGTGAACGGAGATGAGCAAGGTCGACTCATAAAGTACAAGTGGAAGCACTCAGAGGGATATTCGCTCTGCTACACATTTGGAGTAGGGATCTTGGTGCTGAACTACTCAGTAAGGATACAGCTTGTCAGTCGCAAAGAGTCGGTGCTGCCACTTGTCAAGGCGCGGAGGAGGATGATAGCCATTTACTTTAGGGACATAGTTTTTGCGTCGGTATATGCTCCACACGACGGCCTTTCTGCGAAAAATAAGGACTACTTCTACTGCGACCTGGAGAGGATGATGCGAGACATGAAGAAGAGAAGAGGAGACAAGTGGAAATCCAGAGTCGTAGCAGGGGACTTCAACGCACAGATCGGAGATAGAGCTTCTCGCCCCGCGTATCCTTTCGTGGGGGAATACGGACTACAGACAACCTCCACGGCTGCAGAAAGGTTGAACACCATCATGACTGAATCGGGAATGACCCTCGCTAACTCCTATTTTCAACATCCTGAAACGAAAGAGAGACGGGCAACCTACGCGCCGGGAGGCAAAGGAAAGACGGAGATAGACCACATTTGGGTAAGAGGTGACATGATAGGTGGAGTGACGGGATTGACGAGGCTGATAATGCCAAGACCACCAATATGCCCGTGGAAGTTTGACCACCGACCAATTGAGCTAAAGGTGGAACCAAAGACCAGGGCCACACTGCGGCGGGAAGGCGAAATCAAGCTAAGATCTAGATGGGTCTTCTCAAAAGCGCCACCTATAGAGCAGCTCGAGGGATACAATGAGAGATTCAAGACGAACGTAGCTGGAAGGACGGACTATCCAGGAGGAGCACAGAACCTACTGGCCCTTGCGCATGAATTCTTTGGGTCGGAATCTGAAGACTTCCTCGTTCCTCTGGACGAATCACCGCCAGATGCTGCAGTAGGAGACGCGCCGATGACTCGCAGGTCCCTGCAGGAGGTATGGAGCTATTTCCGGCAACACGATTCGCAGACTGCCACAGCAAAGGCGAAGATAACCGGAGAACAAGCGAAGAGGAAATACCAGCTAGTGGGGAACTCGCCGCTGCATCCTGGAGAAGAGTATTTGCCCATTTTCCCGGAACTGAGGGAGGTTGTCCCGATGGCGACCGAAGAGCAATTAAGGGCGTTGAACGCAGATGTAACCTTGGCTGAGCTGCGCCACAACCTTCGCACGATGCTACTAGACGGAGCGCGAGATGCGACTGGGGCGTGTATGCGGATGTTGCACTACCTTGATGACGACAATCTCTCGGCAATAGCTGGAGCGATAAGTGCTGCTGCCAAAGAGACGGGCGGCATCTCGGCAGGGGCATTGGGCGAAGGCTTTCACACTTGTCGCGACGTTCCACTATTCAAGGGCACTGGCCACGAGACGGACCCAGATGCATATCGCTACCTGGTCATATCGCCTGTCACGCTGAAACTAATAGCGCGAGTGTATGGGTCGCGCCTCTTAGCATTTGCTGAGGACGCTAATCTCCTTCCGCCACACCAATACGGATTTCGAAGGGGGAAAGGAACCCTGGGATCACTCACGGTGTATGCCAAACTGAGGGAGGATCTCACGCACTACCGAAGGGCTCCGCTGAAGAAGACAACCATGAGCTTAGTCGACATGAGGAAGGCGTTCCCATCACTCGACTGGCGGCTGGTGAAGGAGATATTTAGGCTGATGGGGGTGGTGGAAACGCCATTTTGGTCAGTCCTAAACTCGGTGCACAGAGATGCTGTCCACTCCTTTGGTGGAGAGCAGTTTGTTCTTGACAATGGCACGAAAGAGGGCGATCCAACGAGCCCCACTGTTTTTGTAATCATTTTTGCAATGGTGATGCGAGTTTACTCGAATCGGATCAACAAGGAACCAAGCAAGGAGGGAGTGTTGGTACTAACTTCAGAAGACACCTGGACCTGGACAAGAGAACAGAAGCTGACGGAGTGGATCTTCAGAGACGACCGTCCCCAGGGTGGTGCGCCTAGGACACCGCGCCCAAAGCTACAACAAGCACAAAGCGACACGACGGCAGGGGAACCAGTAGTAGTGGAGTTGTCACAGCTCCTCTTTGCAGATGACACCACACTGTTTGGGTTGGTATCTGAGGAGCAGATGAGTGCAATAGAAGACGACATGGAAAGTGCCAGGACAAACAACACCAGCCCACAGCCAACTGAACAGGTGCGAGTACTGGAACGGGTACTAGAAGAAGCTGGCATGGCGGAGAATCAGAAGAAGAGGATCCAGGGCGATGCCGCAACGATAGCAACACGGAACCTGGGTGTGCAGACTGACCCGGACAGCGACATCGCATTAAAAATACAAAAGGCATGGAAGTCTTTCCACTCAATGCGAGCGAAGGTTTGCGGACTAGGCGGCGTTGACAGTGTGCGCAGGGGTAATCTTGTAGTGGCGACTTCCCGTTTCGTGTTGGCATATGGCACACAGACAAAATCAGTGTCAGTAAAGCACTGTAGGCGGATGGAGGAGGCCGAGCTGTCGATGCTAGCTGCCATGATGGGCATACCAGTATGGAGGCGGAAGAAGGAGGATGTCTCGGATGCAGCACTACTGAGGTGGACTCGAACTCCTCCGCTGCGCGCCTTCGTTGCATTTCACCAAGCAAAGCATGTCGGACACGTGATGCGAACCAAAGAACTATCCCTAGAAAGGGCAATGCTCCAGGGTTTAGCCATACCCCCGAGGGAAAGGGAGGAGGAGGAAAGGGATTGCTTCTTGGCCACAACCAGGAAGGATATGGCACTGCCACCGGAAGACCGTGATCCGCCCTCGCTGCTGGGTGACTACCTCAACCACATGCGAAAAGAAGTAGGTGTAGAGGACAGCCTATCGGTGGGACTTCTACGTCCCCCGCCGACGGAGCAATCCCCTCTCATATCCCTCGAAGTGAAGCAGAGCATGACCAAGAAGCAAAAACTAGACCAAGAGGACTACGAAGCACGGAGGGCATACTACCACGACATCATCAAGCACGCGTATATCAGACAAACAGTCGAACGTTGGCAAAGAGGAGGAGGAGATGCCCCTTCCCTCTACGCGGAGATGGAGGCCAAAGCGTGGGGACGAACAGCGCAGCACTTAATGGAAATAAACCACATGATTGAAGAAGTTGCTCAGGTCAAACTAGGAGAGGAACAAGCCGCGCTTCGCGTAATCGCACCGATATCCAGTGACGTATGGATAAAAGGGGCTGCAGGTGGGCCCACGGCACTCGTTGGAGCTGCAGGTGCTGAGATAGACCCACACCAGATAGGAGCCTCCGAAGTAGTAGCCATAGGGGTATGCGGAAACTATCACTCGACCACTCCAAAGAGGGTAGAGCTCCTGTTTGACTCCGCAGCATGGATTTTCTTAGTTATTTTGGATGAGCCTCCTACGGGAGGAACGCTTTCCCCAGAATCGTCGACCGGTTTAAGATGGAGGCGAGATGATTCTGTAGAAGTAACAATGCCGATGGGATTTCCAAAACCTGTAGTATACAGAGCTCTTGCATTGGCCTCTAGGTCGGCAGTCAGCCTCTCCATGTGTCCCCAGCGTACATTCGTGCTGCTGTCACCGGTAGGCTATGGGGAGATCGATGCAAGAACGGTGTCCTCATGGAGAACACCCTTAGGCCCCAGCTGCTGCTTGAAGTGCGAAGAACTACGAAGAAACGAGCAGGACGCACGCCCATGCAAACAGCCCGGCTGTGAGGAAAAGGTCGCGCAAAGAATACGTGGATGGAGAGTAAACATCCCTGAACCTCCACAAGTCAGTAAAGGGATTGCTGGAGCAATGCAAATCCAAGCTGAACTTAGGATGAAGGAGCGCAAGGTCCTGAGTGTGCGGAAGGAAGTAACCAAAGAAGGCGCGCTCTTTAGGCTGCTGCGATCGGTAGGACCCAAGCGAGCTGGAGCACGAAAGAGGCCAGAAAGATACAAGTGCCTCCCGTGTAAAAAAACGTACGTAACCTCCCTAGGCTCCATGCGAGCGCATGCGTCCGCCCATCGCAGAGGAGAAATCGTGAAAATATCGAGAATTAAAAGAAGACTCAACCAGCAGCAACAGCTTGGAGCGGTTAGGAACGAATACAGACCTGAACAGCACCGATTCGATAGTAGAGCGGGGCGCTATTCAGCTGGTCCAGGCGCAGTACTCTGCGAAATTGCAATTCCTGAAGAGCTCTGGAGCGATGCAAAAAGGGAGAGTGTGAAGTGTCAAAAGTGTCAAAAATGGCAGATCGAGCTATGTCAAAAAAGAATGACCCTCAGACAACAAGCAAAGCGAGCCGACTACCATAGATCTCATCTTCTGAAATGCAAAGGGCGGAAATAGTGACGGCATCAATCAAGGAAAAGGAAAAGGGGAAAAAAGATGGAGACGACGGAGGAAAAAGAAAGTTCAATGCAACAAACTAATTAAAGTGTCGTACATACCCCACGATTGGGTACACTACTACTACTATACCCCACGAGTGGGTACATCTATCTATCTATCTATCTATAGATATTTATTTGGACTACTTGATTCTTTTGGTTTTTTGTTTCCTAGTTAGGTGTGCTCCACCGATATCATTATTATCCCCTCCTTGTCCTGGTCCTTCGTCAGAGAGCATAGTGCACACGATTCGGATGACTCCGAGCCGTGTGCTGAGTATTCTAAGCTAGTCACCGGGATGGTTAGAGTGGAAAATTGCAAGACCTAGGGGTCTAGGCAGTTGGTTCTTATTTGTCTAAGTAAGAGAACTTTAATCGTCTGGCGGAGGATATTGGGCTAGCGGGTCTAGGGTAAGAACGAAGAAGTCTGAAACGTGTCCGGTGGACACGAAGACCTTTGAAACATGTTCTAGAAGGAGTTTCAAGTTTCTTTTTTTTTACAAAAGGGAACTTCCGCCTATAGTTGGGAAACGAACAACGGCGCAACTTCTGAAATAAGATAATCCGCTAGTCTTGCGTGAAGTGGATTAAAGGCGTTTGAACCTACAGAGAGGAATAAGGGCTGCCAAGCCTGGTAGCTTACAAAGAAAGCAAAAATCGGCAACACGAGCTCGGGCGCGACTCTCTATCAAGGATCAAAAGGATTCAGTTTTCGGTCAGAAAATATATTAGGTTCTGCTGTGGAGTTACAAGAAGAGAAAAGGAGTTACAAGATGAAGATAAGGGAAATTTCTGTCGATCCGGTGCTTGAAGCACAGGGCTGGGGCAGGAGCTATTCTAATTCTAATTCATGAAGTGCACTCAGACAAGGAATTAAACGCCTCCAGGTGGAATAACAGGCCAGTGCATTACCTCATGCTAGGCAAATTCATTCATTCACTCAACATCAATAAGCACAAGTAGAATTACCCACCTCAAACTGAACCTGAAAAGCAAAATGATAAAGTACACTATAATTATTGCCAAGTCCACGCGCACCATGATTTGAACCGCGGATGCAGATTAACAAGTTTATCATGATGAAGACTATAACTACAATTCCCCCTTTCCCCACAACTGTACGTACCCCAAGACTGGGTAGATTATTATTATTATCTGTCATTGTTGAAAATGAAAAATGGTCCTGAAAATGTCGCAGTACATGGCATTTCCCACGAGCAACATCCTCTCGCCCGCGACCGGGGCACCGTGGATACGGTAGTGCTGCACCCCACAGAGCAGCAAGGCGGGTCCTCTTCAAGATTAAGGCTACCGCGAAAGCAAGAACTGCATGCTCAGCACTATCCCCCTTGGGCTCTTTTTCAAGGGGAAAAAGAAGGCCCTCCAAGGACATATGACCCACAGGGAAGATGCACAGCGGTAGCTCCAAAAAGAGAACTTGCTGGTGACTCCGTCTCCATGACTTATGGAGCTGGCGCTGGAGCTGGAGATGCTTTTGGAGGGGGAGCAGTGAGAGATGAAGCCCCTGCTCCAGCATTTGTGTCATCTTCTGTGGTGGACGGATCTCGTCGACGCAGCGTAAGTGGCTCCTCGGTCCTCACGTCAAGTGTCGTCGATGCCCTAGCTGCAGTGGGAGATGGAGGCCTAGCTGACGTGGGAGATGCAGGTGGAGGCAACCGTTCGTGTGCTCACCGTCAGCATGGGGAGCAACCATTCGGGTCACGACAGTATGAAACGAGAGACAAATAAATTTACCAGGAGTTCATTCTTTTCTTTGGGCGATAAAACTAATACCCCTTTCTACTTGTGAACATAAACAAATGTGGCCCCATCTTCTTTTAGCAAGCAACCACTACCACATCGGGCAGCTTTAACAAACAGCCCACTCGCAGTCATCATCGCCTGCAAAGATGGTTAAGCTCCCAAGAAATTCTGGCACATCTTCATCCTCTGCAACTTCATCCCGAGTACCGAACCTCCAGTCATTCTTTAGTAGCCAGCAGGGAGCTCCAAACACGGTTATGTTGAAGAGGAAAAATACACTCACACTTGTTTTGTTCTAAGTCTAAGTAAAAAAAGACAAGGATGTAGTTGATTGCCAACATAAAAATTCACTCAGAGCAGTATTTCCTCACACCATTATTTTCTACTCGTCATTGGAAATAAAGGAGCGAGCACGAAGATTGTGAGTGTGAGTATATTATTTTCCTTCATGGGGATTGGAGAGTCATTGGAGAAGGTGAACATTTCGGCAATCCCGTTTCCGCCGGGTGGCTCGCCCAGGGATAACATGGAGGTGCGAGGCAGTGGTAACTTCGCAGCATCTGCTCAGCATCGTCAGAGCGCGTCATCCATGAATGATTCGTCAATGCTTGCTGCACGTTTGAGGGATTCTGCGTCTTATTTGCCTCAAGAACCAGGCAACAGCATGGGCGTGTACTATCAAAATGAGGGTAACATCAGCAGCAAGATGATCGGAGAGCACCAGCATCAGGGCATAGGTACAACTATAGTACATCAGTCTCCTCCTGTTCATCGGAGAACGCGGCCATCTCCAGTTTCTTCAGGAAACTTGAATGACTTCCGAATATCGCCGATAAGTATGCCGCAATCTGCGCCATCACATCAGGCCTATTCTGGCGCAAAGATCGTGCTGGCATCACCGCCTGCGACGACCTTGTTTCTGGAAAACGACAACTACTCTGGCTCTGGCAATGCACTAGAAGTGGAGCGGCACGAGCAATATAATTCGTTGCAGCAACAGAACAATAGTACTAGTTTGATGTCACACATCGGAGGTGCCTCTCAACATGCTCATGCCGCCCTCCATAATTATGATCGGAATTTAAAGAAGCAACAAATTCCGATGCAACAAAAAATATTTTCAACTCCTTCTGGAGGCGGTGGTGCGAGGACAGATTTCTCTTTCCTGAACAGATCGAATCTCAGTAGCAGTCCGACATCTACAGACGCTGTACTGCAGAAGTGCCGGGTCACCTTAGAAGCACAAGCGCAGGAAATTGACAAGGAGCGAAAAGAAAAGCTGGCGAGTACAAGAACTTTCTCTTGTAGTTCTTGAAGAATCGTTGTTGACGTCGAGTTGGCGAGTACAGTAAATTGATTTTCATCCACAAGTAGAGCTACACCTCCATATTAGTTCAACCAAATATAACTACACCTCCAGATTAGTTCAACCAAGTACAACTACACCTCCATACTAGTTCAACCAAATATAACTACACCTCCATATGAAGGCCACATCAATCTAGCTTCATCGAGGAATACAGGCTCATTTTGACCATATAGTTTCAACTTGACCCATGTTGAAGCCTCAATTAATATAAGTTAAGACCTCAATTAATATAAGGAAATCTTAGGCAGACTGGCGACTAGATTCGAAGCCTCAATTACTATAAGTCAAGACCTCAATTAATATATTAAGGAAATCTTAGGCAGACTGGCGAGTAGATTCGAAGCCTCAATTAATTCAAGACTCCAATGCGTCGAATAGGAGTCATTTCAATCATCTACCCCTTCTCTCTACTTCTTCTCCTCCAGTTCAAAAGGAGCGGCACGAGTTGGAGAGCGCTCTGGAGCATGAGAAAAGTCTGCACCATCTAACGCAGACGAGATTGCACGATTTTGAGAGGCGAGACCGGTCAGAAAAGGATCACTTTCGACAACAGGTGCAGCAGTTGGAAGAAAAACTCACAAATGTTAAGAACAAGAAAGGCTACCACAGATTAGATATAGATCTACCTTCGCAAGCACCATATTTTTGAGAATTATTGAGGATAAGTATGTTTGTTCAAGAGTTAGAATTAGATGAAGATTATTTTGAAGGAGCGGAAGAGGGTTCTTCCAGGATCATGCGTGTCAAGCCGAATTTCTGGTACTACTTTAAAGAAGCGCGTCGCGAACAGCAGCAAACGAGTACGCAGCTTACCCTGCAAGCTTCGGAGTTGCACTCCTTACGTGCTGTAGAGGAGCGCTTCCAGCGGCAGCAAGCGGAAAGGGCGACACTGAGCGCGAAGTTATGAAGATGGGATTTTGATGATATCTTCTAATCTAGAACACTCTAAAAACTAAGTAGATGTCTTCAAATCTAGAACACTCTAAAAACTAGATGTCTTCAAAGAACACTTTGCGCGATATCAAATCTAGAACTTTCAAATCGAGAACACTTCAAATCTAGAAGACGGCTCTCAGGAAGCTAAGTCTGACAGCGGCTTTGTCGTGATAATACAACTAGTACCACACGTAGTATGACTCTGACAAACTGGTACACGCTCAATTAGATATCCACTATCCTTCTCAGAAACAGAATGATCTCCGCGGCTTGATAGGCGAATCGTAGTTAGACGCTGGCCTAAATTTGGTATTAGTATCTACAACAACTGCACCTTGACCCCTCCAACAAGCGTCGAGTCTCTGCAGCGCGAGAAAGAGGAATTGCAAGAAACGGTTAGCAACTTGCATCTGCAATCGACTTCAATGGAAACGAAGCTGAGCCAGTCAACTTTTGACGCCACACAAGCCGAGAGCAAATTCGAGGACAAGTGTCACCGGTTGGAGCAGACTGAGGAAACACTAGTATTTTTGTTGGTCCTCGAAACCTAACTGACCTAACTGACTTTTACTACATATTTTCACATGTGCAGGACTTGATATTGTTTAGTCTCCCAGATAGTAGTACATGTAAGACTATGTGAGACTCATGCCATGCCATGCCACAACCTAGCCTTAGAACCCAAGGTCCGTACGCGATCTCGCATATCGATTCTAGAACAGCAACTTGCTATGGAGCGACAGAGGACGGCTATGGTTGAAGAAAAGGCAGCTGGAGACATGGAACAGATGAAGTTAAGACTTGACTTTTTCACCCACGCCGTCGCCTGAGAGAGATAGAGAGATATAGATTTGAGCAGAAGGGTCTCTTAGTACTTTTATCATCGTGCTGCTGCTGCTGCTGTTGAATAGTTTTTGTTCTACTACTTGTTCTGGCCTTCAGTCACTTACTTAGAAGCTACTTAGTATTTACTAGAATGCTCTATGTGATACGGCTCCTTTGACAGTTCATCTTCAACACGGGACATGACATCTGGCCTCCTCTGCTTGAGATCTAAGTCAAAAAAAATTGACACCTACATCTTTTCAGGAACTGTTTCGTCTTGCTGTATACGCAAAGAGTGACGAGAATTTGAGATGCACACATGACAGGAGGAGTTCTTCTAAGGTGAAACGACATACGGCAGGAGTTTGAGGACAAAGCAAAAACTGACTTGGCCCACAAGGACAATGCACTAGCTGTCAAAGCCGAAGAGAAGGATGAGCAGATCAAAGCGGTACAGAGCGAGCTTCAGTTACGGCTTTTTCCCGTAAATAGTTCATCTGCAAAATTTTTATAGGCATCTTGAAGCTTTCGTCTAATGGATGCTTTGACGACCCGTGCTGCCTTAGAGAAGAAAGAGCTCGAGCTTGAGAGGGAGCATCTTCAAAAAGAGATACATCGTATGGTGGAGCAGCGAAAGCAGGTCGAAGAAAAGCACGCACAGGACAAGGAAAATTGGCGTGAAGAATTGCTAGAGTGGAAAGGACGATGCGAATCTTTCGCAGCCGAGCGAGCTTTGAGCCGCGAAGCCGAGAAAGAGCACAAGGACCGACTTGAGGAAGTGGCTAGACGCAGCTTAGACGATTCCTTGTTGAAGCTCTCCGTTGAGCGCGAACAGGGAGAGCACCGGATCCATGAACTGCAGCGACACCACGAACGGGAGTGCGACTTGCTGCAAAGTGAGGTCCAAAGACTACAGAAGTTGATGTCTGAGAAAAACGCGGAATATGCATCTTTTAAGGCTACTTTAAAGCACTAAGTAAGACAACCGGTTAGTTTTCACCTCGACTAAATTAGGTTTATCCCGAGCAACAATACTTTAGTGGACTATGCTTGGTGGAGTCCTATGCTTAGTGGAGTCCTATGCTTAGTGGAGTCCTATGCTTGGTGGAGTCCTATGCTTAGTGGAGTCCCGTGTGGACTATTCAAGGGGAAACCAAAGCGAAAGAGGGCAAGGCACTCAACCAGAGATAGTGAATATTGGCGCTAACTCTTGCGCGGAAAAACTCTCCAGTGAAATGACCAGGTTGCAAGCGGATACAGGTGCCAAACTTGACCACGAAAAAGCGGAAAACGCGCGTCTAACGGAACTACTGAACGAGCGTGAAAAGAGCCTTGCTGTAGTGGAGAAAGACCGAGAGAAAATCAGGTCTGAGCTGGAAACAAGACTAGCGAGTGTGGAAGATGTGAAGAATGCTAATGATCGGGAGCAAAAAAGTGCCCTCCTAGTAGCGCAAACGAAATGGGAAAAGGAACGGTACGAATTGCGCAGAGTCTACGAGAAAAAAATTGAAGTTAAGGCTAGTACTACTCCTCAAGCATGCTTAGCACCATATTATCCTTGATCTAAGATAGTAACCGTGCTGTTCTTAAGATCTAAGATATAACCACGGTGATCTGAGACAGTGCTGTTCTTAAGCTAAGTAACCGAAAAGGAGGAAAATCAACACGAGCCTGGATCAAGTTTTAGCGGCATTATCCTTGGACGTGCTTCTTTTTCCACTTGACGTATAGAAGAAGCCTTCTTTTTCTGATTACTTGACCTATAGGAGAGGACTTCTATTTCTACTTGAACTACAACTACAGAAGCACCCAAGGATATGTCGCTCAAGGAAGATGCGAGGATGAATCTAATCACTCATTGCAGAAGAAAGTAAGACAGCTTCGAGAAGAAAGTACTGAAGTGCGAAAGGTGATCGTTGGAGCAGCTGCAGATTTGTATAACAGCTACGCATCGACGTCAAGTACGTCGGCTCCCTCTTCTAGCAGCACGACCGAGGTGATCGAAGGAAGGGGGCCTCCGGTCGTTCTCGAAGGAAGACCGCCTTTACCAACCTCAACATCAACGGGTGGACCTCCAACTGGCACTCTTCAACCAGTGGACCTCCAACTGTTAACAACGGGTGGACCTCCTCCTCCGACGTTCGACAATCAGGGTCCTTACGGTGGACTCCCTGTTCCGACGAACAGTCATGGTCCCTATGGACTCCCTGTTCCGACGAACAGTCATGGTCCTCAAGGTGGACTCCCTGTTCCGACGAACAGCCATGGCCTTGTTCCTCAAAAGCAACTTGCTCCTCAACAGCAGCATCCACATGTACATGATCAGTGCGAGTACTACGAAATACACTCTTCCGCCGGAGCTGGTGGTCTACTGTCGTCGCAAACAAGCAAGACGTCTACTCAAATGAGCAAGGCATGCACCGATCCTTTGTCTGTTTCAGCTGCTGCTGTTCAGCCGAGGTGGACGTCGAGTGCATCTTCATCGTCTTCTGGTGCCAGACGGGCAGTGGATCAACGACACCTTCAAAGCAACAACAATTTTTATAGACGACAACAAGTATTAAGGCTCAACTTTCATTGGTCATAGAGGTTGGTCACTGAAATCGAAGAGGGTCACTGAAAATGAAGGGAAAAGGGAGAGCCTTGGAGGATGTCTCTTCCGTTCAGAGTCAGCGACCAATGAATGCTGAGCTTTAAAAGTAGCAGGAGTACACGGACAACCACTTCTACACGACCCGCTTTTCAGTAACAGTGCTATCGCAGGAATACAAATGAAGAATCCGATGCCCTCATCGTCAACAACTGCGTCCTCTTCGCCTCGTGGCGGATATTCTGCCAGTGCGGGCGGCAACATTAGTGTCATATTAAGGCTACCATCAAGTCAGCAGATTCTGTTAGACATATCGACACTACTTGTCATTGTCTGAGCACCTCGTAATCGTGTTCCTGTCCTCTACCTGTGAAACACAAAATGAACTTAGACTTTACAGTTATTGTAGCTAAGAAACTCAAAATTTTGTTTGACTGGAGGAAAGAAGACCAGTGAGGATTATGTTACTTCTACACTACTTGATAATAAGCAACTCCTGTGGTTTAATATTGTAGCTAAGAAACTCAAAATTTTGTTTGACTCGAGGATACGCAGTCACCCCTCCCTGAGGAATGCTAATGCATCCGCAAAAATGGAAAGAGCGAGTGACGAATCTACCTGGAGGAAAGAAGACCAGTGAGGATTACAGACGGGAATTTGAGCAGAATATTAAGGCTACCGCTTGAGCATCCCGATCCCCTTCCTCAGCAGCATCCTTGCCTCTTTTTCTACTTGAAAAAGAAGACAAGGAAAAGGATACTCTCAGGGGTGCGAAGGCGGTAGCTCTAAGAATAATGCTGAATTCGAAAAGAGAGTACAGCGGATTACCGAAGGATTGGTTCAGAACGTTTGCAATTAGAATTAAGGCTCAACTTTCAATAGTCACCATTGAGATTGGAGTGACTGAGATCGAAGAGGTGGCCACCATTGCGATTGGAGTCACTGAGATCGAAGAGGCGATCTTCCCTTGAGAGAAACAAAGGGGGAAAACAGGAGAGGGAGAACAAGTAGAGGGGTAATAAAGGGTCCTTTTCTTTCAGCATCAGTGACCAAAGGGGAGAGCTTTGAAGGGGGTTTCTTCCGTTCAGAGTCAGTGGCCATTGAATGCTGAGCTTTGCTAGAAAGTGAATGTTATTGGAATTAGAAAGAGAATGTTATAGGAATTACGTAATACAATGCTCAGATTGGAATTAGAAAAAAAGATTACGGAAAGTCACTCGGCGTAGAGTTACAAGCGGCATTTGAATGAGAGTTACAAGATGAATACTTCGAAGATCATGATTTGGCGCGCACCCCTAGATGATTACTCTGTACAGTCGTAGTTTGACGGATATTTTTGCTTTTCGTGGCAGGCTTGAAGAAATTTTTTTTGGAGAAGGTTTTGTAAATAAGGCCTGCGTGGTGCTTGCTGAAGATGTGGAGAAACTAACCGCGGTTAGAGAATTTTGATGAATCCTTTTGTATGAAGATAAGTAGTTTTTTTGTGCTGAGCTACAACATAAAAACGAGGTTCTTCGAAAGTTGATGACAATGTTGTCTGACTTACAATGATTTTGATTGTGTGAAGAGTCTTGCCGGTAGCTTAGGAAGACTACATGAGACGCAACGATGATTATTATCGAGTGAAGGTGGTTTCCTGCGTTGTTCTTTATCCATTCTTGTGAGTGTTTCTGTTGATGCCTGTCTGACTTGTAAGCAGGAGAGACCACTACGAGGTGAGACTATTCATTTGTGAAGAGTTGTAGCTTTGCATTTTGCCATTTATGAACGAAACGAAAATCGGTTTCTCAACACTTTTGAATAGAACCATACCCCACGATTGGGTACCCTACTACTACTCCTACTACTACTACGAATCTGTCTTGCCCTAGCCATTCTTGGACTTGAGAGAGTCCTTGTTTTTCATCTGTCGCCTTGATGTAGTCATGGTCGTCCACTCGTACTTGCAGACACAGGAGTGCTGGAAACCTACTCCTTTCACCCCATCTATTCTTGTTGAGAGCATCATCAAGTCTTTTTATCTTCATGGTTTTAGTTAACTTTTTCTAGCCGTAAGTAGTTTCTTGTAGGTAGTGGAGTCTCTCATTAGAGCAACGACGATCTTGAGTTGTATTTTCTCCTATAATTTTCCAGAGGTATAACTCCAGTTTTAGTACCTCATAGTACCATGTAATTGGCGGCTTCCTCATCTTGTCTTCGTCTGAGGAAGACATTCAAATTTGTTACAAAGTTATAGTCAAACTCAAAAAAAAACAACAGTTGTTCTTATAGGAGTTCTTGTCCTGCGAAGTAATTGTTCTTTCCGGGAATCAACATATCTGCTTTCCGGGAGTTTACTCATTATTCTAAGCTGCACACAAAACCAAAAGACTTATAAGGATAGAACGAAATGGCAAGCTCCACCTCTGAATCTTCCTCCTCGGCAAAAACCGCCGCGGCTAAGGTTTTTACCCTGCAGGAAGTGAGTGCTCACAACCGAGCGGATGACTTGTGGATCGCGGTGAACGGCTTCGTCTACGACCTGACCAAATTCGTGAAGCTGCATCCTGGCGGGAAGGCTGTTCTTACAGCGGTTGCGGGTACGGATGCCACGAAGCAGTTTTATGCGTTGCACAACAAGACCATACTGGCGAAATACAAGCGCTTAAGAATTGGTACACTAAAGGAAGCGGAAGGGAAATCAGAAGACGTATTGCTATTTTGAGACGTATTTCTATCTTGAACTAAGTTTGAGTGACTTACCTCTAGCGTGTAGCCCTTCCAACAAAACTAAGTTTGAGTAACTTGTTGTTCTTGGTGATGGTCTCACTCTGGCTCGCTCTCGGAATCCTGACAGTGAAAATGATAACGGCAGTCTGCCATTATCGCTATGCACCTGTCGGCAGCAGTCGCAGTGCAAATTCTCAACATGAGTACTTATGATGTTGACAAATCAAATCACGCCTGAGGCACCTTTTCATGACAGTATAAGTGATACTTTCCCAATATTATCAAGTCATGCTTCACCCTTAGGTGGTTCTGTTAAACCGCGAGAGGGATACACACATGACATGACATGGCTCACATTCCCAATAGTATCAAATAATGCTTCACCCTCTCACTACAGGAAGTGATTCCCGATGAAGAGCCTTTGGTATCGCAAGTGCCTTACTCCGAACCAATGTTTTTGCGGGACGGCTGGGCCAAGAGTCCCTACATGAACGACAGCCACGAAGCTTTTTGCAAGGGCATTCGAGCCTTCATCAACGAAGACTTGCTCCCGGATACAGCGGAGGCGGAAGTGAGTGGAGAATATCCCACAAAAGAGATCTACCAAAAGATGGGTCAGGCTGGTCTACTAGCTGCACGCATTGGCCCCGCTTGCATGCCAGTATTACGATAGATTTTCGTTTACTTAAGTAGATGGTTTTGTGAATAGACTGGTATTAAGTTTTTGGTTTATTTTTGAATATTTGAAGATCGAGATACCAATTCGCTGACGGATTCTTCTCTACCGCGCTTGGGTTTTCCTCATCGTCTGCAACTGTTAGCGTCATATTACTAGCCATCATGTGTAGGATCATTGGCAAATCGTGGAGTATCTCAGTCATAGAAAATTCCTCAATAAACCAGGTCGTCAAGAAATTGGGCATCAAACTTCCTGGCGGCGTCAGTCCCGATGATTTCGATTACTTTCATGAGATGTTGGCGCACGAAGCCATTGGGCGACTGTATAAGGTGTCGCCAGGGTACGTGGATGGGCTTGGAGCGGGCTTCTGCATCGGTTTACCGCCAGTGCTGTACTTTGCGAAGAAAGAGTTGCAGAAGCAAGTGGTTCCAGAGGTGCTTCTGGGAAACAAGAGAATCTGCTTGGCAATCAGTGAGCCGATTGCTGGTACTCTTTTTGATACATTTTGCAGGATCGATCATGAGAACCACCTGGTGGAGCAAGAGTTTCTTCACATATCTAGTCATCTCATGCTAAAACTACATCAAGATATTTCATGAACTAGTACCTACTTCACGACAAACATCGCGATCGACCTAGATCTACCTTTTCTTGACCCACACGACCGCACCTACACACCGCACCTACAGGTTCCGACGTCGCCAATATTGAGACGACTGCGAAGAAGTCTGAGTGCGGTAAGTATTACATCCTCAATGGCGTGAAGAAGTGGATTACGAACGGCATGTTCGCTGACTACTTCGTCACGGCAGTTAGAACTGGAGGCAAGGGCATGAAGGGAATCTCGATGATCTGCGTGCCCCGTGAAGGTGCTGGCGGCACTGTCACTACAAAGCCGATCCCGACTTCCTATTCCCCAGCAGCGGGCACGGCGTTGGTCATGTTCGACGATTTCAAGTTAAGGCTTGTCAGAGTTGTAACTCGTTAGAGTTGAGATTGTATTATAACAAAAACTATTTCAGAAGTTGCTCACCCCCTTCCTAGAAGATATGACTCACAGGATATCTTCATTATCTGTCCGCAATAGATGTCAAATGAACCTCCATTTTGAGCTAGCCCTTGACCACACACACCCTCGTCTAAAGAAGGTCCCAGTGGAATGCCTCCTCGACAAGGAAGGCGGTGGCTTCAAAGTGATCATGGCCAACTTCAACCATGAGAGATGGTGGATTTGCGCTGCTATGACCGGCTGCATGCGCGAATGCGTGAAGGATTGCCAACTCTGGTCTTCGCAACGAGAAGTGTTCGGCAAGAAGCTGATCAAGGAACCAGTGATCCGACAAAAGCTCGCGAAACTGATGGTAGCAGTAGAAAGTCAAGGGGCGCACATCGAATCGCTTACACACCAGATGAAAGAAATGGACTATTTCACGCAAGCAATGAAGCTAGCAGGACCGATCGCATTGTTGAAGTACTTAAGTCGATCATTTTTGAACTACAACCGTCTTCGTAGGTTTTTCTTCTCGAGGTAAGTTGTTTTGAACTACAGCTGTCTTCGTAGTTTTTTCTTCTCTCGAGGAGCCAACATAAACTTTTTCATCCTATTAAGTAGATAATTCATCCTACACCAGATCTTATCCGAACTGGGTATCTGAACCAATTTCTTCATTCTGAATCTGAGAAGGATCAACACAAGTCTCGATTAAGTTTCATTCTACTCTCCCAAGTACTCGATCAACGCTCACCAAATCAGATGTTTGATTAAGGCTAGTACACATATGATGACTGAGCTGTTTATTGAGGGTACGATAGATACTCGTCGAAGCTTGAGTATGCCTGCACCAGGTTCAACACCACTCGGTTATTGACGATGATGAGTGACGAGGCGGTACAGATTTTTGGCGGGCGCGGTATTACGAGAGGTGGTATGGGTGCGGGAGTGGAGAAGTTGCAGAAAACGTTCAAGTTTAGCTCTATTTTGGGTGGTTCGGAAGAGATCATGGCCGACCTGGGTGTGCGACAGGCAATGCGAGAAATGCCGCAGTCTGCCCGCTTGTAGAATTTTGGTTCTCGTGGTATTAAACTTCTACGATATTATCGCAAACAACCTAGTAAACATCATCTATATAAGTAAGCAAAGGACAAGAGGTAGTACGAGTAGTTCTTATTTTTTAATTTCAGCCTGTGCTGTGCACGCAAATGCGTTTATAATAGTTTGTTGTTCTTGTATCTAAGTGTGCGATTTCAGAAGTTCTTGTTCATCTTCCAATTATTTCCTGGTTTCCTTAGAAGTTCTTACGGGTTCTTGAGGTCGCTAACCTTAAGCTGTCGACCTCTCTTTAGATTAGTTACCCTGGTTCATCTTGGATCACGTTTGTCTTGTTGTCATCCTCCCGTTTCGTCCCGTTAACAAAAGTTGAAGCTAAGAATGACATGAAACTTTAATATGGTTAGTTCGAGGATACAGGTCAAACTGTGGACGGTCTAGAAACATTCAGTGGTAGGTCGAATATCGTAGATTCTTCATTTCAAGGACGCCCAAAGTCGTTTAGAAGTTAAGAGCCTTGTTTTTGTCTTCACTTCGTCGTAATGATCTTCTATGATTGTCATTTTCCCAGGACCGCTGTATCACTGTGAGGCGCTATGCCGTGTAAATCTGTGACAATAAAAGCCCTCACTCTGCGTCCGAATCTTTGTGTATCAACATCGGATATTCATTTTAAGGGAACAGTCAAGTAATCAGACTACTAGAATAGCAGAGGTCTAATCGTTTCATACTAGCTGGCGTTGTATATTTTTGTTCTTTTGTCATGTAGACTATGCAGTCTCTTTTCGGGTCACAACGGAACTACGCAGTTACTCGGAGCTGCTACGTGGTTCGCGGAAGCTTTTCCTCCAGGTACTACGTGACTGAGTTGAGAGCGTTTGTGCGCTCTCGAGGCTCCTACTGTGATGTCCAAAATGTTTGAAGCCACTGTACAACTTGAGCCGCATTTGAATAGCAGAACTTGAAAACTTCTTCAGGAGTCTGGACAGATCATAATTGGACAGACCTACTCATAACACAAGTTGTCGGATATCAGAATGGCTAATAAATCCGACCGATTAAAAGTGACAAGTAGAACAAGCGTTAGAACAAGCGCTCAGCAAAGAGACAGTGACGTCGTTGTCGTGTTCAAGGTACCTAAATGTAGTTCCAGCGTGGAGACGCCGATCTGCAGGTGAATCTTGGAGGAAAAACTAATAGAGCGACAAAGGTGGACTTGGGCGCGGCATAGACCGAGACCGAGAGCTCTACGGGCCCCAAAATTAGAGACGGGGAATATGATATGAGGCTGATGTCGCAGAGAGAGGGTGATGTCGTAGGCTAACGAGAACTACGCTCAATTTCTTATGTGAAGGGTTGAAAGGTCGAGACGGAGCAGAAGCGGGCAACATTGTGGCACATTAATGCAGGGTAACACTCGAGAGGCGCATGGCGGTCGACCAAAAGCAGAGGAAAGCGTCGAAATGCAAAGACTAAGAGACACTTGAGATGCAAATACTAGGAGACCTTCCAGCTTTTGGACACAGAGATGGAGATGCTAAAAGTGGGAGAAATCAAAATGCCGGCGGCAATGAGCTAAGTAGATTAAGGGCTTCAATCAGCTAGGATTTTCGACTCAGAATGACAATTATTCCTGTCAAAATCCGAGTCGACTCTGGCCTTTCGGTTTATCCTATTTAACCTCGTGCTAGGTAAATGAATGAATTGAAAACTACACGGATATTGCAGCGGCATCGCGTGCCTTGGATGAAGCCTCAAATAGTCAGTGGTCCGCGCCCGCGGGTGAGCAATTGAAGCTTGCAGATCTGCAGACACCAGCTACAGACATGACAATTGATGAGCGTCGCGGAGTGAAACGCCAGGGGCCCTGTTCTTGGAGCAAGTGGGCGGTCGCTCGGGTTTTTGGCGCAGAAAAGCCCGCCGGACGCTGACAAAAAACTTTCATTAGCATGCAATCGCTCACACATGGCCATCAGTAAGAACTTGAAAACGGAACGCAAAAGCATGGATCAGCAAACATGAAATTTGGATTTTTTATTTTCCCAACACCACACTCTATCCCCTTCCACCCCATTCCCAATCTCATCCGTACTTGGTCGCCCTTCCATTGTGAAAATAGGAGTCACAGCTCAGCTCAGATCGTGTTCAGAAATTTGTTGAAGGATGTTCCTGTGGCAAAAAAAGATCTAAAGATAGGCTAAGGTCACAGGTCGACGAGAAATGTTTTTGTCGAAAGATCTAAAATTTTTGAAACCGATCAAAAGATAAGAAATAGCATTCTCAATCAGCGGGGTTGCTTTTGCTATAAGCTACTTCGCTAAACAAGGGTGCAAAAGCAAAGAGATCATTCTTGTCCTGTCGTTCTTTGTCCCGTGGATCGGCAGTCTATCATTGGTCTTATATTTCCTCGAGCAACGCGAACGCCGAGAGTTTTGTGCCTAAAGCTTATAAAGATGTCGGTTATCACGGTACTGAAGACTTCCGTGATCATCTCGATCTGTGGTTCACTCTTATCTCCTATCTTTCCTACACCTCCAGTGAGGCGTTCTACTAAGCTTGTGGTTCATTCTTGTCCTGTGGTTCCTAAATCTTGTGGGCCCGCAGTCTATCATTGGACCTAAAGAAATTCGTTTTAGAGAGGGATCTTTTGGCAACTCTATACAGTTGACCCTTTTTTGTCGACGATACATACAGTCAAGATCACTATTATTCACTCATATAATTTGGAACGTAGGCGCTGCTTTTGTTCGTTTTAGAAAACAAGATCGAGGTTTCTGGATGAGAAACGAAGATCACAGTGCAGACTCGCGATGAAAAAGACCGTGATCACTTAGATTTAGAAATCATCGATAGATGTGGGAATCTGTAAGTTCGTTTCGAAGCAAGCTGATTTTGGGACAACAAGATCTTCCTGTGTTTCCACGATCCGAAAAGCTAGGAAGATCCGCACTTTGGATGCTTAATCGCGCGGAGCGTTGGGTCTTACACAAGATCTAAAGACGATAAACCCCACTGAATAAGATCACTGGAAAAAGAAAGTAATCCTGTAATCCATGATCTCCGCACAAGGTCTACCCTCAAAGAACTGGATCGCTTTGGTCTGTCTAGGAGAATAGAAGGCGATCTTGCCGTTTACCGCTCTTCATTCTTTAACCTACCACTCAACGCTCTTGTCAACGAACATCGTATAATTTCCTCATTCACTTCTAAGTGAGGTAGCTCCATTCGCATATCAAAATCTTAATCTTTCGCTTTCACAAACTCCACCAGGGAAACGAGAACAACACTTCTTTTTGAGATAGTGGAGGTTCAAGATCTAAAACGTCAAGATGCCGAAAATCAACGTCGCCAACCCGGAGAGTGGCCTCCAGAAGGTCTTCGAGATCGATGACGAGCACAAAATGATGCCCTTTTGGGAGAAGCGTATGGGAGCTGAGCTCCCGGCCGACTCCCTCGGTGACGAATGGAAGGGATACGTCGTCAAGATTTCGGGAGGTATTCATTTTCATATTAGCATATATAGACTGATACATCGTGAAGAGTAGTGGAGGCACTCACAGACAGAGTTTGTGTGTGACTCATCCGTGATACTAGATCCAAGGAAGATTTCAATGTTGGGATTTAGAAAACGCTGGACGATTCTTGGGTTTAGGTTTTGTTGCTAGACGACCCGCGTTTACCCTAAATTCAAATCCATTTACTAGGCTTTCCTTCACTAAAATCTAAAACCCCACACAACACAGGTAACGACAAGCAGGGCTTCCCGATGAAGCAGGGAGTCTTGAAGAACGGTCGCGTGCGTCTCCTCTTCAAGGATGGCATGTCTTGCTACCGTGAGCGCCGTGGTGGTATGCGTAAGCGCAAGTCCGTCCGTGGCTGCATCGTCGGTCACGACTTGGCCATGCTCAACTTGGTCATCGTCAAGAAGGGAGACTCCGATATCGAGGGACTCACCAACGCCGTCGCCACTAAGCGCCTCGGTCCGAAGCGTGCCTCCAAGATCCGCAAATTGTACTAGCTTCATTTGCATAATATCCAGATTCTTTAGAAGGCCTTTAAAAACTCTCAATGTACTCTTGTTCTATCTGACCAGAAAGAAACCTAGAATGATGATAAAGTTTTTACTCCTCCAAGACTGTGCACTGTCACACTGGTTGGGAAAAATTCAACAGTAGGGTCTGAAAAGGTTTGTTTCTCTAAATCAAGCACTTTTATCCTCGCCTACTCAAGCGGAAATGTATACGTACTGTCAGCATTCTTCCGTATCAAAGAGGCATGAAACCGCTAAATTACTAAAACGTTACCTTCTTCAAATTGATCACCCAATTTTCTCCGCAGGTTCGGTCTCGAGAAGGCTGATGACGTGCGCAAGTTCGTGATCCGCCGCAAGGTCTCTGAGGAGAAGAAGAACACCAAGGCTCCCAAGATCCAGCGCTTGGTCACTGCTTCCCGTCTGCAGCGCAAGCGTCGCGTCCGCAAGGCCATGGTCAAGAAGGTCATCGAAAACCGTGACTTGAAGAAGGAGTACATCCACCGTCTCCACGACTACCACGTTGCGCAGAAGGAGAAGCGCTCTGCTCTGCTCGCCAAGAAGAAGAAGGGAAAGGCTGCAAAGAAGGCCGCATAAGAACTTCTTCTGCTTGATGTCGCCATGGAGAAATGAAGTTGTAGGGAAGAAGTCCAGGTTCTATCACGAAAGAGGAGGAGTACTTTCGTGCTGCAACTACTGCAACTGCTGACGAAGCGGACGAAACGGGGTTGATTGGTCGTTCGGGACCTATCTATCCCTGGTAGTGGAAAAAGAAGATTAACAGTGAGAGGAGAACACAAACAATGCTACTACTATACAACAACGGCTTCTGAACGATTTTCGGCACGGGAAGACGACAGGAGAAAACAAATTCTGACCTTCAGCTGGGAAGGTCGCGGGTCACATGGCCGAGCGAGGCCAGGCACTCTTGTCCTACGAAGATCAAACGCGTGTTCCCCTGAGTACTGGAGGTCCTCCTGAGCCGTTCGTGAATTGTCGGTCCATCATTATTCTCTTTGCCATCAAATCAGTTCATCATAGATTCCCTTGTCCATCAACTTTGTGGCCCGACCCGACCGCCTGTCTCTGTCCTTTTTCATTGCCACTCATCTTCGAACGTTCGGTCGGTTCCGCTCGCGTGAGGTTGATTTTGATCGATGTGAAATGAGGCTGATTTAGGTTCGCATATATCGAAGCAGAGAGAGCGAAGACTTGGAGGGAACTTGCGGAGCGATTTCAGCGTGAGAGCCATTGAATAGTGGCCCCTTAGGTCCCCGTCCCACGCACCTGCTTTCTAAATTTTCTTGCGTCTTTAGCCTATCGTCTACTCAGCGAGGGCTCCGATCTCTTTTTTGTCTATCAGAATCCCTTCGACTACTGATCTGCAGCCCTAACCTCGTTTGCTTAGAACGAAACTTGACACTTTACTTTCTCCAAATACAGGTGAGATTTCCATTTCGTCGATCACGAATATTGCTACCGCCATTCATGACAGTGATGAGAAGATACGTTTCTCACGATGGTCTCATGAGGCGCGAGCCTTTGATTCCAATCCGTAAACCCAGCTCACTCTGATGTGATGAATGAAGGTAGTCGCCTTACTGCATTAATGATCTAAAAGTTGGACATAATCTAGATGGAAGTGGCTACCTGAACACCATGACAAATGCCGGCAGTCTCTCTCGTGTCTGAATTTGGGGCGATGTTGCGAGTGGCTACGTGGCTCAACCGCCGTCCTCTGCGAATGAGAGCAACGAGATCAACCGGCCAGAGTGGAGGCTGATCATCACCTGAAGTCGATGTGGGGATCTCCACCTGTGCATCAGCTTCCGAATCGACGCATCGCTTGTGTTGTACATGGGGCCCGTCTCGCTGTGCGAAGATTATGATTACGATTGGCACGGATCTTGACCATTGAATATCATTTACTGGGGCTCAGAAATTTAGGAAGTGCGGATATTCTACTTAGCAAGTTGGGATACTGAGATCATACCTGGACACAACGCAGCAACTCGTGCCTGCACTTGAAACCTCAGGGAAACAGTATCACCTGCACTGCAAGCGAAGAAGAATCAAGGAGCACCGCTGTGGGTTCAAACTGGACTCACCTGTATGTCATGAAGGAGCCAATACCACAAGTTTTGGGATTGCAGAATCCTATGACAATAAGTCTTCGGTCGTTAGCTCCTTTTGATCCACGCCTGCTGCATGTGACGAGAAGCAAACCCAAAGTGATGATAAAGTTTCAACTCCTCCAAGACTGTGCACTGTCACACTGGTTGGGAAAAATTCAACAGTAGGGTCTGACACGGTTTGTGAAGTTGTATTCAAAGAGTTATAGCGAGTGCCAAGTGCCAGTGTGCTCTATTTCCAGCCAAGCAATGGAGCGGACAACGGCGACGGGGCCGATGCAACACTCTTCAACTAGACTCCTCTGCACTCGGGAACGATTCCGTCGTGAGGGAAAGGAGACGCGCAGTGGTCTTTTTCAGAGCTCTCTTCTCCTATCCCCGCAAGACCTGCTTCGCCTGCCCCGTTCTCACCCTGCCAGGGGTGCCCCATCTTTGAGTCCCCATCTTTGAGTCCCAGAGATTTCTGACCGAATGAGTAGAAATAGAGACGCGTTTCATTCAGAGGTGAAACCACTTCACGGTGGCGTTCTTGTCAAGACTCTGTTGATAGATTTGATGCAGCTTTTGCTTTTCAAGGTCACCAATGCCTTTTATCACAGTGATGAGAAGATACGTTTCTCACGATGGTCTCATGAGGCGCGAGCCTCTGATTCCAATCCGTAAACCCAGCTCACTCTGATGTGATTCGCGATGGTCTTGATAAATATGTAGATCCTCAACTTGACTCATGTGGCCGTACACTTCTCCTGTCATTGGTGGAAGCGACCGACGAACTAGCACTGGGGAAAGTGCTGCGACTCGGTGAGGCGAAGCGAAGCGATCGAACATCATTAAGAATGGGGAAGCGGGCGCGCGCTCGCTGGGGTTCCTGTTGGCGGAGGCGTCTTCCCAGCACACGCTCATCAAGGGGTAGTGAAGAATGAATCCCGAAGAGCGACAGAGACTCGGAAAAAGAAGCATCGCGTTTGCCGAGATACCAAGGAAGCCTAGGGATTTCTCGAGAAATGCCCCCGGCGACTACTAGTACGTGTAGCTGTGCAGGGCCAGGGACCGATATAAAGCCTGCATCTCAAGACCGCGGATACAAGGAACTCGCGTGTGTAGTGTTATGTTCTTGGATGTTAAGAAAATGGAATAGCCTTAGGCTGTTAGGAGGCGCCTCTGAGTGTGAGAAGGCCCATGCGCGCAGAGCCAATGCATGTGCGCAGAGCCAATGCATGCGCGCAGAGCCAATGCATGTGCGCAGAGCCAATGCATGTGCGCAGAGCCAATGCATGCGCGCAGAGCCAATGCATGCGCGCAGAGCCAATGCATGCGCGCAGAGCCAATGCATGCGCGCAGAGCCAATGCATGCGCGCAGAGCCAATGCATGCGCGCAGAGTTCAGAGACTTTCGTTCATGGTCGACGGGTTAGGGCATCAGCATGCTGAGTAAAAGCTGGTTCGATATGGTCTGCCACTAATAAAGGCACGTGCTCTTGTTGTGGCGTTGCAGAATGCAGCAGACCCTATTATAATGAGGGCATCGCTCACTCTAGTTCTTAGGGCATCGCTCACTCTAGTTCCTTCTTCGGGAAAGCACCAGCTCTCCTCTTTCGCTTGCTCGGGAATGCATCGACTTCCTTCCTTCATTGTTTCCTGGCGATTTCTGCAGGGCTGCTGAGCAGATTGATTCAAACTAAAAGTAAGTACATGAGAGGTCAGTGTCGGCGTTTCAGCATCACTAGAGACAGATCGCGCAATAAAATAACTCGAAGAGGTGGATGCAAAACCTGATTTGATTGTACTGCAGTGTTGCAGTGTGATCAGCCCAATGTAGTTTTCCACTGATGAAACTCTATCTTGGCTGTGGTTCTGAAAAGACCACGTGTCATGGAGAAACAAACCATCTTAGTAGAATCTCGTTAATCTGAGGATTCTTATTGGGCTGCATCATCGAAGTTTTCGTCGTCTGTACTGCTTTTCATAGTCTATCACAGTGCGGATCCACTGTTCAGGCAGTTTCGATAGCAGATTTACTGCGTGATCTCAATGCGACGGATGAAAATTTCGCTGGTAAAAAAGAAGCCGGACACTTTTTGCTAGACGCAGTGGTCGTAGAGAATTCTTTCGCGGGCAGGGAGTGTATGGCCGAATATCTTGGTAAGAGCTGGCTGGATGAGCACTATGCGCGGCTTCTGCGCACGGCAATCGTAGCGCGCGTCTCCTTCTAGAGGACATTCCTGATTGCAAGAATGGTCGACCTGTGTTATACTCCTAGTCCAGTCGGCGTGACTAATCTATCACCATGTGTGGCTGCGCCTCCCACAGCAGAGGATCTGAGCGGCAAGAAAGAAGACCAGGACTAAGATGAAGAAGGAGCAAGAAGCGAGGGGATCAGCCAAGTAAAAGAACGAATCAATGTAAAGAGACGAAAAATTAATGAGGTGGTAGAGGCAGAACAAATTGGAGCATATTAACGATTGTAGGAGGTGGATGCCGATGCTCGCGTTGCTGTTCTGTAAAAGCGGCGAGTCAACAATATTAATCTGCAGACTGCCGGCCTTAAACTCTTCCGTGGAGAATACAGCTACTCTTTTTGTAATTCGTCTTGAAACAAGAAGCTTGTAGTTCAGATTCATTTATTAGCTATTTTCGCAAAAACGTAGAAACTCAAGATATCTATTCGCGAAAATAGTGGTCGTCAAAAAGAACCTTGTTACGCCAGTATCGCATATTCATCGCGCATTATTAAAAAAAAGCGTTGTGGATCAGGAAATGGATCAGGAAATCAAACAAGTTTTCATGGTCCTTTTCAATCTGGCCTGTCTCTAACTGAAGATCCCTGACTTGATATTGCGCCAAGGACAGCGTGGTCCTGTCTCTAACTGAAGATCCCTGACTTGATATTGCGCCAGTTACTCGTAGCTTCTACGTGGTTCGAATGAGTGGATGAATCAAATTATTGCTCTCGAACAAGGCAGCAAGCATGTGGATCCACCTGGCACGCGATCGCGGCAAGAAGATTGATCTACAAAGATGAAGATCCATCGATCATATGGAGGACGTTGGAGGAAATCTTCTTGTTGTAATGCAAAAATTCACTCACCTGCTTCTCCCTTTACAACCGTAAAGTCGCCAGCGTATTTGAGGAGTAATGAATAGTAACTTGGCCGTACTAGATGTCATATGTCTAGCTAAAAAGAGTGGAGTTGCCTCGATGTTCCTACAAGGAGTGAACCCACATTAATATTGCCTCCACCTCCTTCATATTCACGCACTACACACTGATGACACCTTCACTTTTAAGACGTACATTTACTAAGAACTGAACGAAAAAATGGGTAAAAGCAAGCAGCACAGCCACCGTTCGAATCAGAACAAGGTGAAGAAGGCGCATAACCGCAAGAAGAACGCGGGACCGAATCAACCAACTTCTCAGATTTTGGCTACGACTACCGGAAAAGCTGCCAAGAAAGCAGCTCTCGCAGCCTCTAGTGCAACAGGATCAGGTGGAAATAAGAACAAAACAAAAGGAGCAAACAAGGTTGTCGCGCCACCGAAGTTGGTGGCCTTCATCGCGCTCCATGACTCAGCGAATCCGTACCTGCTGAAATCCCAGTGCCTGGCAAAATTGGGACATGCGACACCGACAGAACATCTGCCTTACAGTCCTGTGACTGTTACTTTGCCACCATGGGCACAACCGAGTGGGAAAGGTATTCTACTTAAGGAATGTGAAAAGGTATTCTTAAGGCAAAACATGTTGATCTCATTTTTTTCATCGTCAACTCCAATAATATTATAGGATGAAAAAAACGCATCGATCTCTGATCACTTCTCCACACCTCCACTCACTTCCCTGCTTCCCCGCCACTCCGTATAGTTGACCAGAAATCTTCTTCAGGTACCCAAAGTAATCGCATTACGCTGTTGGATGTGGCAAGCCGAGACAAATTCCATGTCCTGGACGCCGCGAAAGTTGCCGATGTGGTTGTCCTTTGCATGGGGCCAAACGGGTCCCTTGACAACCGACCCTTTGACGACATTGGCTATGAGACTTTGTCCTGCCTAAAGAGTCAAGGCATTCCCACAGTGGTTGGTGCGATTCAGGGTCTGGACAAGGCCACGTGCAATGCGGCAGCGGCAGGAGGAGGCTCTAGTTCCAGTACAAGTAGTAGCGCGTCTTCTAACACAGCCAGTAGTTCCTATCAAACGATGGTGAGTCAACTTTTTTCTCATGAAGTCGCAGCTCCTGCTTTTTCCCAAGTAGCTTCGGATAATGTAATGACGACCGCTGATGGTACCACGATGAGCAAGAAGCAGCGATTAGCAACGGCGAAATTGATCCAGCGATTTTTTGAATCCGAATTTTCAACGGAGGAGCGCATCTTCGATGCAGACTCTGAAATGGTGAATATGCTGAGACATATCAGCAACACGCAGCCAAAGGACGTGGCCTTTAGAAGAGACCGTGGCTATTTCATGGTCGAGCAAGCTGAGATCATCAACTCCTCAGCTGCTAGTGCTACACCTACACTCCTACCACAGGACAACCAAGTAGTAGGAGAAAATATGTCTTTGAAGCTGTCCGGCTATTTGCGTGGCGCGGGCATCTGTACGAAAAATTTGATTCACATCTCGGGAGTGGGCGACTTCCCTATTCAAGAAATCGCTGTCATGGACAAGCGCGGCGGCAGAGTTCTAAGAACCGTAGAGGGACGTTGTTCTAGTAGTGATGGAGAACCAGAACCTTCGCCGTCCTTAACGAGATTGCGGCCCTATGACCCGTCACAAAATGAACAGCACATCGGACAAGAAGATGAAGAAATGGAAGGAGGTATCTACTATATATAATCAAGCAGTCAATATTTATAAGAATATCTTCAAAGGTTTGTTGTGATTCCCAAGCTTAAGCTTTCTTAACTTGTAGAGCCTTTGATTTGACAACTAGACTAGTAATTTCAAGTCGGGAAAAACCTAGGCCTAAATCGTTCGTTCAAGTAGAACAATTCCGCAGCAACAGTTTTCGCGGTTTTTTCTGCGGCAGGAACGCTGTCAGTGCTGCTCGAAGAGAAAAGGGGGCCAACCTCTTGCGGGGTATGGTCTCCAATCTTTCGGTGGGTGTGGTATTGGATCTGGGTGCCCGCAAAGTATTTCGGCACGTTTTTCGTGCAAAGCATGACGGCGATGCGGTAGCCAGAATTGCCGTCGGCCGGCCCTGGCCGCGCGCACCCGGGGGCGCGGTTACACATGTGCGCCGAGGAAGCGAGCCAAGCCCAGGACCCGACGCGCATACGCGACCGGCGTCGCCGTCCGATGGAACGGCCGCCAGTCGCCAAGGTGAAACGCGTCAAATCCGTGCCCTGCTACCGCTGCCAAGTGGGACGCGGGTCCGGATAGCCCTGACTGCTTCAGACCGGGCGAGGCTGCGCGTCCCTGGGTACCCTCTCACGACTTGCATGCGTGGCCCATCGCCACGAATTGGCCACCGAGTTGACAGCAGTGAAGGCCCAGGCGTGTCCTTTGGGCGGAATGGCAGCGCGCTTCCTCAACAGTGCCACAAGGAGCGCACCTGCGCGGGCAGGCGATTGGCTTGGTTGCTGGGTATAACGCTCAAGCTCATACAGATGAAAGCTTGCCAGCTATTCGCTTCACTAGACTCGGTGCCCAAGGTGCGGCGCCTCGTGTGTGATTGGATTGCCGGGCACCGCATTGCGCGCACTTTTTGACTACGAGGCCCAGGGCGCACCCCCTGCGCCCGTGGGATGTGCTGACAATGGTAACGGGGTGACTGTGCAGGCAGCTGCTGAGGAACGGACAGCAATCCATGGCCAAGAAGCTCGCGCCTTCGCTTTTCATCTCGGTGGCGCATGCGCTCGCGGGTGCTCTCTTTCTGAAAGCCGGGGCTGGTCAGGCGATAGCCCAGGACGGTCTCTATGTATTTGGTCCAGCAGTCCGCGCTGACTATTACACTTCTGCCGTGGCCTTCATCCAGGCGCAACCCTGTGGGGGCGCGGGCATGTTTATGCAAGCCCTCCCGAACCATACTGCTTCAGCCGCCTACTCCTGTTGTTTAACTAAAGCGCTTCTTTGGGATTTAGTCGGGGAGGAAAAGCGGGGCGCCTTGTCAGAACTTGCCCGCAGAGACTCGGCCAGCGCAGGCGTCCTCCGCTCCCTCGAGTTCTCTCGGGTGGGCTTTGGGCGTGCATTGCGGTCGCTACAGGGGGAGGGACTGTTGTGAATATGCCGAAGCGCATCCATGAAGATGAAGAAGATGACGACAGAAGTAAAGCAGTGCACTCCGTGAGGAAGGTGCAAGCTGTTCCAAGTTCAAGGCCCAGGCTGTTGCTGTACTCTGCAAGTTTCTGCGGCAGAAGAAGCGCAAAGATATCAGAAAGCGAGGGCAAACGCGTGAAGAAGTGAGCAAGAACATACAAACAACTCCAACACATGAGCAACAGCATGGCAGTGGAACGCTATAGGCCTTGAGTCAGTGGCAAGCTTTGCGTGCACACGTATAAGCTAACAAGCGCGCACCCAAGACCAAGAACTGCAGCCGCTGCAGATTATTGGCCTACCAAACAAGAAAGCGCAAACAAATACAAACTGCGCGCCCGTGTCTTCCTCGTTCCTTCGTTCTCCGCGTGATAGCTCTGCTCCCGCAGAGTTATGGGCCCAAATTCGTAACGCAGGTTCTTGGGCTCAGTATCTTGCTACTCCGGAAGGAGCTGGGGACTGCCAGCGAACAAGCAGCAGCAGCAGGAGGAGGCCGCCGCGCTTCGCACGGTTACAAGATAGGCCAAAGCGAATCATAGTGAATATCTTCAGGGTTGTGCTGAGTGCACCGATGAAAAAGAAGAAGCGCCGAGCTCCATGATGATGGCGGGGAGCAGCGTGCGGATTGTCTTTGGCTCTGACACGGCTGAGCTCGTAGCATATTCGTCCTCTTTATATCGGTTGAAGGGCAGAACGCAAAAACGAAGAACGGGGCCCAACTGATAAGGGCCGCCCATTTCTAAAAAGCAACGAAAGAACGAAGCGCGACAAGAAAAATGCGCAATGGCGTCCGTGCCTTCCTCGTTCGTTCTCCGCGTGACCGCGCAGCGGGCTGTGGCGTCCGTTTTGGGTGCCACGAGGTTCAAGCGCGTGGCAGAGGGTGGCTTGCTCCCCACGGTGTGCCCTTTTGTGGGGATGCGGCTGCCTCTTGGTGAGCCTACCAGGCTCCGCCTGTGCCAGTGCTTGGGTGGGATATGGTTCCGCGCTTCTCACTCCCCCGGACTCCGGCCCACTTCTGCCTTGGTGCCTCTTCACCGCCGTCATCCTCGACTTGGTTGCCTTCGAGCAGTCTGGCTGCCGCTGTGAGGTCCGCAGACTCTACCGCAGTGGCTGTGGCGCTGCAACCTTAAGCCGGCCCTTTGAGTGCGACGTAGTTTGCTGCCTCGGCCCGGGTGCTGCGCCCTTGTGGCCTTCCTGGGGCGTGAGTGCTCTGGGTGAGCTCGCCTCTGCCTCGCGCTTCCTTGTCAGTGTTATGGCGAGCTATTCTTGCGGACTAACTGGGCCCCGCATGTGGCTCCCGGGCTGCGTGATGTTGGAGGGCCGCCAGGCTTCCTATATTAACTAACTAACTAACTGACTAACTCACTAACGCACTCACTAACTAACTAACTAACTAGCTAACGAAGATCATCGAGAGAAAGTATACTACAGTAGACGGCTGGCCAAATAAGCCGACACTTGCTTAGTTTGTGACTCAAGAATAGTGGTTTTTCTGGTAGAAGATGATAATTCCTCCAGATTGTTCAGATCGTGATCCCCATATTTATTTTCTTTTCCCTAAACTCCATCAGGCATGAACGACATTGGCGACACGGTGATCCCCGATGCTCCTGAAAGTGCGCAGCTTTTGAGCGCCAATTTTCCTAAAGCGAACAACAACCAAGACGACGACCAGGACAGCAACTTCTCGTTCTCTGACTTGAATGAAGAGCTTTTTCGCTATGCTGAAGAGTGTCCAACTAAAAAAAGTGTGGAATTTGAGCAACGAGCCTTAGAAGATCTCGAATTTCCTGACGAAGTGGACACACCTCTGCCTCCAGCTGAAGCATCAACGCGCTATCAGAAATATAGGGGTCTGAGGTCCCTGAAAACGAGTCATTGGGATAGGTATGAAGAGTTGCCTTTGGAATACAGTAGAATTTGGGAATTTGAGGGTTTCAAAAGCTGCGCGAACGCAGCAAGGCAACAGCAACGCGACAACGTGGAAGAAGAATTGGGAGAGGACGAAGTTCTGGTGGGTCGTTACGTCGTTGTCACGTTGGGAAAGATGACGGAAGATGGGCTTTTGAGGTTGCAGCAGCTGAATATGGTGAAAGTGTCATCCTCTACTTCTGCGACAACTTGCTCTGCCGGACAACAAGAGACGAAACTAGTAGACGTGCAAGGTCCCGTTGTGGTTTCTTCTCTCTTTGAGCATGAGCACCTGGTTTCCGTCATGCACTTGCAGGTGCACAGATGTACTGCTGGCACAGATTCTTTGACTGGCGAAAAAACCCTCGATCGCAGTGTGAAAAGCAAGACGGAAGTCGAGTTTCACTGCGGTTTCAGACGGTTTCTAGCAAAGCCAATTTTCTCGCAGCTCCCGAAAAAATCTTCCGCAGAGAAGGACAAGCATTTGTACCAACGATATCTGCATCCGGGACAGAGCTGCGTGGCCAGCATTTACGCACCGATCTTGTTTCCGCCATGCACTGTGCTCATGTTCGAACCCACAGCGGGAGCTATCGACAAAGCCTTCGAGGAAGCCGAAAATACTGGTGAAAAGGCAGCAATCGCAGACAAGAACAACAGCACTTCCTCTACTAAGGCAGCAATCGCAGACAAGAACACTACAACAGGCGAAGGAGCAAGAGAATCGTGTGCGAGCACTTCCTCAAGTAGCACAACTTTAGCTCACATGATGGAAACGGAGGAGGTCTCTTGTGGAACAGAGCAGTCTTCGACAAGTAAGACTAAGTCCATGCCCTGCATAACAACCAATATTTCTGCCATCCCCTCTTGGACCGAAGCAGGCAGGAAAAACCTCCTTGGCTGGGGTGAAGTGATTGACGCCAACCCCAAAAAGATCATCGTGAAGCGGTCGATCTTAACTGGGTATCCGTTCCGAGTTCACAAGAACAAAGCGGTGGTGCGGCACATGTTCTTCCGACCTGACGACATCCGCTGGTTCAGACCAGTGGAACTGCGAACGAAGCACGGGCTGCGAGGGAACATCAAGGAGAGCTTGGGCACCCATGGCTACATGAAGTGCGTCTTTGGCGATAGGATAAAGCAAAACGACACCATATGCATGGACTTGTACAAGAGGCAATTCCCGAAGTGGTATCCGCCAACGTGGGGAGGGAAGGAAGAACATGGACCGGACTCATTAGCTTTGGGTTGAAGGACGTGGCTTTTTAGGTTGAAGAAGGACGTGGCTTTTATTGAATTTGAATTACTTGCGCACACATACTACACAACATCCATGGTTGGTGTACATGTTTTTGATTGATGGATCTCGATCTTCATATTTTTCATTTGACGAAGTAAATGCAAGTCGACGTTCTTGTATTGAGACGTAAAATACACCTCATTTTTTGAGAAGCTCTTTTCCGCTCTTGGGCTAAACAAGCGTAAGGAGAGAAGCTATGTAGACTTCCATGAGACCACAGGAGAGGCGCACCCCGAAGAGCGTGTTGAGAGAGAGAAAATGGAGGAACAATAGGAGTCAAAGTACAAAAGATGACACAGGAAATTCGTACTCGAGATTGTAGCTAGAGAGGAAGCACTAGAGTTGGTGTGAATTGTTCCCTTCTATCTACAACCAACTGCAACATGACGAACATCATGAAAACCACTATCATGTTGCCCTCGTACGTACTCCGCTACGTCTCTCTGTTGTGTCTCTTCGCAGACTTCTGCGCGCTTGCGGAAGAGACAACGCTTCCATCAACTACACCAGAAGTAAATGAAGAAGATTTCCGGCAATTTCAATTAGTCGCGCATCATCATTAAGGCTTCCCCTAATCCATCTTCAGAAGCATCCTGGCGAGATGTCTTTGTAAGGGAGAAAGGGGCCCAGGAGGTACTTCAAATCGCCGGATGGATTCGGGTGAGCGCTAACATCAGATGTATCAAATGACGCATGGGGGCAGAGAAAACCTCTGGAAACGGCGTTATGAGGGAGTCACGTGTCCGGGGCTTCACGAGTATGGAAAGATGGACTTGTATAGGCGAATTCTGGATTGTATAGCTGGATACAACTAAGTAGATGACCTGGATCAATCTCTTCCAATCTGATTCAGGAGAAATTCAAGTCTCTCTCTGTCCAATGTGCACCTGCTGCTCAATAAATTCCAATTTATTTGATGGATGTAGATGTTCTCCTTGACCTTGTACGAGGTCTAGGTCTAGAAGTTGCGCTGTTGTTCTCAACGAGGAGTTGTGCAACACGTTTATTCACTCGTCATGATCGACTTTGTCGACTACATTATGGACGTGCGACATTTCTTCATCTTATTCACAGCACAAGGACATCCTTCTCGCGGATATCGCAAACGGAGGTCACGAGCTCCTTTTAAGGCTAGTTTAAATCACTATCTATATCCCTTGTTGTGAATTCTGCTGAGTGGACTCGCCCTTGGTTTAAAGGGGGAACTAAGGGGGAAAAAGGGGAACGCACTAGGGATAGTGAAAAACTAGCGTTAATTCTTGAGGCGCTGTTATCGAGAAAGCAGCCTGTACCTGAGCAACAGTGTTTTGATGCATGCTTTGCTGACGTGAGTTGCGAGTTTTATCAGTACGACATCAAACGTCAAAAATGCTTTGTGGGCATCCTCGCACATCCAGAAACCTGTGTTTTAAGGGTGGAGTTATTTCATCAAGATAATCTATCTATGACGCCCTTAAGGCAGTCTGCACTGAACTTTGTGCGAGATTAATTGTATTGTATTGTATCCAAGCACCATGTCGTGCGTCCCGAGTCGTGTCGCCTTATCATGCTAGCGGTAGTATAATCACAATCCTGCGGTGGGTAATTCGTCCCTTGGGTTTACATCATTGTGAGGGTCTCTTGACCCCCTTGGGTTCGTCCCTTGGCCTGCTTGGGTTTACGTATTCTTGTGTAATAAAAATATTATATATTTTAAGTATGATTAGCAGACACAGGCAGCTCTAAACGTCGGCGTTTTCAGCAACTACCCGTCAGTGGAAGAAGCCGAGCAGGCAGTGTTGGACTACGAAAAACGACAAGACAACAGCAGTCAAGAAGAGTTCTTCTATCTTGTTGTTATGGCAATGGCTTTCTTAGCAGTTTTATTTTTATCTTGGGGTTGCGACAGATGAGTGTCAATGTTGTTTTATCGTGATGGTTTTATCGAGATTGTTTTATCGAGATTCATATCCAGTTTTTTCTTCTACATCTTCCCGGAAGGATACTTACTAAAAAGATGCCTGCTCTTCTAATGTCAGTGGCCGCGTTCGACAGCCGCAGACCTTTACGGTCCAGAACTTTTCGCCGCGCTTATTTTGCTCGAAGGTGATGCTTTCATTCAGCGCCTACGTTCGCCCATTAAATTACCTAGGCACTTGGGATTTCACTAGTGGAGCGTCGTCTGCGCCTACTACAACTTCGTCTATTAGCACAAAGACTACATCAAGGGGAGGAGGCGGAGAAGATACAGGACGAGGAGAAAAGCAGCAGCAGGAGGAGGATGCCATCGCTTCTACTCCTCTTGTTTCATCTGGAAACTCGAGCTACTACAAGAAAACGTACGACAAGTGCGTCTGGAGGAATGAGATGATCGAAGCGGGTAAGCGAAGACGCGGTCTCGGATGGTATCTGGAGAGGGTGTACGAAACGCCTAGAGATGTGGAGTTATGGCTATATTGATGTTTTTGGGTATATTTTGAGTTATCGGTATATTGTTTTTGGGTAGATTTATTTTGAATTTACTACTAATTTTGAGTTATGGGTATATTGTTTTTGGGTATATTTTACTTATGCTCGTGTAACTGTTTTTGGGTATCTTTTACTACTACCTCTACTTCCACTGTAATTCCTCATTCTGACTTTTAATAACTGCTGTGGTGAATTTACTTATGCTCCTGTACCGGTTGTATGCGTGTTGATGTGGACGTCTAATAAGCGAAGAAGATTCCAACAGCACTGAAGAAGTAGTATTGCCTGCAACGAGCTCGTGGCGAGATTTTGTGAAGACGCAGCCATTCTATGATAGCACACTTCTCTTGGGAACTTCTTCTAGGAGGAAGGCGGTGACGAATACAACAGCTCAAGCTCTTTCTTCTATGTCTAGTAGAAGACAAACACAAACGCGTAAGGACGTCGAAAGTCACGAGCTCTCTGGACTAAATCCTGTCGACTATTGGGAATCGTTTTCCAAAAAGGTAGATGAAGATGGTGGAGGCGTCAAAAGAGCAACTAGAACTATCCTAGAAACTGAGGCTGAGTGGGTACCTGGCGTTCTCTCGGGAAAAAGTACCCCAATGTTTTTCGAAAAGGAGGAGCAGAAGTATGCGGTTGCTGTGAGCCAAAAACAAGAAGTGGACGACATCTCTTCTGCTTCTCCTCCACCAGCACCTTCTTCCGCCATAATATCTCCTTGGCGAGAGTTTACGACTGTCTACGCTCGCACAGTCCATGTCCGAACACTGGATGTTTGCGCTAGTCGCGCGAAAGAGGACGGGCAAACTCTGGGCAGATGGACCAACTTCGTTCAGGGGAGGCGAAATCGACGGCACCTGGGCAAATTCTTGCTAGCTTCTGGAGCGGCAGAAGCGTTGGGGTCGTTGGAGCATCAAGTTGATGAAGTAGATGGTGTTGCTCAACATGAACATGGTGTTGGCGATGAACATGAACGTCATCAAGAAGTAGATGCTCCTGAAGATGAAAAGGTCCTCGACAGGCAATTGGCGAAATTGATTGTGGAAGTTCCACCTGTGGAAGAAGCTGGCAATCGGCTGCCGGTAGACGATTCTCATGAGCATCAGGTGGATTCTCCAATAGTACTGGCAGAGCATCTGCGAACGGAAAAGGAGCATCCTTTGGAGAAAATGAGAGATCATGCTGGTGCTGGCGGTCCTCCTCGGCGATACTTTTATCGTGTTAACGACAAGCATCCACTTGTTACGCAACTGCTTCGCTTGAAGAACCTGCGAACCACGCAGAGAGGTAAAAGTACTACTACGCAAAGCACTCGCGAGGACACGGCAGGTGGTGACGAGGATGAGGACGACGAAGAGGAAGAAGATGACGAGCGTTTTTTATCGGTTCAAAATGGTTTGATTCCCGATTTCATGGCGAAACGAACGCAAGAGTTGCACCCGAGGTCGATGTTCCGTGTCCGCTCAGCCATTCCTCACCTTAAGGCAACGCAGACTGCATCCTCAGCGTCATCCTTGGTCCACTTTTCAAGTAGAAAAAGGGCACAAGAAAGATGGTCTCCGCAGGGATGCCCGCCCACGCGTTAGCTCTAAGCAACATTTGAGGTCTGGAGTTTACCTGAATTTTGGTGCTGGCGACTGTAATACCATCAAAGAGCCAGGTTTTCGTCTCACGAACCCGGAGTCCGGGGTCTCATCACTATTGGCCGAAGAAGAGCGTTGGGCAGAGACGTTGGTGGCTTTGGTGCAGGTGAATTTGGACAAACTGAGCGACTTTTTTGAAACGGAAACTGTGGAGGAGATGGAACTACAAATACATGAACAGGAACAAAACGAAAACGGATCTCCTTCTCCACTAGTAGAACATCTCCAAAGACGAAATAGAAAAAATATGGCTTATCTCTATAATGGGAGAGTGCCGGATGTTTTAGTAGGACCAAGAAGTAGAGCGAAAGTACAAGGACCCTCTAGCGGCTACGATGAGCATCCCGTTGCTACGGCTCTGCGGAAGATTCTGAGGGCATTCGAACATATCATCTTAAAGTTAAATGGTCCGCTTTTATCCATCTTTCTCGGCAACATCTTGGTACCCTTTTGCTCTGTATTCTCATGAAATACAAGGGCAAAGGGGTCAAGATGAGGGGGCCGAGATGAATAAGCGCCGACGCTTTAAGAGAGGGAACAGCTGACGATGACGGTCGTACTAAAACTAATATTGAACACGACCCACGTCTACCTTCACTGCGTTTGCGCAACAATGCTGGTAAGACGGAGCATTTCAGTGTTTACTTCGATGATGAGATGGCGGAGCAAATGGAGGGAGAGGCCACGAAAGGTGCGACGTACGATCGTAATAGGGCTGCCGCTGAAGCATCCTCAGCACCAACTATCCTCCTGGCTGGTTTTCTACTTGAAAATGAAGCCAAGGATGCTCTGAGGGATGCGCACGCGGTAGCTCTAAAAATCGTCCACCATCTAGCACCCCTGGCCATGGTCTGCTTGAAATGACCTTGCAACTCCTCGAAATCGGCGGACTAGTTACTTACGATCACGATCCGGAGATGGGGAGAAGACGGTTGCTTTCGACCTCCTCGAAGCACGAGAGCCTTTGGGCAAGACACTTGCTGGGCCTGAGGAGAAGGAAATATTCTTTCCTGGTAGAAGAAGAGGGTGGTGAGAATCAGAATACTGGAGATGGTGCAACTTCTGTTAAGTTTAAGGGACACACAGAAGCAGAATTTGCACTACTGCGACCACGACCGCCAGCTGTAGAAAATATAGAAGTAGAGACGAATCCGAATATGGAAGAGGCTTCTGGTGTAACCGCTACAATTAGAGGAAAGATCGAACATTTTTGGTACAAGGTTCTCCTGCCTGGTGTGGCTGCACGGTTTCGCATGGCACGAAAGGAAGCTGAAGCGGTAACGACACCTGCGCTGGACCGTGGCTTTGCCTGGGAGTTTCTAGAGAGTAGAGCAGAGGAATGCAGGAATAGGAAAATTCCAGGTCTAAAACTGAAAAGCGGCGTTGGTGTTACGCCAGATAACATCGAGCGATTGCTCCAGGAAACAGGGCTTTTTGGGACGACTCATACGAAGGAGCATGAAGCCGAAGCTCCGTCTGCAGGGCTTTCGGGCACGACTCATACGAAGGAGCAGGAGGAGCATGAAAAAAATCATAATCACGCATCACTTCCACATGAAAAGGAAAATAGTCATCAATATGGCGTCGTCGAAGCCGAAGCCGAAGCCCCGTGTGCATCCACCATGCCTCCACTCTCTGGCCTCACTTCAAGCCCACTCCCCCACGGACATCCTACTCCTGCGGTTACCTTAGCCAGGAAAGAAAAAGAACACGCGAAAATAGCACAAGCGTTGAGGCCATTGTTGAAGCAAAGCGAATATGAGACAGCTCTTGCTAGAAGAGCAGTGCTGCGACAAGGTTAAGGTTATACTGCTGGAGCATCCTCAGCACCATCCTTGGCCTTTTTTCACTTGAAAAGCGGACCAAGGGTGCACTCAAGGATGCTAACGCGGTACCTCTAGCTCTAAAGATCAGTCCGACATCCAGTCCGACATCAAGTGCATGAAGCCTCCATCTTCAAGGACGACCTCGACATCAACGGCAAGATAATTGAGTTCGTTTTTATCGACATTGATTCCTGGGATTACGAAATTTTGAAGGCAATACACCAAAAAACGCTGGAGAATGACATCAGGGTTCTTGTTTACCACGTAGAAATCGCTACACACTTTCCACCGCCATTCCGATATGCGAGTTTGTATCCTAGAGGTACTAGAGCTGCAGAAGGAGCTTCTGGGGGTGGTAGAGGTGGGGGTGAAAAGGTAGTTAGAGCAGGAGGAGCCACTGGTGGAGGTCATGGTAGAAGTAGTACTTCTCAATTTGAAGTAGACCGCGGCCAAGAAATCAACAGTCTGCGTCTAGAGTTGGCAAAGATGCACGACAAGGGCTTGGATAGGAGTGCCAGGATCAAAGTGGAAATGAGGCTGAACGAACTGGAACAATTAAGGTTTTCCGCGTTACATCCTCCAGTATAACATCGTCATCCTTGGCCACTTATCCTCCAGTATAACATCGTCAGCCTTGACCACTTTTGTTTACAGTGGAAACTACATTCATTCTCGATGATGTTCTGAAGAATGTAATGCTGCAGGAGCCTTTAAAACAAGCAAATCTGCAAGAAGAGTCCTCCTCCTTCGGTGTTTTCTCCTCCGATCTCGATCAACTACCGCATTCTCAAGTAGAAGAGTCCCAAGTAGAAGAGTCTCCTCGACAACAACAAGATTATCCACAAGACTCCAACTCAGCTTTCCTAGGTTCTCTTCCTGGTGCCGGTGGGCATCCATTCTTCGTAGGTATGTCGCTTCAAGCGGCAGCGGATCTTCTCTTTCCCACGCACACGTTGCTTTCTATATTACGGCTTGAAGGATCTATCTCTAACTCTATGTATTTTCAATTCACCATCCATGAAAATAAATTCTCTAACTCTATTTTCAATTCACCATCCATGAATCGAAAACGGAAACTGAGTGTCCTCTTCGGGATTTGGATTTCCCACAGTGTCCAGATAAGGATATTAATGGGAAAACGCGTTCAAGATCAAGATGTACTCTCTTAGAGTATCCCCCACCCAGAACGATGGTCGATGGATTTCCCTTTCCGTGAGCTGGAGCTCTAATAAGAGGTGGTATAGACGCTATTTTCGTCCACAACGACATTCTACCGTACATTAATCGGCATTACGTTAAGGCTACCGCTGACGCATCCTCAGAACCATCCTCGGACCTTTTTCTACTCGAAAAAGAAGCCAGGGATGCGCTCAGGGATGCGAACGCGGTGCTTCTAATTACGGCACGACATTGCCACTGCTTCCCGTTCTCCACTGTTGGGCAAACAGTAAAATTTGGTTTCCGTTCGTTCCTGAATTCGTCGCAGAGTGGGCGTTCAATCCAAGCTTTGGACTAAAGGAAAAAATGAATCTGATAGCAGGAAATATGACCATGTGTGACGAATTTGACAGCTTGAACGGGGTGAGGAAAATCACTGGGAAGAAAGAAAAAAGCATGAGATTTATGCTGGAAGTATGAGATTTATGCTGCAGATATCACAATGAGATGGAGATAGTGATGAGTAGCTGTGAAGATGGTAATGGTGTTGGTGCGTTGTAGATGCATCAAGTTCATCTGATTCACAAGTTCTTGAATGAATCTAGAAGTCGGTACGACATCAACATGGCAAATGTAACTCGAACCGAGGAGGTCGCTCGTCCACCAGCGCAGCAAGGCGACAAGCGCGAAGGCTATGTCACTCACGAGGTCGCAAGATAATATCGCGAAGTCTACTTATGTTAATGTTATACTAATGCGTAGTTGATCTCCTGTTCCCTCGCCGGAGCAATTCTTCGCGCGGGCTACAGCTACAGTGGCCGTCATCTGTCGTTTTTGTTCGTTGTCTTTGTCATGGTCGTCTGTCCAGTGAGATGCTAAGAAGGCACATTTTGATCGAGCGACATTGTCTCGGTTCTTTATCTTCTTCGTTCACCGACAATCGTGTTACAGAGGCCGCGGAGCCGAGTGGGAAGAGACTGATTGCACTTCAAAAGGCAATCTTGGGACCATGCTGCTTTCGGTCGTCGTCGGAGGATTCGGTCGCACTGTTTGGAATAACCTGCTAAAGTGTAAATAAATACTTACACTGTTATTTTAATGAGAAGTACTTGCTACTTGTAACTCCCGCCCGCCACCGTCTCGAATTTCAAAAAGATAATCCATCCATCAATCTGGTATAAACAGTGTCAAGCACAACAAGATGAAATATCCGATCCAGATAGGAGAAGATTAAGATACACATGTTTTTACTCTGACAAGAAGGTCATCGAGGAAAATTCAACTCATCATGATTACACTATTGATTCACCTATAAGAACGTCGACGAACTTATTTTTTGCCTACCCAAGAACAACAACGCGTTATAGTGCAACGAACTACGTATTTAAGTACAGATAACCACCGCCGCCGGGGAAAGGTCTCATCCCTGTTGGGGCCCTTAGCAGGCAAAGCTGGCGGGCAAGACGCATCCCATTGCAGGAAAGAGCGCTGCTATCAATCGTATTGGTGGGCGCGTGAGTGAAAGAATGAATGAATAACGAACACCTCCACTAAGAACATCGTCGCGAATTATCTTCTCCGCGTCCTGGAGGGCCTTGACGATATTTCCAACATCCGCGACCAGTCACAGCACCAGTCCTCCAACAACCCTAGACGACATTTCCAACAACAACCCTAGAAGACGACATTTCCAACAACAACCCTAGACGACATTTCCAACAACAACCCTAGACGACATTTACAGCAACCCACCTAGACGACATGTTATACCGTCTGGTGACTATTGAAGAGCTTGAGGTGCAGGATTGTGTGGTGAAAATCCACGTGAAGGAGGATGACACCCACGAGCTCGACTTCATTGAGGTCATCGATGATGGAGACGCAGAACCCCCAGAATTCGAGGACACTGTCGACTGGAATGAAGAAGCTATGGAGGAGCTCGAGAGGGGTATTAATTTGTTTTAGATTCTGTTTCTGGAATGCAGAAGCTATGGAGGAGCTGGAGTTTTACTTCATTTTAGATTCTGTTTCCGAAAGATACACTTTTTTACACTTGGAGAGATACAATCCGTCATTATCATTAAATCGTCGTTGATTTCCTGTTTCGTACGACGCGCAGTTGAGAAAGAGCCCTGCTCTCTACTCTACACTCTAGTACAAGGTGTCCTTGCTCTCACTCTACAAGGTGTCCGACGTGCAGTTGAAAAAGAATTCGGTCCAAAGAAGATCGTACCCAAAGACCTCACCATGGTCGACAGCATGGCGAAGGTGTGTATGATATGGAGGTCTGCACGGAGTGGGGTACCGTTGTACTATTATGGCGAAGGATGTGACAAAGGCGTGCATTCCCCCTTGAAGAGATCCAATCCTTCAGTCAAAAATTAGAGTAAGTACGTTGACTGAAGAACCCTCTTGCACACCCAAGAACAAATGGTTAGGTCGTGTATCATATAGATACATAATTAAAGTCTTCTAACTTTCCGGTGCTGAGAAATGTGCTGCGCCAGAGCTGCGATTTGGAAAAGTCACGAAAGACTCGATCCAAGTAAAGTTTTTTATCAAGGGAACGCCAGAGATCGATCCGCATGTGGAACGCTTCGAAGTTGTGGTATTATCGATGCCTATAGTTATGCTTATGATGGCTCTCAACCGGCTCTAGATGCTTAGTCTCTGTCCTGTAATAAGGATATTTTTCATCTCGTGTAAGATATATGACGATACCGGCTCTCAACAGTTTCTATAATTGAACTAGTTCAATAGTTCAATAGTTCAACTTCTACAATTCGTTCATGAAGTTCTTGTAGATGTGGTGCAGAACAAGCATCCCTTACAGAAAAAAATGTGATATTTATGATACTGGTACATGTATATGAAAAAATTATGAACTTCGTTCCATGTACAACTTGATAAATATGGGTTCTTGCTTAGGTAGTCTGATTCAGGTAGTCGTTTGTAACAACACAGAGCAAGGACATGACATGAGAAGTCCTTGGCTCCACGACGGCCGCTCCATCGGTCTGAAATCTAAATACTTCACAGGTAGAAGCCTTTGATTTCGCATCACCAGCGGTTACGAATATGCACGAGCATTTCGGCGATCCAGACCAGCCTAAGTTTATCAACTGGGATTATAATGTGTCATCCGCTAAGCTCAGTCCAAAGCAGACCGCAAATTTCCCAGAGCCACTAGGATCTTCATCACCCTCAAGTGGGAGTGCTTCCAAAGCAGCTGCTGGTGGAGTTCAAGGTGGTGCATCTAGTAGTAGTGGTGGACGTGCTGGTGGAGTTCAACGTCAAGGTGGGACAACATCGCCTACAGCTTCGTCGTCATCGAAATATCCCCCTCTTACATGGGCAGAGCTCAGCGGCTCGGGTGGCAAGATAGGCGAACCGCCGCGAGATGAAACAGGACCGGAGTATGTTCTTTATGGAAAAAGATTGTGGCTTAGGTTTTAAGTACTTACTTCAAAAGAGCTGCAGGTCTATCGTTGTACTGGTATAAGTAGTGCTATTTGTGGATTAGAAGTAACAATGAGGTGGTCGCTTAGATGACAAGGAGGACGGATTATAATAATTTGTCGGAGAGCCACATAAAAGACTCACTGCGCCACCTCATGCTAGGCACATTCATTCATCCACTCACTCACAATACCTACTTGGCAAACCCAAATTATTAGCCCAGTCCCATTTAAACCAATACCCCAAGCCCAAATTAGCCCAGTCCCATTTAAACCTGGTTCATAATCTTCCGCCACGAAAAGTCGTTTTTTCGTCTAGCGACATAAAGGGAACAGACCGAAGCTGCACCATAGCGAATCTGCGACCTAGCCGAGTCCATTTCGTTAGAATACGAGGATGCACGAAAAAGTGGGTGACGGATTGGTCTTCAGAACTGAAGGCAAAAACGCATCCACTCCCTTTATTGGACGCATTTCCTACCTGAAGAGGTCTAAGCATGTATATGAACGACCTCTTGCTAGGTGAATGAGTGAATGAATGAGGATGTGATACATATGAGGATGGGATACATATGAGGTTTAAGCATGTGATACTAGTACCAATTCCAACATCTTCCCTGACCATTCATCGACGTCCTCTAGAGTTGACGGTCTCAGAGGACTACACAATTTCTAGTTGTGTCCTGTTTCAGGCTACTTACACAACTTCTATAGTTGGTCTCAGTACATGAACTTCTTTTAAACCTGCACCCCCCACGACACCTACGTTGTCGCCACAGCAAGCACAAAGTTCATCGCGATCCCGATTCCGTTGCATGCAAATGCCCTGTTGACGTAAAGAATTGAAGCAGCATCTTCGTAGAACAATATGTTGCGTGCCATCTCTTGCTATAATCAAGAGTAGTTTATCCTTATAAAAACGAGAATAAGAGAATATGATTGTGTTCAATCTTTGCATTTTGAAAGTGCGATCGGTTGGATTCTCCGCATTCATCAGAGTAGAGTAAATCGCAAGACGAGTAGTGCTCTTCTCTACTCTGGTTAACGGAAAGTGACTGAATGAATGAATGTACCCACTCCAGGTACTGTGGAAAAAGTTAGTCGATCATCATTCGTTCACCAGGAACTGCTCTAAAGTACTAATTGTTGACGTTCGTGAGCAACTCTCAAGCTCGTTGAGACCCCTAGAAGAGGATGACATATGCTTGTATTTTCAAGAAAGATGTGCGGCAACAGTTGATGCGCATGTATAGAGGGGATGTGAATACGCGCTATGCAATGGCTGCACGTACCTCCAAGAATTACGGCTTCCGTGGTCCATCTTCAGAGAAGGCATCCTGGGAGAGACGTTTTCAATGGGAAAAGTGCTGTCCTGGGATGGACTCCCAGATGCATAGCGGGAAGGTCTAAAAGATGGCTGGAAGCAGAAGCAGCGGCACTAACGAGAACACTTGTACGCCTGCATCTGCGAGTGTCGCCAAGAATCGGAATCAACTTAAGATAATTTTCATTTTCCGAATCCAAGTCGAATAAAGCCCTTCTCCCGACGTCATCTAGGGGGAACGTGCTGTTTGCTGTGTCTTCATTCTTCTCTAAGCTGCATCTTCCCGGTGCAGACAGCACAAGGTCAAGGGAGGCCGCCTCGAGGACCAGCACGGAAGCTTTATGGCGCCATCGCTTGAGAGTGGAGAAGCTGCGGAATTTTCCAAAGAAGGTCGTCCAGTATGGTACTATCCATTCTTAAAAACAGCCTCCACTCTCGGTGGCACCTTTCAAACAAAGATTATCTTCATGTGAACGAAGCCGCATTTCGTAACGAGGGTGACGAAGAAGCGGCAAGGACAGGAGGGCAGAGAAGTTATGGCTCAGCCGTTGTGTTCCATCCATTCTACAAATCTACTCAGGCATGATTGATTGTCCCGCAAGCATTACTGAACGACTAGTAATATTCATGTTCATCGGACGAGGACATCGGACTGAAGAAGTATAAGTGCAAGAATTCTTCTTCTGCTCTGAGTCTGATAACTCAGTAATCCTAGTACAAGAACCTCCACCTGTGACGAGAAATAACTCTAAGGCTAAAACAACAAGCATAGTTCTTCTAGACAGCGGACATCTCCTGCTGCTGGAGGAGCTTTCTCTGGGCCGACTAAGGACGGTGCAGCGTCCCAGAGTCATGATGGTGATCGCTCGTTCGACTTCGAAAAGTTTGCCGGTAAAAGCGACACCAGAGCCGACACGGAGTGGGAAGCATTAGTTTTAAGGCGATGTTTCTTGGTAGGTCACCCCGCAGACAAGAACTGTGGTTACTTTACAAAACAATAAAAAAAACCGGTAGTACGGCTCTCCTCTGGAGGTACTGTATTACTGGTTGGCCTCACTGGTAGACACTTTTTAGAGCTAAGTACATAAAAAGAGGTGCCATGACATGACATGAGTCGAGCAGGTGCCGGAGGGGCTCGATGTGCGGGATCCATAACCTAACCTAACCTTTCTTACTATGACAATTTTTCTCTTTTTCCTTTGTTTTCAGCATGAGAAGTTTTATTTGCAGGAGTGGGCATAGCGACATCGAGTTAGAGGAGGCCATCTAGCGCGGCTAGCTTTTTTACTTGCAATTAGTAGTCTTCACAACTCATTTCAAGCACGGTATAAATGATCATCTAAAACCCGGCAAAAACGACCGCGTTGTGCGATCGACGGATCTTCATAGCATCGGCAAAGTTCACGGCGTAAACTCAAGGGACTGGGCTTTCGTGAAGGGCATGTTCAGAAAGTCCAGAGCATTTGTTTGGAGTAAGAATTGATCACGAGGATCTTCACTTAAGGCACTTTATTAACTTTTTGAGAAGTACCTACTAAACCAGCTGTATTGAGGAAGAAGAAAGGCATGGATCTCTACTGCGATATTCACAGTTCTACGGCCGCCCTTCATGGGTACACTTGTGAAACTGTATCGTCCCGCCGGTGATCTAGGAGTACCACCAGGGACGGCAATCAATCAAAACGGTGGGGACCATTGTTCCTTTGAATAGGACTCTCAACGATATTAGCAAGCCAAGCTCCTAAAGACCAAGCAGGGAAAGCTTTCGCTTTGGGGTTCATTCTCGTATGGTATTTCGATATTAGGCTCACTTTATTAACTTTTTGAGAAGTACCTACTAAACCAGTTGATAAGATGTCGCGCTGTGTCTGTGACATAGCTGACAAATGATCAGTTTTTTCCAGTCTGCAGCAGCTCATCGCCCACTAGCTTTGCCTACATCAATGAGACAACCAAAAATCGCACTCATTATCTCTACAACAGAGCCGGATCCGGAGTAGTTACGCTGAGCACAGTGCTGCTAAAGGGCAAGATAAGTTTCTTCCAGAGTGTGTGCGTTCTTGGTTACTGCATTTTCCCAGTAGTCCTTGCCGCTTTCGCTTCCGCGCTTATTAGCTACAAGCTGTTTAAGGTACAACTACAAGCACTTGTGCAAAATTTTGTGAAGCCTAGTATATTTAGTACTTTCTTGTTCTTCTAGAAGTAGATGCAGTCTTCACATGATCCTCCATTCGGCTACTCCGTCATTTCATCTCTTAATTGTGTGCGCAGACATGAATTTCATTCGTCCCTCAATCGTTCACAACTTTCAGGTATCAATATTCCTCCTCGTGGTGGGTTTCATTTGGTCAACAGGGGCTTGCGTCGGTTTTATGTCTGACACCGTTCCCGAGGACCGGAAGGCCTTGGGCGTCTATCCTGTTTGGTTGTTCTATGTAGCAATTGCTTGGATGATACTACTTGCATTAATAAGTTGAGAAATTCACGTGAGGAAGGTGACGGAGAACACCAACAAAGATGACGAGGATGGTTCATTTTCAAGAACGGGGACACTTGAAAGTGGATAGAACTTCGCGTGTCTCCTTATGGGGACAAATGCAAACACCGTCATGAACGATCGTGTATATGCAGCTTTGGAGGGTTCGATTGCAGTTTAGAAGGAGCAATACATCCTTCGCGTAAAAAATACGAGAATACGGCAGTGGCGGAGGAACAAGCCATAGGAGTAGTTTTTCCAAAAGGACATCGTAGCTCTTCTTCTGCTGTGACGTGGCGTTCAGCCCAGATGAAGGGTAGCCGCCGTCGCCCATTGAATTGAGAGGAGCTATCTTTTCTTGTTAGTAGTAGAAGATGACCACCAGAGACGTGTGATGGTGATGAGTGACTCCTGAGAGATGACATCTGTCAGAATTAAGCCTTTCTCTTAATACACTACTACTACCTATTCTGTTATTTAGTAATTGCTTTGGTTTTCTCGTAAGTAGTTAGTCACCAGTCATCCTCTTCACTGGTGAGTCTGGTCAACATAAAGTGACAACTCTATATTTTTCCGACAAGCACCAAAAAGAAAAATGTCCGACAAGCACACGCACACCGTTATAAACGAGATTCTGCCGAAAGCGGGGCTCGTCTATTCCGAGAAGGGGAACCTTTCCGAGATGCTCTGCAAACCGAAAATCATGCCTCTAAATTACGATGTTGGACCTGGTTCATCCCTACCCGCATGACCTGCATCGCTTTCACACTCTATCAAAAAGACTCAGCATACAACTTCAATAGAGACCTTTGACGAGGCGCCACTCGTGCGAGAGATGTTCTTTTTTACAAATCTAAATCTTTTCTCCACTTCCACCTTGACAGACTTTGAGGTTTTTCAATTTCATTCTAAAAGCCTATTCCTTGAATCTTGTTGTAGGTGTTTCTGTCTAACAGCTGAGCTCGACATTGCAGAAATTGGAGACGGCAGAAAAAGCGCTTGAAGAGGAAGTGCGGAAGAAGAACGATAATTCTTTTTTCAATTTATGAATGGCAGAGTTGCCGTTTTCTTTCCACTCATCTTTATTTGGCGTTCCTGCTGTAGATGCAATACTATTTTTCGTACTTGAGCGAATAAGTATGTTGGTATTTAGGAAGCAGAACCAGTGGAGCAAGGAAGCAGAACCAGTGGAGCAAGTAACAATTGAATCGAAGACACAGACAAAGTACTACAAGGAGGAGTATTTTCTCCGGACCGATTCCTAGCGCCTAAAAAAAATGCAAGGTATGTTTCTTCTTTCAGTATCTCGGTCATTCTAAGTCGTTATTTCAGTTTCTCGGGTACTTACCTTATCGAGTACTATAAGCTCTAACAAACGGGGCAGCAAACGAGACGAGTCATGGAGGTCCTGGCGCGAATTCAGGAGGGTCCAGCCAAGTGATGAGTTTCGCGTGATGTATGCGCTAGCGAAAATAGTTTTTCGTTTGTTTGAACGGTGATGAGACAAAATGGGAAAAGTCCACGGTTCTTTGGCTCGTATCAACATTGATTAGAGACAAAGCATTCGAATTACAAGTTAGCGTAGACAACTCCGCTTGTTGCTTTAACTCTGTTGTAAAGATCCATCGATCGGGGTCGAACATTTGTCGGCAGTTTTTTACCAGGAGACTATAATATTAATTTGCAACAGATGAGGAGCCACCGAAAAACATTGTGTTCAAAATCAACTCGTTCGAGCGAGTCAAATCGAGCGAGTCAAATCGATACTAGATCAAAACATCGACCAAAGCATGATCGAACAAGTCAATATGTTTTCGGTTTTGATGGGTAATCGTTCTAGTTGTGTCCGTTGCCTCGACCCCCACTTTGATAAGGTTGCTTCGACCCCCACTTTGATAAGGTTGCTTCGACCCCCACTTTGATAAGGTTGCTTCGACCCCCACTTTGATAAGGTTGCTTCAACCCCCACTTTGATAAGGTTGCCTCGACCCCCACTTTGATGAGGCTGTAAGATATCATCAAAGCCCTGAGAATCAACAAAGAAGCCACTAGCAATTGTATTATTATAAGCACGCGCGATCTTTGGCTTTGCCTCGTGCGCCTTCGGTCTTACTCTCATCCTCTGCTTCTACCTCCAAACCTCCAAAATACCCCACCCCAGTTTTCTAGATTCTTATAAAGCATTAACATGTTACATTCAATCAATCATTCCTCATCCTACGCGAGAAGTAGTGTTTTTTAGCTTGTCCCATCATCCTGCATCGGCCGTCTATTCTACACCGATGACAAGTAGGCGCGATCTTTGAAAAAGAATACGAAAAGCGGCACGTACTTTGAACAAAAAACAATAGAAAAACGCTCTTGAACAAAAAACGGACATAGTATTTGTAGCTTCAAGAACAGCAGTAGGCACGATCTTTGACTACGTAGGCACAAAGACTTCGTCATAGAAAGAATAGCTTCGAGAAGTTCCTCAGGGAGAAAAGTCGTAGGTATAGTTTGCGACTCTGGACGAAAATGGTCGAAAACACATCAGCATCATCCAGCTGGACCCCTGTTCGATGGCCCTCTGTCTCTTCTAGTATGGAGAAAAAACAACATCTTCTTCCATTCCCAACGGGGAGGCTCCTGCTCTCTTTGGACTGCGTTTGCGTGTTGGGATGCATCTTTCAGCTCTATACCTTTCATCGGGACGCCATGGAGATGGAAACGCACAGGCAGAGGCAAATCATCGCTGATCTTTGGGTTGCCTTGTGGTTAAGAACGGTTGCAATTTTCTGCTGTCTACTCCTGGGGCAATAAAAATCAATCTGCTACTAGCGTGTTCTCCTTAGGAGGTACCACTTCACTGACTCCCCTCGTACATGGACACCTTTTGCTATAAAAGAGGCACCATGACGTGACATGAAATGATATGACATGACATGACATGACATGACATGACATGACATGACATGACATGACATGACATGACATGACATGACATGCTGGCTTAGTTAGAAGTTCCTCCACTGTCATTTTCATTTATATCCGCAGCTCTGTTTTTTGTTCTAACTTGTTGCGCGCTCGTGCTCTCGACCAGCAGCCTCCTCCAGCTTTATGTTGCGGGATGGTTCTGCACTGGCGCGGACTACTCATGCCTCCAGGCATTCTTAAGGCGACTCAAGGAATCCAGCTTCCTCAGCATCGTGGTGCCGCTTTGTAAGGGAAAAGCAAAAGAAGCATCAGGATGCTACTGGAGACGAATTTATTCCTACACCTCTAATATTGACACAGAAAGCAGGCAGCGCGCATTCTGTCGTGAAGTTGGCGCTGTCGCTCGTATTGCTTTGCGAACTCGATGTTACGATGAATAACATCCAGTAGTAGAAGCTAATGTCCAATTATCTTCTACCTACAGAAGAACTAGAGCTTCAACATCATACTACGATCGTTCTTTTGTAGAAGAAAATAGAAGCTACTAGAAGCTACACAAGAACTCAGGAAACGGATCATCATATTCACACTTGTTGTTCCACCATGAAGGTCTTCACAGGAACTGTCTCCTTTGCTAGATTCTGGCTGATGGACTAAAACAGGAACTGTCTCCGTTGCTAGATTATAGCTACGTCCGCTTCTTCGTCTTTCTTTCTCTCTAACACGGTATGGGTGCTTCGCAGGCCTTCATTGGACGGGATCCTTGTGCTCTCATTACCCGAGGACGAAAACGAATACACAATAACGCAATTGACGCTATTTCTTATGCGCATAGATGATACTTATAGTAGCGATAGATAGAAACCTAGATCGATGAAATCTTGATAAGTGCCCTCCACTAATTTCAATTCTGAATCTTATATATAGTTAGGGCGTTCTTGCCTCTACTAACTAGTAGTTCTTACCTCTACTAGTAAGTCTAGGTGGCTCCTCATTGAAAGCGTTTTCTTGTTGTTTCTGAACGTATAAACACGTCAACCTCAACAATCTTTCTCGTAGCACATCATTTGCATCATCAAGAAGATCAACTCAAAACTACAAATGAGCATCATCCTCTAAGCTGCAGCTTCTGTTCCTGACTCATGCCGTCCCACGGTTATGGAAAATCGATCTTGAACATAGGTGAAGCAAAGTTTTTGAACACTTTTTACTCCATCCTTTGCTTTTGTTTTTCTTTGGCTTAGAAAGGGATTTAGAAAGGTATGCAAACACGTACCTTTCTAAGAGAGAAATACGCACCTTGATTCTTTTACAAGTCCTAATCAATAGTAATTTCTGTGACGTATTTAGAAAGGTATGCAAACCTGAGAGAAATACAATCATCTTTCTCTTTCTTCTTGTCTAAGAAGTATCGCATTGGCCTTGTTGGGGCTGTGTAACGGAGACGGAGAGGCTCGCGAGGTAGATGGAGACGCTGGCGAGGAATATGGATACGCAAGAACTGCGGCTGATTCTTCTGATGAAGAGGCAGGCCCTTGTAGTTTCGGAGTGGTGCAGTGCGTGTAGCTTGCTACTATAAGTACTTTTTAAGCACTAAATATAACAACCGGTTCGTTTTTACCTCTAGCGTGTAACCCTTCCAACACTATCAGCACTTTTTAAAAAAAGTAGATGAGCATCTCCACTTTTCTTGCGAGTTTTCTTGTAGAGTAGTTTTACCTAAACTAGAAGTTCTTGTCGAGTTGTACGACACTCCTAAGAGGAACCTTAGAGGATTATCAAGGTCGTTCTCGTCGATCTTCCAGAAGCACGTATAGAATGCAATCCAATCCTAAACATAACAACCGCACATCAACGCATACTCATATAGTCGCACATATAACCGCACATAGATAACGCATACTCAGATATGAAATGATAATGACATAACAGCCTCGTATTAACCGCAAGTTGAATATCACAGCCAGCAGTTTGCTCAGCCCTAGCAAAGCATTGAAAAACCTCCCGTTGCAACTATTAATCCCCAAACTATGCCCTTGCTCTTGCACTTGAGTCCCCACACTCTGGGTTACACCTCGCGAACAGGTAAATGAATGAATGAAATCAGCTAGATAGAACGAAATTATACGTATCAATCGAAAAATCACTTCCTAGGCGTACTGACGTACCAAGTCGTACTGACGTACCAAGTCGTACTGACGCAGTACCTCCTCGTTGTACTTCTGACGTACCTGGTACTGGCCTCATTGTATTTCTGATATACCTCGTAAGGTGAAAAGGACGTAACTAGCAAAGTTGAGGAGGACGGGTGACGTATTATGAACCCTGACGTACTCGTAGACGTACTAGAAGTATTATTTTAATGCTGTGCATTTTAAGCATTCTGAGCGGTAAATGTCCCTGAATAGATGTTGAACAGCTGGTGTTACAGAAAGTGAACAGTAGAGGAGTCATCTACTTCGACGTACAAGGTTGCATAGCTGGAAGAAATTGCATAGCGATAGCCCCAACAGAGAACATTATACACCATCATCACCATGACCAAAACATGACCTACCATACAAGACGTTATCATGACCACATTCAATCATCATTGGTCAATTTCATTTACAACATAACAACAACGTACTACTGCTCTTCGACCATTCCTAGCTGCACGAAACACACGAAGCACAAAGAAATCCGGCGAGACCGTAAGCGAAAAGTAGAGCACTCACTTTCCCAGGGTGTTTGGTCTGGTGCGAACTGAAGCTGTCCAGCAGAACTCATCTACTCAGTACTATGTGCGATGTACGTAGGTCGCTAGTCGTATTCCCAAAAAAATCTAAAGGTCTGTCCATGTTATACCTATGATGGTGACATCCAGAATAGGACTCGGACAGAGAGAGAGAGGCAATAAGGATCTGCTTCAGGGTTCAGTGACCCTGCCCCGGGCAGACCTGTGGAGCACGAAGTCGATGTCTGTATGTCCTCATGTTTTTTTTGTATCCCGTGCCGGTCCGGAGCGAACAAGAGGTTGATACTTGTTCTATTGAGGATCATGTATTTTAGTGGAAGCTACTTGCGAACGCATTGTCTCTTTGAGCTGTTTTTTTCCTTCTCGGTGAAGCATTGACTCCTCGAAAATTGACTACCGCACTCCTAATAGCACTACCACTACCCAGTACTAGAAGTACATCGAGACACCGAGATCACCCTAAACAGCCTAGACCCACACCCTAAACCCAAACCCTAAACCCTGTCACCAGAAGAATGGGCGACCAAGCACCGGTTGTACGGCCCCAACAGAAAGTATCACAAGAATAAAATTAAAAGATGGAGTTTGGCGACCAAGCACCAGGGGTAGGGCCAGAGCAGGCGGACTTTGCCTGGTGGCCGCTTCGGGAGGCAGTTTCAAAGTTCCAAAGTTTCCCATCAAGCTCGTCGTCTGCTGAGAATTTATGCCATGATTTAGATATGATTGTGATTCTTTTATTTGAATGTCTATGTCGTGTAGTTTGTGTCCTCATGTGCGGGTCACCCGTTTTTCACTGATCGCCGTCTGGTCCTCCTTTCGTCATCACTACTACGCGCATTGCTTTGAATAGTTTGAGTTTTTTGTACTACAGGATTTCTCGTCTTGTTGTACCTGCTTTCTCGTTCAAGCCTTCTGTGCCTTTTTGTCATTCTTTCAGCGTTAAAAGTTGCATCAAGTGTTTTCTTCATCAGGTTAGAGCATAGCTTGCTTGCTGTCTTGAACTTTATTGTTGCGCTAAGAGGAGCAACAAGTTCCATCACAGGGCTTCCATCCACCACAAGTTCTTTGGCCGACTCTCAGCACCAGCAGCAAGAAGCCGGAGCAACACTACAAAGTTGGACTCGACAGCAGGTTGAAACGGTTCTCGATGATCATGGCATCGATATTTCACTCTTTCGACAAGCTTCCCTGTTTCGACAAGCAGAAAGGGCCAAGAGTGGTGGAGATGCAGGAGATCCATATGGGTCCTCGTCGATATGGCGAGCGTCAATTCAAAGAGTACTAGTTAGTAGTCACTGTCAATCCTGTAAGTAGTACTGCCTTGTTCTACGTCGTTCTTGCCGACAACTTTTGTTCTTCTTCTAATTCGCTAATAACTAAGAGTACTTCTACGTCGTTCTTGCCGACAACTTTTGTTCTTCTTCTAATTCGTCTTAGTGAAAGCCAAGCCTCCTCCGTGTTACCTCCTTCACCACGCTTTTTGACACCGAATGCGGCAAAGGCACGCAAAGCGAAGGCAGGCGCAAAGACAGCTAGTGTAGCGGCGTCCAATATGACTTCTATGACCGTCGAGTCAACCGCTCAACGTGCGGAAGAAGACGATGCGAGTGCAATGTTGAACAGTCGGACGAAGACGATGCGAGAATTGACGCGTGAGCTGGCCTTAGGTGAGTGCGTGCTCGTCGATGAGGGTGGCCGCCTCGTCCGGCACACAGAGGTCCTATTTTTGCGAATAGCGACACGTCCTTTGGACCAGCAAGAAGGAGGGGAGCGTGATGAGGAGAATAGAAGACATAGTTCTTCACGTGGGACCAGACAGGGAGAGGACGGAGTAACTGCTGTAACCCCTGAGCAAACGCACTACCTGCTCATCACCGGAAAATGTAAGTTAAGCGATACGACATACGCGTAACGAGTAGAGGACAAGCTTTTCATCTGATGAATACGCGCACATGAAGATGAAGAAAATATTACTGGCCTCAAGCATGAAGATCAATAGAAGGTGAAATGCAGAGAATTAGGTACTAGGAGTCCCATCCTATAATTGCTTCTAATTGACGAAGAGCACGCAGTCTCGTCTTCGAGAAAAGTCAAGAGCTGTCTTTCTAGTGTCGATCCAAACCTCATCGACGGACGCATGCGACTGCCGGGTGGACGTCGACGACCGACCGAAACCTGGACGCAAGCTGCTAATCGCGTACTCAAGGAAACACTGGATCTAGACTCGACTACTTCTTTTTCTAGATTACGGGTGTAGGGGATTCATCTCCAAAGTCATCTGGAAGAAAACGACAAGAGGAAAAAGGGACCCAGATGATCCCTGAGATAAATTCCCTACACCTCTAACTAAGAATGAAGGAGATGCGGATCATGCTGCGGATGGGATTATATTGTCAAAAGTAGCCGCGTCAACCTCCACTCCGGGTGTTGGAGGAGGAGGAGGTAATGAAGTTTTGAGATGGTGTTACTTTCATAATCGAAAGCGATGAGTGGAAGAGGAAGACTTATAATCGTGAATTCGCGTTCCCATGCAGCTCATTCACTGTGCATCTGACAGTTCTCCATCGAAGATTCCGCTGACACGGCCTGTCTTCAGGTATATCCTCCTCATCCACACCCGCCAGGTTCTTCTGCACCTTTATTTTCTTTCCAATTCCGGGAAGTAGCGTCTTATACTCATGCCGTCGAAAGTTCCGAGAGTTATCCGACCGTGCCTACGGTCTATCAAGTTCGCGTATTTGACCTTGAACCGCAAAGCTGGGATACTTTTTTGATGGCTGTCGGCAAATTTACTGGAAGACCTGGCGCAGGTCGACTAGAAGCTTTAGACGCAGATGGAGTAAGCGATACTGTTACAAAGGACGAAGTAGCGGAACACACAGACGAAGCGCCTCCACCTCTGAATGACAGCCAAGACAAGGAAAAATGGCAAGAACTGGATGAATTAGTAGGGGTCGTACTAGGAGATGACTCACACACTGACACTGGAACTGCTGCTGCGCCTCCTAGTAGGAGGAAAGCAAAAACGTGGTTCTCTCGTCAACACCAAGCTACTGGAGACCATATCCGATTTGAATGGATTCCGACTCAACGCGCCTCCGACCTGCTCCTAGCTAACACCGACGCTTTTACAGGTGCAACTACCACGACCGCATCAATGATCACAACCTCAACAACGAGTATAAGTGGAGGAGGACAGCAGGAGTTGCAAGATGATGTCCTAAGTTTGATTCTTAATATCGAGAAGGAGAGCTCTGCTGGCACTGCCATGCGACACGCAGGGGAACATTATAGTGCAAAGGACGCATCACCTGGCGCCAAGGCGTTTAACCGCATTAAGGCTACACAGAGTAGTTGTAGTAGTATAATTTTTTTTTTGACAACTGTCTTGCTGGCAGTGGAGTAGTACTGTCTCAGACACCAATGATTGAATGAAGCAAAAGAAATATGCAACTACATTCTAACCACTGTCGAACCAACAATAACTTCCTTCTGCATAACTTTGCGGGTGTGCATTCGATTAAGTGCCTCCCCTGGGACTCTCCTGGCATACTGCGAGACTTTCTATTTGAGAATGGGGTTCCCGAGGTGAGCAGCGTCTATTCAGACGACCTGCTAAACGAGCTCACGAGAGGGCTCATGCTAGAAGCGTTTTTCTTCCGTCTAGACGAAGAAACCCCACAAACAGCAGTACTGAGCTTAAGGGTGGAAACATTTCGTTTCTCTGTATGCTTTTCTCCCTTAGCATTGCTATCTAAAAGATTCTCCCACCTTAGCACCATTGCTATCTACTAAAAGGAGGGAGCAAATGGAAATCATGTTTCAACCTTCTAATCGCCTGCTCTTTGAACGCCGCGCAAATCGTGGTCTCTTCTGTCGCCGCACCCAGTGGTTACGCGTCCAACAATGTGGTCGCTAATGCGATTGCTAGTGCGGACCAACTACAACAACAATCTTCAGAGCAACCGGAAGTAGAGCCTATGATCGTTCAAAAGCAGACTGGTTTGGCAACGGTGACGGCAGTTCGACGCGTCGTTTCTCGCGGTGGGTCTCAACAACATGTTTTTTAAGGCTAGTTTATCACTGTCCCCCCGTGTGGATGAATATGCTGAGTGGAGTCACCTTTGATTTAACGGGGAAGATAGAAGTAAGTGGCGAAAGGGGAACTCGTACTCACTCAACCAGGCACCATTTAGTGAAAAACTAGCGTTAAGTTTTGGTGAATGCGAAAAAGCAAAGGCTTCCGACTTGGCCCAGAAGTGTGCACTCAAGCCTTGAAGACGGAAGAGAGGGTGTGCGCGCCGCGATTGAAACCGATTTTTCTCTACCGCTGAAGGCCATACGCGAAGTGCCTACATCCTTCTCCTTTGTTGTTTTGGGAAGGGGTACATTTAGTAGTTCTGCACATGATCAGGACAAAAAGTGTAAATCCACCACAAGAGATTCACAAAATTCCCCTGTCAACAACATGGAAGATATTCCTCGAGATGTCCTTGGTATGTCAGGGCTGCAGACCGATGCTGAAGACCAAGAGTCGGGTTCTCTAGTACAACTACAGCAACAACTTTTGGTGGACGGCGGTAACCAAAATCCAGGAGCTTCCATCTCCCATTCTCAGCAGCGAACTAATTCACGACGAATTTCAGGCCCGCCTTTGTCAGGTGGGTTAACATCTCCTTTCGGTGCGAAAACAGAGTTCCCAGGCTTGAAAACGATCTACAGAGTCGACGTGTACGAGTGCAGCGTCTCTCGAGGGTTTTCGCTCAGTCTGCATCGAAAAGTTTCGCTAGAAAATATTGCTGCGATTCCATTTTCTTCGGCAGCGATAGAGTCGTCTATTGCTTACAACGGAGGTAATATAGGTTCCTCGCCCAATGGGGGTGGGCTCAGCAGTTTAGACTCGAAGTTGCAGCAAGGTTCCTCGCCCAATGGGGGTGGGCTTACCAGTTTATTGCTGGGCAACCCACCAGGAG